TGGGCAGCCTTTTCGGATTTCTTGCAATGGTGATTCTCTCTTTAACAGATGCATCCCCATCTTCGAGACGTGTTCAAGGTAGGACCCCACCACTAGCTCAACGTATCCAACCTTGCTACCAGCTGCTTGTACAATTCTTTTTAATGGGTGTTCTGTGTTCTGGGTTTTTTGTTGGTTGGTTGGTTTCTGCTGTTTATCCTCTTTGCAAAAACTTGCAGTGTTGCCCGGTTGATTGCTGTTTCTTCTTGTCCCTGGTAATGTGGCTTTTTAAGGCACCCACCTCCTCCCATTCTCTTTCTCCTCATTTCTCTGTTGAAATGCAAATATGACAGTGCCACCATGTCTTTTGAAATCTTTTCCCTACACCCATGGCCCTGCAATTACAATGCAATCTTTATTGATACTTCCAGTATCAAGTTGCGTTCATTGCCAGTGTCACTTCGTTTGCAGTTATCAGGCATATGGTGTTTTCAGTGAAATGCAAGACTAGCGCAATACCCCATCTGCGTCCTTAGACAATGATCAACAGCAGCTTTTAATGTAACTCTAGAAGTTCAGACTATATTTCATCATCTCCCCCCGTCTGCTGTGGTCAACATCTTATATTTTTAGAACAAGCTATACTTTATTGGGCATAACTTTGGAAAATTTCAACAAAAGAAATTATATGCAGTGTTTGTACACAAGAAGGAATTAAATTTCTTTATTTTAGACATTTCTGTATTGCTCCAGTTTAAATATTTCCAGGGCTTCTCACAGTAAAACCAGCAGTAGTAAAAATAACCACACGTCAGGAATTAAAAATCCTGGGAAAATTCAAAGGTCTTTGCTCACTGCTAAAAGGTAACAAAGTAGGTGACAGGCCAGCCTCACTGGGGAGAGAATTCCATTGAAGGGGCATCCACAACTGTGAAGAGCTCAAGTGTTGCCACCTGCCCCAACTCACAACATGGGGAAGGCCTCCAATGATATCTAAGAGCACTGATGGGATGGGTTTGGAGGCGGTTATTCCTTCAGGATTCCTGATTCCACACTGTGTAGCACAGGGCTAGGGAAACTTCACTTGACAGGTTTTCCTATCCAGACAACCAACTTTCTTATCTTATTTCCCATCTCTGATAGGAGATGAGAGAGTTTCTTTGTTGCTAGCAGAGGCTTTAAAAAACCTACTCTTTAATTTTAAAACCTAATTTTTAAATTGTGTGTGTGTGAGAGAGACAGAGTGATTTTCAGAAGCTGGTGGCTGCTGCGGGGAGCACTGTGACTGAGGTCTGGGAAATCACAGCACGGGGTCCAATGCCAGCCATGTGGGCAGCCCCATACATACTTGCTGGTAACCAATTCAGCTCTAGGGACAAAACATGTTCCCCTACCTCAGATGCTGGGTCAGGCTATAAAAGGTCCATGCCATTCAGAAAAGTTTCTCTGGATGATGTTCTCAGGATGCAGTGCTAATGGAGAAATACTGTTCTTTTGCCACTGTTGCAAAGGAACTGGGTCTGGTTCCTAACCCCAACCAGTACCTTCCAGAAAGATTGGCTTGCAGCTCCCATCATCCCCAACCAGCATGGCCATAGCTGGGGTGATGGGAGCTGTTTTGCAACTCATACACAGGGCATTAGGCCAGGAAAGGCTTCCTTGGGCCCTCTAAAATTGGAACCATAATAAATAAACAAGGGCTTATTTACCAGCACCCCCTTCAGTCTCCATGGGAGATTGTGTTCTAGAAGTGGTGCAGTAGAGACAGGTTTTGTGTTTTCAAGCTGTTTGGTGTGATTCTGCTAAGCACAACAAAGCTGAGAGGTCTGAGTGAGCTGTGGGGGCTAGTTGTGGGACCTCCCTGGGAGTGCTCTGACACATGTGCATTGGAGTAGCTACTGTTCTAACTGAAACCACCAGAGTAGTCCTGAGTGATGCACGCTCCCTTGTGTGCATGGCTTGACTGTTTTCTATTATGGTTTGTTTGAGGTGGAATTTCTTTTTTCATTCTGGAAACACCAAAGCTAGAGGGAACAGGGTGAATGTGCAGAAGTGTGATTTCTACATTAACTTGGCTCAATAATGTTTGAAACAGTGGTTAAGATAAAAGAGGTAATAACTATTTGGTATCCTTTTTTTATTACTATTCATTTTGCCAGGAGACATTGAGAGCTCCTTCCAAAGAGGGGATGGGGGAAGAAAAATACCCACAGCCTGTGCTAGGCAGCATCCTCCCTAGTCAGGACCTGCCCCAGTATTTACCCAAACATGCCCTGTTTGCACAAAGGAGGTAGTTTGGGTTAACTATGGATTTGCCCACATAATTGGCCTGGTTTTTTTAAGAGGGGGGCACAGGCAGCGTTTCCAACATACTGCTAGGGAATCATTAGAGGGGTATCTTGTAGATGCTCCCACCGGGAATGTGTAAGTGGGCTGCCAAGCAATCCCAGCAAAATAGTAAAGTAAAACGATGGTAAGCACAAAATGGGATGCACTGGCTGTGGGGAGCAGAGGAAACCTTGGTGTTCTCTGAGATCCTTGTAGGAAGACCGGGGTCAGGGAGCAGGGTTGGCTGCAGAGCTACGGTGTGCCCAGTCATCGTTGGACACACTACAGGTCCTGGGGCAAACAAACTATACTGTGTGACTTACTCCACAGTGTAGTGTGTTGTGTCTTGCAAACCTAGTCTATGTGTTGGTTCCTGTAGCCCAAGATTGCATTGGTTTTCTTAGCTGCCTTATATTGCTGGCTCATATTTAGCCTGTGATCCTATAAGACACCTAAGCATTTTCTGTGTATTCTGCTGCAGGTGAGGTCTTCCCCATCCTATATTGTCTTTTATGTACCTAAATTTGTTTATCTCTGAATCTCATTTAATCTCATTTAATTATGTTTCTCTTTGTTGAATTTCATCTTCTTAACCAGCTCAGTGTTCCAGCCTGTCCAGATAACTTTTAAATCTTAATTCTACCTTCTATGAGGTTAGCTTTCCCTCCTAGCTTTGTACCATCTGCAAAGTTTGTGACTCTGCCTTCAGTATTTCAGTTTTCAGGATCTCCTGTCCCTCTTGAACTCTTTTTTCCTTCCGGATTTCAAGCCATGGGATCTCAACCTACTTCTCCTTGAGCTTTTTTTTAATTGGTTTTCCTAATACCTGAGGTATGCATCCAATTAAGCTGAGTTTTCACAGTCCTCTCTATTACAGATTTCGAGTTCACATGCTCACCTTCCCCCTAAATTTTCTGTCACATTCACTTCATCTACTGCTTTTTTACTATTGATTACAATGAAGTCCAGGACCTTTTGTTCCTTTTTTTACCTCCTGAGTAATGAAGTTGTCAGCAAGACAAGTCAGAAAGGAATTGGATGTTTCCTTCTGTGCAGAGTGAGACTTTTGCTGATGTCAGAACAATGGAGGTTCTCCATTACTACCGTTGCTTGTCTCTGTGAAACGCCATCTGTCCAGGAAAGCACCATCCATGACTTTTGATGGGCTGGGCTATCAATAGTAAACCGCCACCACAATATCGTTCTTGTGTCAGCCTCCTTCTGTCTTTATCCACATGCTTTCAGCAGGGCCTCCATTCTCAGAATCATGCATTTCAATATAGTGTTATCTAAGACACTGCTCCACCTCCCTTCCTGTTGTCAGCAAAGTATACCCCTCCCTGGCTTTATTCCAGAAATGAATCTCATCCCACCAAGTCTCAGTGGCATCTATCAAATCATGCTTACCTTCTTGTATTAGAATTTCTAGTTCATCCTGTTTGTTTGCCATGCTCTTTATGTTAGTATATAGACATTGGAGTGTTGCATCTTCCCAGTTTCTCTGCTTTATCTAATTACAGTTTACTGGGATCCACCTCCACTGTCTCATGTTTTCTTTTGCCATTTGAGTTCCTCTCTGTAATATTTGTCTGAAGTAGTTGGCTGTGGGCTTTTGCCCCATCCCCACACCAATTTAAATCCCCCTTGATCACATTTACAAAATTCCTGCCAGAAATATTTTTTTCAGTCCCCGTAAGGTGCATCCTTTGTGCAAGGAGTTCCTCTTACTGGAGCATAGGCCCTGGTCTATGAAACCAAACTTTCCCATTGATACTATTTGTATAGCCAATCATTCACTTTCATTATCTTTCTTTCCCTATGAAAATCCTGACTTTGGCAGGAAGGACTGATGTAAAAACCCCTTGTGCCCCCAGTTCTTAACCAGAGTCTCATAATCTTAGGAGATCCAGCCAACATTTCTGCTGCCTGTGTCATTTATTGGCACATGGATCAGCAGGAGAGGATAGCTACTGGTTGGTTTGATGAGTCTTGGTAGGTTCTATGTCCCATCTGAATATCTGCTCCAGGAAGAGAACACACCTCTCAAGATGGCATGCTGCCTCTGCCCCTCTCAGTAGGGAGTCTCCAGCCAGAGTCATGTGTCTCCTGTTCCTCAGGTTAGTAATTAAATTCTTCCCATCCAGATGGGCCTGAGTGTCTTTTGCTGTGTTCTGTGGAGTGCAGGGTGGGGTCCCATCTTCAAGTGACTCAGAGACATGCTGCAAGGGAAGATTTTGTTGTGTCGCTGTAAGCAAGTGCAGAATGTCTTCTGATTCTCCTGGTCTTACGTGTCACATTCTTCCACTCCCCTTCATCTTTTCCTTTGTTTTCTTCCATTCCTTGGAAATTTACCCCTTCTGTCACTATTTCAGGGGGGCCACCTATTGCACATTTAGAAAGTGTTCATTCTCACTGGTAAGTTGAAGTATAGAGTGGCATTTCTCAAGCATCCTTGCTTTCTTTTCCAGAAGACTGCTAGCTTGCATTGGTGAAGGTCTGGTTCCTTTTGTCCTCAGGCAGGAAGACCAACATGCAGAACATCTGCAGACCACATGCTGCAGATGACTAGACCAACACCTCCTATTTCCATAATGACAGGCATTTCCGATGACTGTGCCATTTCCATTAACTCTGCTTCTACCTCTCCCACTAAACTGCAATGCAAAACACTCCTGGTTGTTCTCTCCCAGGAAACAAGAGCGCTTTGCTTTAGAACTGACCAAATTGTCGTTAAGTGCCTTCAAATCATCTCCAACTTACGATGATCCTATGGATGAAGCCCTTGAAACTTAGGGCCACCCAGCAAATGTCCTGTATATGACAGCCTCTTGTAAACTCTAGGCTGTGGCTTCCTTTATGAAGTTGATCCATCTCAATTTGTAGCCTTGGAGAAATAAACACTAAAGCTTAGTGTTACTGTTACAATCATAGCTGCTAAAATCTCTCCTGCTACAGCATAAGTAAAAACCAGATACGTGCGTACCCTCTCTTAATAGCTTGCTGGCTGGTTAGTTTTAACTGCATTTTAATTTGGATGATTTTAATAGTTTGAACAAAGTGACCCAGGGATTCTTCTCCAGGAAAATGAAACCAGGGTTGAAGAATATTATAATTTAGATTTAAACACAATTAGAACTGGCCCATTGAAATCAATGGGGTGTAAGTCAGTTAGGACTTAATCTGTTTCTGTTGTGTGACTTGAAGCCCTGAAGAAGTGGAGGAACCTATGAATATGTCACTCTTATATGCATATGCATTATCTGTGTAGACCAGGGTCCCCAACCTTTAGGACCGGTGAACATAAGCTGGGTATTTTTGAGTATGGCATGAGTGCTTCCACCAAATGGCTTACCCAATCATAAAATGACTTCTGTGTTGGGTGTGCTCAGTCATTTCCCAAGGGAAAACTGCTGAAGCTAAAGCAAAAGGAACTTGTTAAGTACAGAGCCTAAATATAATAAGAAACTAAATACAAGGCAGAGGTGAGATCTGAGCTTCAAGATACAAAAGAGAGTCACTCTTTTGAATTCTGCATTTTCTGCTGTAACACTCATATCGGAGAGAGCCAGTGTGGTATGATGGTCAGAGTGCTGGACTAGAAATCCTGGACACTTTTTCTTATTCACAAGAGAAAAAAGTGGGTTATAAATGCAATATAATAATAATAATAATAATAATAATAATAATAATAATAATAATGTCACAGAAGGGAAACTAGTAAGGCTTAGGGACAGGAAACTGTGTACAAGGTAGAAGTGGGATTTAAGCCCACAAATTACATTTTTGCCTTGACAAAGTAAGCAATTCCCATTTCACAGAAGACAAACTGATGACGCTCAGAGTGAGGCAAAAATGCACACACATTCACTACACATTCACTAGAGCCAGTGTGGTGTAGTGGTTAAGAGCGTGGGACTGGGACTCAGACAATCTGGGTTCGAGTCCCCGCTCGGCCATGGAGCCAACTGGGTGACTTTGGGCCAGTCACAGACTCTCAGCCCAACCTACCTCACAGGGTTGTTGTTGTGGGGATAAGATGGAGGAGGAGAATGATGTAAGCTGCCTTGAGACCTTTGAGGAAAAAGGCAGGATATAAATCGAAAAAATAAATAAAAATAAATATCAAAACAGACTGATCAACAAACATACACAAAGGCTATTTAGTATTTATTATTACTTAGTTTAAATAGTTTGATGATGATGATGATGAAGAAGAAGAAATTGGAGGCATGCTACTCCTATGCTTCAAAATACTCATTCTTTGGATATGTTACAGCAAGAATTGACTGCTCTAGGAGGACTTCCTCTGTTCCTGTATTGGTCGCTGATTTGCATGTGCCTCTTGATTTTGAGGCAGGCAGGCTCAGGGCAGCAACTTGTGCAAAGGTGTGATAGGCCATAGGTCCTCAAACTACGGCCTGTGGGCTGGATCTGGCCCCCCCATAGCTCGCTGCGCCCACGTGGTGAGGTGCCGGCTTGCTCGCAAGGAGATTGTTTTGGACTCACTGGAAGAAAAGGATCTCCTTGCGAGCAAGCCGGTGCCTTGCTGGAAAAGGATCTCCTTGCGAGCAAGCCAGTGCCTTGCCGGGAGATCCTTTTCTCCGAGCAAGAGGGAGATTGTTTTGGATTCACTGGGAGAAAAGGATCTCCTTGCGAGCAAGCCGGTGCCTTGCTGGGAGATCCTTTTCTCTGAGCAAGGGGGAGATTGTTTTGGACTTACTGGGAGAAAAGGATCTCCTTGCAAGCAAGCCGGTGCCTTGCCGGGAGATCCGAGCAAGGGGGAGATCATTTTGGACTCATTGGGAGAAAATGATCTCTGCGCATGCGTGCCCCTGCCTTTCTGCGTGTGCGCCCTCCCCCCCCACCCGCGCCCCCTGCCTGCACAGCCTTGGCGGCCCGCACCCATCCCTGGCACCTTTCAACTGGTGCCCTATTCAGGAAGTTTGAGGACCCCTGTGATAGGCGGTATGCTCTGAAAGTGGACAGTTCCATTGTGCCTCTGCACCAGGGATCACCAAAAATCTACTTTCACAGTACAGAGATGCAACAGATTTGTTCTCTTCCAAGTAGGTCACTTCACAGAAACTTTATATTACTCGTCTCTTTTTAGAGAGGGGGCAGCAATTTTCTAGTGGCAAAACTAGTGTACACTCTGCACAGCTTGGAAAGCACTGACGTTATAGGTGGGAGTGCTGGCTTTCACTGTACTGACTACGTGGGCACTTGGCTCTCTGGGCCTATCACAATGCTGATTAAAATAGTTCTCTCTTGTGCACACACTCTCTCATGTACACATGGGCACACACACGCACTGAGTGAACTCCATAGGCTCTTGCTCTGTTTAAGTTTTTAAGGATGGACAGTGACAGAGCAAAGGTTTCCTGGCAAGAGGCTGATTACTTTAGCTGCTTCGTCTGCAGTGCTTGGCTTCATTTGAATGGCTGGTGTGTTGGTTCTTCCCTGTGATGCAGAGAACTGCCTCATCAGGCAGGACTCCTGGGACTGAGTGGGTAGCCACTGCGTTGCCATCCTGAGTCCTTTTTATGTTAAGTGGCTGCCCCCGATGGGTGGGGCCATTTTTTCTTTCCTTTGTGCAGGGAAAGCCACAACTTTGTTCAGCCGTCATACCAAGGCAATTGTGTGGGGGATGCAGACGCGGGCTGTGCAAGGCATGTTGGACTTCGACTACATCTGCTCCAGAGATGAACCTTCAGTGGCAGCCATGGTGTATCCATTCACGTATGTTCATAGTGTCATCTTTGTAGTTGCCCTTCTTGCATCCTCCTATGCATAATTCTGTACTGGACTTCTATGAGGAGTGGAACATAGGCTAGAAAAAGTAGTATCTGGTGACCATACACATGACGATACCTTCAGTTCTGCTTCTACCTTATTTCAGACTTGGGGATCTTTTGTGCCTTCTTCCCTTCACTCTGACTCTCCTCCGTATCCTTCCTGCCTAGGATTTAGACCCAAAACCAGTCCCAGTCCGTTTTTTCCATACCTCTTGTTTTACCTGCTTTACTCTCACACCAAAGTTCAGTATGTAACTTGAGCAAAGCAGCATCTCATTTCACCTCTAGATTCTTTAGTCCTGGTAAAATTCTTCATGTATGCATATTTTTATATATTTTAAGTAATTTAGTACCACTCTTCAGTCATATCCCCAGGGTAGTTTACAAAAATGATAAAGGCAACTCTTCAGGCACCTATCGCATGAAAAGTTTTAAAGGTCAAAACTAGTACTTTGAACTGGACCCATATATTGGTTCAGAGCCAGTGCAGTTGTCTTAGCACCAGCATAATTTGGTCATAATTCCTAGTCCAGTTAGTAACCCAGCACCTTCTTTCTGGAATAACTGTAGTTTCTGAACCTTCTTTAATGGCAGCCTCATAAATAGTGCAACACATGAGTCCAACACATTGATTAACAGAGCATGGGCAATTGAGACTAAACCACTTCCCACAGTTCTGCTAATCTGCATTCTGCTGGTGTTTCATTATTCATTCTTTTCCTCTCCTGTTCCATAATTCCCTCCATCTCTGCTCTGTAATGTCCTATGCATAAAAAACTAGTATGGCTTGAAGCAGGCTTGTTGGGATCCTTCTCCTTGAACATGTTTTTTGTTTGAAGGGTTTTTCTGTAATTCATATTATTTGGAGGCACAGTCAGCCATATGAGCCTTTGCCCATAGTCTGAAATTTCAGGCTCAAGTGAGAATTACACCTTCATAAGAACTAGACCTAACACAGGACTGGGAAAAGACATTTTATTTGCTGCTGCATCAGAATCTCTCTAAGTTTTGCTGTAAGCAGGTACATCATAACATGGCAAGTCTAAGTCAGGAAACACAACACTCTTGTTTCTCTCTGTACTTCCAGATGGGGCTTTTCTTGTGCTTCCAGGTGCTTCCAGATGGAGCTTTTCTTGTACAGTCATACTGCCTCATTCACTGAATTTTAGGTGTGGGTGGGCAAGGTGATTATGTCTTCCATTTGTAGTTCTCTTGCATATTCCTATTGCTTCTTCCATCTTGTAATATCAGAAAAAACAACTGTTAAGGATAAAAAGATGGAATGGCTGCCAAATGCCTTTTGATTGGTAGACTAGGAGTCTGCCAAATAGAAGCAGCCTATATCTCTCTGTGTAGCTGAGAAATTAATGAAAAAATAAAGAAAAATATGTTTTTCTTACAGTGGTGACCACAAGCAAAAATTCTACTGGGGTCACAAAGAGATACTAATCCCTGTCTTCAAGAACATGGCTGATGCCATGAGGAAGCATCCAGAAGTTGACGTGCTGATCAATTTTGCCTCCCTCCGCTCAGCATATGACAGCACCGTGGAGACCATGAACTATCCGCAGGTGCATGGAGTAGGCAAGGCTCTCTTGCAGTGTCCTGATGAGTAATTTGTGAAAAACAGAGATCTTTATGTGTGAAAAGATGGATTCCTTTGGTTGAAAGTTGAAATAATTCAGTATAAGGGAAGGGAGCAGGATACACACATCAGAAAGCCTGGGAACTGAAATGCGTACGGCAATTTGGAAGCTCTTGCCTCCCTTCCTTGTAACCTTCTCTTGCCATTTTTGTTATTATATATTAATTATTTATTATAAGTTTTTGTATGCTGTCCTATTACTCAAAATCTCAGGATGGCTTACAATATTTAAAGAACAGTTAAAACAACAATAACTCACAAAGCAACAGAGCGACTAAAGGTTAAAAGTTATTAAATTTTAAGATATTGTTTATATAAAAAGGTTTTGGCCTGGCACTGAAAAGAGTATAAACTTGGCCCCAGGTGGACCTCTCCGGGGAGTACATCCCAGAGTCTGGGCACCACAGCAGAGAAGGCCCTACTCCTGAGTTGATGACCTTTTTACCTCTCTTATAGAGGGTTCCCGGAACAGGGCTTCTCCTGTAGATCTTAAGGGCCGTAAAGGCATATAAAGAAGGAGATGTTCTGTTCCAAGCTGTTTAGGGCTTTATAGGTCAAAACCAGCACCTTGAATTGGGCCCAGACTTCAGCTGGAATCCAGTGGAGCTGGTAGAGGAGCAGCGTTATGTGCAAGTAACGGCTGGTCCCCATCAGCAGCCTGACAGCTCTATTCTGTACCAGTTGCACTATCCGGACTGTTTTCAAAGGCAACCCCACGTAGAGCGCATTGCTACATTTTCAACATCCTGCCTACGAACATAAAAGCTCAAAATTTCCTTTATTTTAAAAGGAATAGTGAGAGACTTGCTGGTCTGATTTGATGACACAGTAAACCATAGCTGAGCATTCTGAGAACAAGCTTAGGCTGACCCATGGGGTTGCACGCACTCATTCCTTATCCAATGTCATGGCTGCAAGAAAGAGTTTGCAGGTTTCACTTGTTGTTTAGGTGAGGGTTAGGGTTTTGTCATATTTCTGAGCCCAACAAACTGTGATTAATTTTAACTTCGGATTATTTGGAGCAAGCCAACTTCAAACAGGGTAAGAAACTGGTTTGTTTATACAAACCATGATTACTATTCCCACATTTTAGGCTTTGGTCAACAGGAAAAACTGGTTAATTGGAACCAAAAGCTTTCCATGTTCTTCATCTCATGGCCACACCACAGAAGAAGGGTGGGGAGAGTTGGTAATCCAAGGCTCCCTCTCAAATCTCATTCTCATTACACAAAACTATGTCTTGATCTGATTGCAGCCATCAGCAGGTTCTGTCCTTTTTCTGAAGCAAAAACTTGCAACCAGTCTGCCTCTGGGAAGAAGGGATCAGTCACTCTTGCATTCTGTCAAAAGAGTTTATGTAAAATAATGGTTAAGGCTGTGAGCTGCATCTGTACCAATGTAACCCAATTTAGCTTTAAAATTACCAAGAATGAAACCAATATAGGGTTTGCATTCTCTGCAGTTACACTGCCTCAGACATAATGTTAAGATTTGTCTGACATGACACGTAACCATCAATTTAAAAAATGACAGTTGCTTCTCATGTTGTTCTAACCCATTTGTGGTGATTGGCCATTGTGATGTACCATGGTCATCAATCATGAATAAGATACAGTGGTCTGCTTTGGGATATCTTCCTACCACGATTGCTTGTTGTGTTATTCACAACTGGATAACACAACTCATCATGATAGAAATTCTTGTTTGTTAAGAGTGGCCTACTCTCTGGGAGAAGCAGGGAAGGGGGGTGCACAGCTAAGCAGTCATGCAGCAAGAAGGGAGCATCCTCACTTAGCCCAGGTCCTTCCTCCCTCAATGGAAAGCCTGTCAGGCAGAAGCAAGGGAATCAGCAGAGGGATGCCACCCCAGTGCTGTCTAGAACCTCTGTTTCCCCCACTTACGCCTGAGAAACTTCCTCTCAGGAATGGACAGGGGAATTAGCCAAGCCACACTGCTCCTTTTCACAGTGCCACCCACCTGATTGTCCCCCTTTTTGCCTGAGTGTGGATCAAGCAAGCTCCCTTTCCTACTCCAGGGGTCTCTTTTTGAGCAGGAGGTGAGGTTGCCTGATCCACTCCCCATTCTCTCTGTGGCATTTCAGGGCATCAGCCATAATTACAGAGCAGGGCTGCTTGGCAGCCTCAATAAGACAAATTTGCAAGTATGGCTGCTGAAGAGAGGAGCCTCGTTCTTTGCTGTGATGTGCCCTGAGATACCACCTGGAGGAACAAGAGAAAAGGAGGTTGGGGGAGAAGGAAAGAAACCACAATGAGCGCACTCATCTGTTGGGCTCACTGTGACTTCATGGCACTGCAGGCAAGCAATTTGCCATGTGCAGACCTCTCTGAATCTAACCAAGTAGGAAGAGAAGGAGAATCATATACACTAAAGCATGGGAGAAGGAGGGAAGTGTATGAGCCTGTGGGAAGCCCTTGATTGCCAAATAACACTTTAATATTGAGCTGCCATGACACTGTCCACAACTGATTACTTGTGAAGTGAACAGAATATGGATGGGAATTATGCCTGTTGGTGCCTTTACACAAATAGTGTGAATTTAGCATGAAGTCTCGTATCTCCATGCGCAGAGTTCCTTCCATGCATTTGGGGACCTCAATTGCACGAGGCTCCTGGACACATGGTGTTCCTCTTCTTGGGCATAGGAGCCACTTTAGCAGCTTCCATTGAGATTAGGAGGTGGAGCCATCTTCCTTCTCCCACAAACGAATATAGGTTCACACACCACCATTTGTGCAGTATATCTAAGATTAGGTCTAAGAAAGGTCTAGTTTTCTGCATTTTTGACTGCAAGATATTTTCAGTGAGTAGGGGAAGGATTTCACTGCCCTTGCCATCACTTGCCCTTCTCAGTAGCAAAGCCAGAAAATATATGCAAAATAAGTGAAATTATGTAAGCATGCTCAATTTACAGAATTACTACAGGTCACAGCATTTGGCCTTCCGTAATATAGACATTGGATTTCCTGGATATGGTACATTTCGCACAAAATACACATTGCCCTGCTTTTAGGAGGGTTAATATTGCAAATGGTCCTCTGCATAGGAACTGCAAAGACTCCTAGTTTCCTTGAGGGTGGGGTTGTTTGTTTGTTTGTTTGTCTTTGGAATCTCCTTTTCTCCGGAGAGAGGGATTCCTGTAAATCAGATTCTCTCTTGGGCTACAGATCCGCACAGTGGCCATCATTGCAGAAGGTATCCCTGAGGCACTGACTCGCAAGTTAATCAAGATGGCAGATGAGAAAGGAGTCACAATTATTGGCCCTGCAACGGTGAGAAGAACTGGATTTGCTTTGGCTGGTTATCTTTCAAAATATATATGTATCCTTTTTTCTAATGGATCAAGAAGGGCTTGTTACTGTTTAATGGTAAAGTCTAGTCAAGCATGTTGTGTTTTTTCTTTAATTCTTAGAAGACATTTCTCTTGCTGTAAGATACAATTTTGTTCTGTATGAGAAAAATTGAAGTTGGATAGTTAGGTGCAGGTGTCCAGGGATGCTTTGTGACTAACATGGGCCAACTTAGATGTACACTATCTGCCTTTCATAAAATGATTATGAATGTGAAGTTCCCATTTTGGAATAGAGGTGTTTTTCAACCATTGTCTGAATTACACAGAAATTGATATAGCATCTCCTTGTTTTGATTTTTAGGTAGGTGGAATCAAGCCAGGATGCTTTAAGATTGGAAATACAGGTGGGATGTTGGACAACATCCTGGCATCTAAGCTGTACCGCCCTGGCAGTGTGGCCTATGTCTCCCGTTCAGGGGGCATGTCCAACGAACTTAACAACATCATCTCCAGGACCACAGATGGAGTCTTTGAGGGTGTTGCCATTGGTGGCGATAGGTGAGAAAAGTGGCAGTTCTGAAATACAAGCTGCTTTGATGTGTGTGCGGGGGGTGGGGGGTGGACAGGGTCCAAAAAGAAACAGTTGTGTCGCTCAGTGTATTGTACAAATGGAACCCATTCTTCTAAGCTATTTTGTTGTGGGTAGAGAACCAGCGTGCTACAGCAAACAGATAGTTGAACCTTAGATAATGGAATTGAAACCCCTGTGGTGCAGTGATTAATTGGTTGGTTTGGTTGGATATATTACTGTGATTCAGCCTGTTCCCTTCCTTAGTAAAACCGTGTTGCTAGTGAATTTTACAGGATTGCTCTGAACACAAAGAAGTTAAGGATGCTAAAGCTCTTTGCCTTACTGACTAGCATATTTGCAGCCTGTGAGATTTAAAAATTGTATAGCAGCTGTAGGCTGATCTGTCTGGACCTAACAGTGGGCCTGCATGCACAGATACAGATTCAGCCTGTATTTGCCAGCTGTTCTGACTTCCATGTACTTCATGCCCTGATGTCAGAAATGGCTTGTGCAATGTCTGAATAGGTTGCTGAGTGCCAGGGAGGACTTGGGAAATATTTTAGAGCTTGTATTCACTGACTTCAGTATTTTTTCTAGAAAGACAGGATAGAAATCTTTGAAAAAATGTTGAAATACATTCTGGAGTACAAGAGCAACTTTTCTGCTTTCAGTGTAATTGTATGTACTGGCTACAAGCTCCACGTAAAGGAGAAAATCAGCTGAGTGGTTTCTGAGCCTTTTGATAGAAGCTTTTGGCTACAGACAGATCAGCACTTCCTACTCAAGTTACATGACATATAAAGTGGACTTTTTAATATAAGTGAATCTCAATGCAAATGCTTGTGATTAGTTTAACTCAACCACTTTAGTCTGTTAGAATTTCTTCCATCATCTCATCTAAATTGAGCATAAATCACACCTCCCTTTTGTTTTGCTCTGTGGTATCTCCTTGTACCTGAAGAAGAGTCTTGTATGCCTTCAAATCTTGCACTCATTGTCATGAGTGAGCTGACGAAAGATAACTATCATGCCCACTCTTTGGCTCTCTCTGGGATGAGCAGACAACTTTCCAAATTTTTATGTGGTAGGATGCAGGGAAATGCCTAGCATGCCACAAGAAAGGCAATCTGTTTCTGTGATTAGGGAATTGGTTTGGGATCTTATAATAAATCTATTTTAAAAAAACAACAACACCTCAGTTCTTCCCCTGAAAGGAATAAGAAAAGTTTATTTTCAGCAGTACATGAATTAATAGGATATGACTTTGACCAGAGACTGCTTTTGTAGTTCTGAGATTAATGTAGACCGTCCAGAGGATAGAATACACAATATTCAAAGCTGCTAAGTCATACAATTGATACATGTATCCCAGGACAGCAGAGACCTGTCATTGTTGTCCTTTAACTGGCAACTCAAAGAGTATAACAGGGAAATTCTTCATGGAGTACCCCATATTTGCTTATTAGGATTTTATCCTGCCCTATTAGCCCTAAGACTCCTATATGGTGGACAGAGAGGGCGGCAACATGAACGGTTTGCAGTGGGTATTCTTGTTAAACATCAGCTATCTTCCTCGAACAAATACTCAACAAAATGTTTGTTCCCTTCTGCCCAGATATCCTGGTTCCACTTTCATGGATCATGTTTTACGCTACCAGGACACTCCAGGGGTGAAGATGATTGTTGTGCTAGGAGAAGTGAGTATCTCCTAGTTGTTTTCTGTTGCCAGCCTCATTTGGAAATACTTATCGTCATGGTTTCATCCTAGCAGAACAGTTGTTGAAGCAGCATGGGGAGGTGATAACAAGAATACCCATAGTTTTTATGGTGTGCAGTAGCCAATATGATAAGATGTTACTTTGAGTTTTGAAAGATGTTACTTTTCAGCTTTGAAAGCATTTGACTGAGTCCTCAATATCGTACAGTTGGAGGGGGCCTAGAAGACCATCAGGTCCAACCCCCTGCTCAGTGGAGGACTCAGGTCTCCCATCCAGATTCTAATCAGGCCTGATCCTGCTTAGCTTGTAAGATTAGGCAGGATCAGGCTCACAGGAGGCTCTATGAAGGATTTCTTGCACAAGGGAGATGTGTTTGGTGAGCAACCAAAACTGTCTTAATTAGAGCACCAAAGCTGCAGAATTCTCTTTGGCCAGAAGATGTTACTTTGTCCAGAAGATCAACAGTCAGAATCACTGCATTCTCGTAGGCCTCTTATAAAAAGATTCTTCACTTTCCTAACATTTGGCATGTGAGGATTTTTTGTTTTGGTGGCGGGGTCAGCACCCTTTGACTGTTTTTACTTGTTAAATGCAGGACTGCTGAAAGAATTGTTAGGTCTAGGTTAAAAAATTAAAATATCTGTTTTTAATGGTTTATTTTTTATATTTTGTGACCTGTTTTTACTTGTGGAAAAAACTTTAAAAATTGAACATAAAAATCTATGGCTCTTGATCTCCTGGTAGTTCTCTTTATGGTCCTGTACCCCTCTTATTCAAATTTGCCTGAATCTGGGATTGAATTGGTAAAATCAGGACATTTGTTTAAAAAAATGTTCTGCAAATTTCAGTTGTGTTTGGCTCCTTTTCTTAGATTGGAGGAACAGAAGAGTACAAAATCTGCAGGGGTATTAAAGAAGGACGGATCACTAAACCAGTTGTCTGCTGGTGCATTGGAACCTGTGCTACCATGTTTTCTTCAGAGGTAAAGGGTATATGTAGTGGAGAGAAAAGCTATTTGGGGCTGGGTAAATGTATAGACTCCATAAAATGTAAAACTAGGGAGGAAGTCTGGCCAGGTACACAAAATCCTAGATGTGAGAAAAAGTGTGATTATACTTTAGCACTGGGAAAAGGAGACTCAGTGAGCTGATGAGGCAGAAGGCCCACGTCTCTTCTGTCAGTAGGTGAGTTAACATGACGCAACAGCCCATCCTGCAAATAAGGTACATAGTGGGGTTTGTGAAACAGGCCTTGAGTGCTCAGCAGACAGTTAGACTCACTGGGGTTTGTTCTTTCCCACCTTCCCCCTTCGTCCTTCTGTGATGGAAGGATCAGTCTTGTCTCCTCTCCCTGCTCCAACTGCAACATCTTTGTGGTTGATGCAGTTCTTTTTCCTCCTTTTGGTCAGTAACAACCCCTCCAAACTGCCCAAGTCAAGGAATCTGTATATGGGTTATGTTGTGCAAACCCAGTCAGCATCATCCACAATGAGCAAATTCAAACCTCACACTAAGCCACGCTACTGATAAGCCACCATGGGTTGCTTGTTCTTCAAACAACCTCAGTACCCCGATAGATCATGATGTTTCCCACAGCATGTTCCTGCTGCATTTTGCTTCAGTTCTCTCACTGGTTCTGCTGCCTTTGCAGCAAAACTCATCGTTGCCCTATTCCCTGTTATAGCACCTTTTTGCAATTGGTCTCCTGGGATTGCTAGTTATCAAGAGAAATTTACCACTCTCCACATCCAATCACCAAACAAAAATAATTTGTAGAGTCCTTATAAGCATAGGAACAGGTTCACCAGCTTTTTTTCCTGGGGAATTCCAGTGTTGCACAACTACACAAGACTGACCCTCTGAATTTTAGTTCAACATACCGTCAAAATCAAGTTCATACTCCAGTTTGGAGCTTGTATGTTTAAATTCTGCTTCACTTTACAATGAAGTGAAGAGTGCCTGCAGTGCCCTTTTGCCATTCAAAGTTTTTAAGTTCTTTAAAAGCCTTAATAATGGAAGATGCAGACAAGTAGATAGGTGTATGAGTCATTAATTTATATCTGTTATTACTATTAGTTAAACAAGTTTATTCTGGGAGCAGAAATAGGATTTGTTTACTATAATTTTTAATTTAAGGAACAGAACACTAGTCTTGCTAAAGGCCCCTTTCTCTTTCTTAACAGGTACAGTTTGGCCATGCAGGAGCTTGTGCTAATCAGGCATCTGAAACTGCTGTGGCCAAAAACCAGGCTCTGAAAGAAGTAGGTGTCTACGTCCCACGAAGTTTTGATGAGCTGGGAGATGTGATTCAGTGAGTATGGCACAGTATTGGACAGTTGCCTAAGGGCCCGAAGCAGTGCTGGGATCATTATGATCTTAACAAGTTCCATCTTTGACTGGATGGAAGCTGTGGTGCTCCCAGCATTGTAAATAGCTCCTCTCTCTAGTGTGGGGTGGGGTGGGAAGCCTGCAGAAAAGAAATCTGAGAGTCAGGCTGCCCACTCCAGTGACCACGCTGGATCCCTGCCGGTGGAATAATGAGTGTGTGAGAACAAGAAACCTCAGTGAATTAGAGCCTGCTGGATGCTTTTCTTGGTCTTTTGTTCATTATCTCTTAGTGGCAAACTTTCCCTGCTTTTCTCCCTCCCAAATCCTAGGGTTAGGATTAGAATAGTGATTTTCCCTATAAATTGGAAGGAGAAGAAAAAAAATGGTTACTGTAAGGAAAGTCAGGGGGAATGAAACAAGAGACAGAGAAGTAGTCAGCTTTTTGTGTCAATGGGATTCTTTTGTGTGGGATTCTTCAAAATTTTCAACAGTTAACTGAGATACATAATAGAAATGCAGAAGATCCAGGATGCTGGATCCCCAGAAATCTCATAGAACACTGAAATGATACATTTCCATATGTTATGCAACTTAATAAACTATTTTCTGTCTGTCAGTAAGTGTGTCTGTGCTGTATAGCTTTTTATTGTAACTAAGAAGTCGGGGGGGAGAGAACACTCAATAGTCAGAGCTTGCTGTGATGGGGCTACACTCCCAGGTGGTGCAACTTAATAGCTCTGAGGAATTACTTGGTTTTTAATTAGTTTTTGCCTTTTCACGCTCCCTAGCCCTACCAGTGTGGTGTAGCGGTTAAGAGCCTGGGACTGGGACTCAGACTATCTGGGTTCTAGTCCCCGCTCGGCCATGGAGCCAACTGGGTGACTTTGGGCCAGTCACAGACTCTCAGCCCAGCCTACCTCACAGGTTGTTGTTGTGGGGATAAGATGGAGGAGGAGATGTAAGCTGCCTTGAGCCCTTTGTAGGAAAAAGGCAGGATATAAATTGAAATAAAATAAAGGTCACTAGCAAGAAGATGAGTACCTCAAAGAACTATGGGCCTGGTGCACATTGTATTAATTGTAGACAATTGAACCCCCCCACCCCAGTCCCACCCAGCTCCATTTATTTACATTTTAAGTTTGAGTCGGAAAGCACTTCCTGCATCTTTCCGTGTATTATGTAGCAATTTAATCGCCCTCCTGCATGAAGAGAGGTAGGCTGTCATGCATCCCTTGATTGAATTTAAAAAGCAGACAAGTACTAAATCTGTGAAATGAGATAAATACTGTTAGTCACAGTTGGTGTGGGCTTTGCACTAGCAGAAAGCCTTCCACTCAAGCGGGGTGCTGTACCTCCTTGTTGCCAGTCTTTGCTGTCTTTTGTAGCCTCCCGGGCTGTATCCCATACTGCTCTAAAGAGCCCTCCTGCTCTGCTGTCTTTTGTAGCCTCCCCAGCTGCAGGAGAAGTTGTAATAAGTTTGGGGGGAATGGGAAAAATCAGTTGCCCAGTCTTGCAGAAAGTAGGAAGAACTCTCTTTAAGTACAAGCAACCATTGGATACAAGCCAGTGATTATTTATTTATTTAAAACATTTCTATGCCGCCCCATTCGCAGAGAGCCTCGGGGCAGCTTACAAATTATTAAAAGATGGTGATGGTGTTTGAAATTAAGTTAATTTCTACCCTAACTTCTTTGAAAGTTATAATTAAAAAGTAATCCAAAATATTTATTTATTTGGGATATCCATCCAATCACTGTGTGTCTCTGGACAGCTCACAAATTGGTACAGAATGATTTGAAAGTTAAAACATAACCAACATTATTTTTTATTAATCCAACACTTAAATTCTAGGTGGCATACAAAATGAAAAGCATTGTTCTTGTCCACATATGAATAGACATTGCAAAGTACAACCTGTGACCAGTCTTTTCCATCTTTATCTTAAAAATTATAATACATTCTTAATCCTTGTTGGAAAGGGTAGAATAAGTTCTGTAATGTTCTGTTTCATTAGTTTGTTTGTCTCATACCAGAGATCATTGCAAAAATAATAAGCTCCATACAAGAAAAATCTTACCTTCTCATCTTCAGAGCTCAGTACTGAAATTTAGATTTGTGAAGCAATATAATATGATCAAACTATCTTTGTTATCTTATCAGTCTCAGGTAAAATACTATACTTTATTGCATGTACTTACTGAGATTTTTTTTCAGCAGTAACTACAAATCTGATTGTCTTTTATAGGCGACATTCATTAGAATTGTTCAGGAAACAACCAAACTTGTCAAAATCCATTAACTGCATTGCGCATTAAAAAGACTTGTAAGGGGGCTCTCTCAGGAAGGCCCTTATCTAGGTTGAGAGAACCCTTTCAGAATCCATCACTCTAGTGCTTGTGGACTTGCACTCATGCTTGTCCCAGTCCTGCAAAGCAAGCCAAGCCAGCCGACCCTTTCTCCCATTCATTTGGAGGCTGCTGCTCTTAGCAACTGTTGGATCCTGGCTGCATGACAGTCAATGGAATAGGACTACTTGGGAAGAACAGATTTGTGAGGCTAATGAGATTGAGTTGAATGTGGCTAAACTGATGGTGAAAGACAGGGCTAAGAATAAAGGGATGCTTTTATAAGGATGCTTAAACATGTGGCATGAGCTCAGCACAAAACCACTGGGTAAAGAGGTAACACACTAACGTGTACCCTTTTCTTTTTCTTTTAGGTCTGTGTATGAGGATCTCGTTTCCAAGGGAGTGATTGAGCCAGCCCAGGAAGTGCCTCCTCCAACCGTGCCAATGGACTACTCATGGGCAAGGGTAGGGTTGCTCTTTTCTGAGTGATTACTGGAAGAGCTAGTAGGTAGCCCGAGGGGGAGGTACACTGAGATGTGTCTTTTTAATGATTAGAAGGCTGAGGAAGCCCCAGTTTCCAAAATAAATCATTCCAAACTACACAAAGAGTGAATGCTCCTTCATAGAAAAGGCTTTCCTTTTATCTAAAACTAGTGTAGAAGAGGGCTATCCTTGCCTTCTCTTTGACATGCTAGATGTCTGAATTGAGGCAGGGTTAGCCCTACCATCAGAAAGAGTGGGTGCAGGGGCACTTCAAGCAGCTGAAAGTGTAGCAAGTTGTTAGTTATTTAATTTATTGCTATTGTATTTTTCTTGGCAGGTAGAGGAGAACAATAGGATTTAGTTCCCCAGGTGCCTAAAGAATATGCTTCACTTTGAGAACAATGTATCTTGAACTGATTGTAGGGGTGCATTTCCTTTAGACTGGCTGTCTGTGTAGGAAACTCCTTTATGATGGAGCATTCACTGATTTGAGCTTTCACCCGCAATCTGAAATGGTACAGATAGGCCAACTTAATAAGAAGCTGGTCAGTGTCTCAGTGCTGTTTTTATCACTTTCCTCCCCACCCACAACTTTTAGGAGCTTGGTTTAATCCGGAAACCAGCTTCCTTCATGACCAGCATCTGTGATGAGCGGGGCCAGGAATTGATCTATGCTGGTATGCCCATCACTGAGGTCTTCAAAGAAGAGATGGGAATTGGTGGTGTTCTGGGCCTCTTGTGGTTCCAAAGAAGGTGAGGAGTTTTTTTTCTCGATAATGGGGTTGTATACCTGGCAGTCTTGTAGGTAGAAACATAGAAACAGTGAATCTGAAGGGACCTCCTGAGCCATCTGGTCTGACCCCCAGCTCCAGCCAGCTCCACTCATGACATGCCTACCATGTGTATGCCCAACCTGTCCTTAAACACCCTCATTGTTGGGGCTTCAACCACCTCCCATGGAAGCCCATTACATATCCTAGGGGTCCTAACTGTCAGGAAGTACTTCCTCACATCCACCCTAAATCTTGGTTCCCTGAGCTTTGCTCCAATGGAACACATCCTGCCCTCCACTGCAGGGGAAAAAAGGTCATGACCCACCTCTGTGTGGCACCCCATCACATACCTGTATGTTGCTAACAGATCCCCTCTAAGTTTCCTCCTCTCAAAACTGAAAAGACCCAGCTCCTTCAGTCTCTCCACATGTGGCTTACCCTGCAAACCAGTCATCTCTTCTTTTTTTCCCCTCTGACAAGCTTGGTGATGAGGATTGATACAACTAAAGCAGTGAAAGAAAGGCTTAAATAATTTGGGCCTTAAAAACAGTGGTCAGCAGCTGGACCCCACTGGGCCAGATCCAACCCTCCAGGAAGTGTTGTCTAGGACCCCTCAGTTGCCAACCTAGGGAGGAAAAATATGTGGTAAAATGGGGTTGGCAATAGTAGAATGTGCTAGCTAATTTTTTTAGCAGGTAGAAGTTGAGTTGCATTTGCCACTCTTTCTACAAAAGTAGCCCTGCTGATCCAGAAGCTCAAGAAGGGATGGGGTCAGAAAAGACAGCCAAACAGGGCACCGATTAATGAGTAATAAATAATGAAGTTGAGGTAGGGTGGAAATGCAACTTAGCTATGTATTTTTTACTCACCAGGTTACCCAGATACGCCTGCCAGTTCATAGAGATGTGTTTGATGGTGACAGCAGATCATGGCCCAGCAGTATCCGGAGCCCATAACACTATTGTTTGTGCTAGAGCTGGGAAGGATCTCGTCTCCAGTCTCACTTCTGGTCTGCTCACAATTGTAAGCATTTCACAACTGCTGGATATATGTGGGAGATCATGCCTTCCTTAGGATCTGGTGAGGACTCTTTGCTGAACAAAGAGTCACCTTGCCTGCATGCCACTCCTCCTTTATATAGCAAAGACTTTCAGCATGTGAGCTCGGTTGTATCTCCCTCCTAGCTTGATTAAAGGCATAATCAGTTCAGCACCCTCCCTCCCTCACACACACACACACACACACAATACTACATGTTCCTAGGTCAGCTTAAATGTAATGTAATTTGAATTTAAAATATATTTACATTAGGACTTGGGTTTTAGTCTTCTTTCGATTTTTCATAAAGGGATTGGTGTTACTGTTTATTCCCATGTTATGTATGCTAACTTCAGCTTCTTTGAGTTTGCTGACATTGATAGACTGCTGCAGGTTAGATGGTGTGCGACAGGGAGATTCATTTGAATTGGGAGATGGGATAAATGGCACACAAGCAGGAGATGGGTGAGCTTTCCAGAGGAGGACGCCAGCAGTGAGGCACCGCTGAGCCAGAATAGTTAAACACAAATGTGCCACTGGGAAGCCAGGCCTTACAAGACATGCTTGGTGTATGTCATGGGAGTACAGTATTGAAGCAGGCTTGCAAGTCTTTTGTGTCTGCACTGTTCAACTTGAAGCTGAGGAGGAGGAGAAAGGAGAAAAAACCCTACACCTAGAAAATTAGATACCAGATAAAAGGATTCCAGCTTAGGCTTCTCTCTGACATGCTAGTTTTCTGTGTGAAAGGAATGCTTTTATATGAAGAGCAGCCCTTCCTGTAGGCCAGACTTACCTCAGTTAGGACTTCACTGTAGGGTGTTGGCAAGTAGTGTTCACAGGACTTCCTGGCCTCCCAGTTGTATATCTTGCTCTATCCTACCTTAACCCCAAAGAAAGACTTTTAAATCTGGGCTTATCTGTGTTTGCTGATCTTCAGGGAGATCGGTTTGGTGGTGCACTGGATGCAGCAGCAAAGATGTTCAGCAAAGCATTTGACAGCGGCATCATTCCAATGGAGTTTGTGAACAAGATGAAGAAAGAAGGGAAGCTGATCATGGGCATTGGCCACCGGGTCAAATCGGTAGGTGGCCCTGTCTGCTGAGAGGGACTGGTAGGGTGAAGCTTGAAGGGGCACAGTCTTCTTCTCAGATACCAGTTTTGAAGGGACTTGGCCATAGTGTGGGCTGATATTCCCAGCACTCTCCTTGCTGTTCCAGAATGGTTTCTTTTATGGTTTGTTTGCTTGTTAATTTGCAGATCAACAACCCAGATATGAGAGTTCAGATACTTAAAGACTTTGTGAAGCAGCATTTCCCTGCAACACCTCTTCTAGACTATGCTCTGGAAGTTGAAAAAATTACTACTTCCAAGGTATGGGTCTTGTATTTTCTTTTTTGGGTGTGAATTGGTCTTTTCCAGCCTACCCCACTACTCTGGGAACTACCATCACTTCAAAATGTTGTTTGGTTTAGGGTGGGGAGTTGTTAGTCCATGTGAGCGTATCAACTGATGTTTACTTGTTTATGGTAAATGCTCTAAAAAGAGTTGTGTGGTGGGGAAGGAAGAACCACATTACTTTGCATTCAGAAATATTGTCCTGCTCAGTCACCTATGACCAACTTGTACTTTCTGTAGATGGCCATCAGATGGCTATTTATAATACTATTCTATGCTATAGAAGTCTGAACAGAAAGCTTATACATGATGTGCTGTGTTGAAGAAGCAGTCTATAACTTATGCAAGTAAAATAAACAAAACAAGTCCCTCGTGGCCTGCAGTGGCTTTCTTAGGTTCTCAGGCAAATTCTTCCTGTCTGAGCTGTTTTCCGCTGTAGATGCAGGGAAGCTGAGAACTTGACCAACAAAGCATATGTTCTTCCATGGAGTTACAGCACCTCTCCTGGTTTACATATTCCATAAACTCTTGTCTGTACAGACTAGAATAAATGTGAAAACTTTGCCTCAGGTGCCTTCAGCAAAGGTAGTTTGATGAAGGGTGTTAGGCTTACTTTCAAAATTCTCCCACCTCTTCCATCAGCTCCAGGAAGTCCCGGAGCCTGTAGTAATGATGTATGCTTTTTAAAAAATTGTGCCCTGGAGCATAGGCACCCCCATTCAGATTTGTCAACAAAAGCCTTGTGAGTTTCCTGTAAGGAATTCAAATCCATTTTTGGTCTGTTTTCATTGTTTTGGAGGAAGAAACTTGACCACTCTATCTTTTCTTCTCCCGCTTCCCCATGGCAGAAACCTAACCTCATCCTGAATGTTGATGGTTTCATTGGTGTTGCCTTTGTTGATGTGCTTAGGAATTGTGGCTCTTTTACACGGTAAGCAATCGGATATCTAGATGGGTCTTGGTCATGGTTCTAAAGCCTGGCTACACTGAGTCTACCTAGCTCAGAGACCAGGCATCCTAAGTGTACCTGGAATGAAGGAAACTAATAAGAGGAAGTTACAGTTTGGTGACAGAGCAGACAGTTTGCATGTGTGAGAAGGGACACATTTTCAGTCTACACTACAACATGCCAGTATAAACTATAACAGCACATTCTGTCCTTGCATATACAATGCCTATGGTACATTTCTGCCTCACTAGGCCAGTCCTCAAGGACAGAGGATCACTAATGGTTAAATGCCTCTGTGCAGCTGGGAGAGCAGATCTAACAGGGCATGCCTGCTATATGCTGTGGCAGCATAGAAATAAGTAGCTGATGACCTCTGCCCGAATCCAGCTTTCCAGAAACATCATTTGATGCCCCATTTGCCCTCCCTGAAGCAGGTGGGGTTCCTATGGAAGAGAGAGAATGTATGTATAGATACACATATCCCATTCAGATATGAACATACAAAGTTGTCTTATGCAGACCCCAGTTTCTATGCTGGTGGGCAGAAACCCTTTTTTCCCAATTCCCTTTCCCTTTTTTACCTGGGATCCTTTGAACTAGAGATACCAGAAGTTGAACCCAGGATTCTCCATATGCAGTACAGGTGCCCTAACACTGGAAACACAGGAAATTTCCATCTTAAAAAATGTTGGGAGTTGAGTTTGCTGGATTCTGAATGTGAGACTCTGCCAAAGAAGTGTGGCCACTCTCCTATTATGATGAAGGGGTTGGGTGAGAGGGTTAGGTCTCACTCTTACCTTGCTCAAATGTCAGAAGGGTGTGTATGGACTAGCAGCCTGTGACATGCATGAAATGGGAGAGGCATGACGACTTTGATTTTTTTTTTAACCTGCCATTGAAAGGAGGAAAAAATCTCGGGGGAGGGGCATTCACATGCGTCTACACAGCCCATATTCTTTTCATTACCAGCGAATATTAATATTTTAAGCAGACATTTGGTTTCTATTTCAGGGAAGAAGCTGATGAATATATTGACATTGGTGCCCTCAATGGCATTTTTGTCCTTGGCAGAAGTATGGGATTTATTGGTAAGTTTTGCATGGTATGGGTAAGTCCCCTGGAGGCCAGTGTAGCTTATGGTATTAGTCAAATATTGCTGCTGTACAGGTCAGTCCCATCACCTTTTGGCCCAAATCTCTTGATGACAAAGGCAGGTAACTAGTGGTTTACGGGCCAAATCTTCCCCCTAAAGAAGTTGCAGCTAATTCCAGTGGTTCCAGTTGGAGTTGATCACAACCTGAATGTGTGTGTGACGTGGCTGCAAAAAAGGCAAATGCAATTTTAAGTTGCAACAGTAGAGGTTTCAAAATTGCTGACTGGACTCACACTGCTCAGATTTCATCTTAAATACTCTATCTGTTTCTGAACGCCAAGCTTTAAGGAAGATTTGGATAAATTGGAATGAGTTCAAAGAAGGGCAACAAAGGTTATTAGGGTCTACTGCCTACATCGTATGAGGAAGGACTGAAGGAACTGGGTATGTTTAGCCTTCAGAAAAGACAACTGAGAAGGATATGATAACACTTTTCAAGTACCCAAAGACTTGTCATACAGAAGAGGGCTCATCCTATTGTCTGTCATCAAGACTAAGAAATGAAATAATGGACTTGTTACAGGAAAGCAGATTTCTTTTGAATATCAGGGGAAACTTCCGAACAGTTGTACAGTGGAACCATCTACCTAGTGAGTTAGTAGGTACTTTTGTATTCAGACAGAAACTGGAGAATCATCTGTCAGGGATGCTTTAGACTGGATTTCTGCACTGAGCAGGGAGTTGAATTTGATAGCTCAAACACCCTTCCCAATTCTATAACTCTACTAAAAGGGAGGTATGGTAATTTTTATTATTGTATTAAATTGAATTTATATCCTGCCTTTTTACTCCTGTGAGAAACTCAAGGCAGCTTACATACCTCTATTTCACCTGAGATAAAATAGGCTGAGAGTGAGTGACTGGCTCAAGGTCACCCAGTGAACTTCATGGCCATGTGAGCCTGGCCCAAAGTCACAGGCTCTTCATCCCAACCTACTTGGTGAGGTTGTCGTTATGAGGATACGATTGAGAGGAGGAGGAGAAATGCATAAGCCACCTTGAGTTCCTTGGAAGGAACAGTGACAGGATATAAATACAATAAATAAAGGCATATATAAATACCACTTTGCTAACCCATACACATCCTTGAAAAGTGAAGTATCTCAGTCAATCTTAGGGATTAGAAGCTCTTTTAAGAATTATCTCTGTTTCTTGACTTTCTCATTCATACCATCTCATGTGTTCTGTGGCTGTAAAGCTCTTCATTGTTAGGCTGTACCAATGTTATTCCTTTTGCTTTTGTCTCTCATGTTCAAGACTAGTGTCTGGACTCAGACCAGAGTAGCTTCTGAGTAAATAGACTAGATACAGTTGTCCCCTTCATCTTAACTCTCCCATCTCCATATCTCCTACATGTTGCTGGTACAAATGTTATGCCACATGCAACTCCTGTGGGACAGAAATACCCTTAAATAAATGGTGGGACAAGAACATGAGAGCCATGCTGGATCAGGCCACTGTTCCATCTAGTTCAGCATTCTGTTCACAAAGGAGCCATATCAAGTGCCAAGGGGACCCCACAAGCCATGGTGGTTTCTTCACATTGTGGCCTGTTGTGCTGTCTGAACCCAGTCATGGTATTTCCAAAGTCTGCTCTTTAGAAACCACAATCAGAAACAACAGTTTATTCTATGGTTTCTTCGTACCATTATGGCTTGGTGTGTGGCCAAACCCAGGATAATGGTTTCCATAGCCCTGGTATACAACTACCACAGGGTCCACTGGAAAGAGCAACAATTGTAAGAGTTAGCTGTATGTGTGGACCAGTGAGAAAGAGGTAGGCAAGTCAGGCAGAGAGCAATGCACCTTGGGACTGAATTTCAGGCATAGCGTCTAATGGGATACATGCCAACAATGGGAGGACTGAGTGAGGTCAGGATGGAAACCACTCTGACATGGAAACCACTTGATCATCTGTTGGTGATTGTGGTAAAAAACAACCATGGTAATTATGCAGGGTTGCTTGTCATATTATGAGAATGCAGCCTATGAGTCCAACAGCACTTCCTACCTGAGTTCCCCAGCAATTAGTATACATAAATGTACTGCCTCTGCTACTGGACTAGAAGCCATTGAACCTTGGTTACAAGGTTGTCAGCCACTGCCACTGTATTGACCATTGCCTCTTGGCCAACACTTACATGGTAGCCCTTGGGAATGTGCCATTATGTGAATAGAGTTAGCAGATTGCCACTCACTCCCAGTTAGCTCCTTTAAAAAAAAAAAAAAAGGCTGTACAGGTTTGTGGGTTCACTCTGAAAGAGAGGTATACAATAAGATTTGTTTAATTTCAGGACATTATCTAGACCAGAAGCGGTTGAAGCAGGGTCTTTACCGTCACCCATGGGATGACATCTCCTATGTCTTACCAGAGCATATGACTATGTGACAGCAGAAGGAAGCAAAATGAATTGTCTTTAGAGAAGGTCACCATGTCACTACGTGTCCTCGCTGTTGAGATATAGGAAACCAAGGACTGACTGGGTTCAAATTCTTTACAAAGCAGTCTTTTACAGGCCTTAGAAGTGGATTCTATAAATAATGATATACCAAAACCTGTTGCTATTTCTTGCTGTATTTAATATGTAAAAGCAGTTGCACTGTCTTTGCTTGTTCCTTTGTTTTATTAATTTTCTCCTTCTGCCTCCCCACTTTTGCTTTTCTGCAGTGTTTTCTGGTCAAGTTTTAATGCTTTTTTATTATTATTTTGAACCATGACCTCATTAGGCTTGAAGAACCAGAAAGTGTCATTAAGCCAACATTACCAAAATTGTGAAGAACATTATCTTTACAAACTGTATAATTTGTCTTGTCTCCTGTATGTTCATCTCCATTGTTAAGATTGTATTTCTGGTCAAGGGTACTATTGTTGATTTAATAAGCCATTCCAAGTCTGGTGTAGTAATTTTAAAATGTAAACTGGTAACATAAACTCTTGTTCAAAACTGTGAAATTTGTGTGCATTCCAGTTTATTTATGCAGCTAATATTTTTACTCTTCACAAAAAGTCCATATAAAATACAGATCAAAGGTTGGCCTATGTTTATATAAATATACTTATCAATATATTTAATCTCTGGGCCTCTAACATACCCACAACAATATTCAGTGCTTATTTGTCTCTGTATTATAATCTGTCTCAAATAAAAAGTACAACAATAAAATGTCTTAGCTGAATTTTGTGAATGGCCCCTTAAATATTAATTTGAGCTAGCTGAAGAAAACCAGACTTTTACATGATGAGAAGAATGATTGTTTAAAATGTAAAATTGGCTGTTTTATGTGAGCATATACTTCAGTAATTCTGAAACTAATACTTTGCAAGACTCCATGAAAACGCCTTACACAAGATCCTGAAGGCATGGAACTATTTCTGTAAGAAGATGTACTTTAATAAACAGGACCCACCATACGTATTCTCTGTTAGCCAGTTGATCTAATTTAAAAATAAAAATCTGAGGATACGGAATATGGCAATCCCTAAGGGTTGCTTCTAGATGAGAGGCTTTTATTTTGCAGTCATCCTGCCTTGTTCATGGAAATTTAAGCTTGGCCCAGCCATCATTGTTCCTGACTTGTGCCTCTCCTGTGTTTTCCTACAATTTCTTCCATTTCTTCTCAGAAAGTTAAGAAAGGAAAGACTGAATAGCTGCACATTGCCTTTGTATTAGGCAACCTCTCACTGAATGCCCCTGCAAATGTTGTTGTACTGCAGTTCTAATAATCTCCTACAATTGGTTATGGGAATGTCAGTTCACTGACATGTGAAGGGTCATGTTTCCTACTTCTGACCTAGAGCTTTCTTCCTGGGGGCAGAGGAGGTGCTCACAGCAGTAAGTGGACTGGTGATGTCAACTTTTCCTTTGAAGGCTTTCATAAGCTTACTGTAAGTTGGAGACAATTTGAAGGCATGTGACATTTTTCTAAGAATCCAAAACATAACAGCAACCAAGTTACTGAGTGTGTTAAGATCATGAGAAGAGCCATGCTGAATCAGACCAGGCCAGTCTATCTAGGCCAGTATTCTGTACAACAGTGACCAACCAGCTGCCTGTAAGAAACTTCATGTTCCTCAGATACTCAGAATATTTTATGTATTTATTTTTACGTTTGTATGTCACCATACTATTCCAACAGGAATCTCTAAGTGGCTTTGAGGTAATAAAAGTTACAAATATTGAACAGTAAGGCAACAAAACCAATCATATAAAACAACCACAATTTAACAAAGATAATTTAAAACTTACCTCACATGAAAGGACAGTCAAACAATATATGAAAATTTAAATTCAGTTAAACTATTACAGTTATTAAGGTATGGCTATTGTGTCTATTGCAATGTATGGCTGTGAAAGCTGGACCATAAGGAAGGCTGAGCGCCAAAGGATTGAGGCCTTTGAATTGTGGTGCTGGAGGAGACTCCTGCGAGTCCCTTGGACCACAAGGCGATCAAACCGGTCAGTCCTAGAGGAGATCAACCCTGACTGCTCTTTAGAAGGCCAGATCCTGAAGATGAAACTCAAATACTTTGGCCACCTAATGAGAAGGAAGGACTCCCTGGAGAAGAGCCTAATGCTGGGAACAATAGATGGCAAAAGAAGAAGGGGATGGCAGAGAATGAGGTGGCTAGATGGAGTCACTGAAGCAGTTGGTGTGAGCTTGGGTGGACTCCGGGGGGTGGTGGAGGACAGGAAGGCCTGGAGGAATGTTGTCCATGGGGTCGCGATGGGTCAGACACGACTTCACGACTAACAACAACAACAACATTGTGTCTAGTTGTCACGGATAGCCATACTCTCCAAAATTTTGACTCTCTTTAAAGCTACCTAAATTGGTGGCCATCAATTTTAAAGCTACCTAAATTGGTGGTCTGTCTTGATAATTGGATTTTTCAAGAACAAGCCTTGCCAGACTAATCTGGCCTCAGGTTTTGATTGGGTAACTAACTGCCCTTGGGGACTGTGGTAATGCTGTGGATATAATATATCTTGATTTCAGCAGATGTCAGCAAAGTACCCCATGCAATTCTGATCAGCAAACTAGCTAAAGTGGGCTTGATGGAACAACTATCAGGTTGGATCCATACACAATAGGACTTAAGAGAGTGTTTCTCAATGGCATCTTCTCAGACCGAAGAGAGGTACCAAGTGGCGTACCACAGGACTCATTCCTGGCCCCAGTACTCTTCAACATTTTTATTAATGACTTTGATGAAGAGGTGCAGGGAATGCTGACCAAATTTCCAGATGATATAAAATTGGGTGTGGTAGCTAATACCCTGGAAGTCAAAAGTAAAATCCTTAGTGATCTGGAGTACTGGACTGAAAACAACAGAATGAAATTCAATAGGGACGAATGCCAAGTTCTACATCTAGGAAAAGGGAACAAAATTCACAGTTGCAAGATGGGAGATATTTAATACCAATGAGAAGGATCTTGGAATTGTTACAGATCACAGGTTGAAAACATGTCAACAATGTGATGTGTCTGCAAAAAAAGTTAATCGTACATTGGACTGCCTTAATAGAAGAATCACTTCCAAATCACGTGAGGTACTGATTCCCTTCTATTCAGCATTAGTTAGGACCCATCTTGAGTATTGTGTCCAGTTCTGGGCACCACACTTCAAGAAAGATGCAGGCAAACTGGAAAAAATTCAGAGGAGAGCAACAAGGATGACCAGAGGTCTGGAAACAAACGTCCTATGAGGAGAGATGGAAAGAACTGGGCATGTTTAGCCTTGAGAAGAGACTATGAAAGTACTTTTCAAATACTTGAAAGGCTGTCACACTGAGGAGGGCCAGGTTCTCAGTCATCCCAGAGTGTAGGACATAGAATAATGGACCCAAGTTACAAGAAACCAGATTAAGCTAGCCATCAGGAAAACTTCCTGGCTGCTAGAGCAGTATGGCAATGGAACCAATTACCTAAGGAGGTTGTGGGCTGTCCCACAGTGGAGGCATTCAAGATGCACTTGGAAAGCCATCTGTCTGTGATGCTTTATCTTGGAGTCCCACATTGAGCAGGGAGTTGGACTCAATAGCCATATAGGTTCCTTGCAATTCTGCTATTCTACGATTTTATGATCACTGCATCTTGTGGTAGAAAATCCATCCTTTTAACTCTGTGCTGTGTGAGGAAGTACTCTCCTTTTATCTTTTTTAATCTCCCACCATTCAGCTTAATGGATTCTAACATTATGAGAGAGGGAAAAATATGTCTTCCTGATCTTTTTTTCTCACTGAACATAATTTGCTACATCTATCTCATATCTTCTTTATTTGCATTTTTTCCTAAGCTAAACAACTCTATATGTTACAATCTTTCCTGATAGATTGCTCCAGCCCCTTGATGATTTTAGTTGCCCTTTTCTGTACCTTTTCAATTCTATAATATCCCTTTAGATCAGAACTGTACACTGTATTCCAAATGTGATCAATTTGTATCATAAATTTGTATAAGGACACTATGATATTAGCAGTTTTACTTTCAGTTCCTTACCTAATGATCCTCTACATGGAATTTACCTTTTCACTGCTAGAGTCAACATCTTCGTCAAGCTGTCCACCACAATTCCAAGATCACTTTCTTTTTTAGTCACTGCTATTTGTGATTCAGTCAGTGACCATGTAAAGTTTGGATTTTATTTTTTGTTTGCACCAACCTGCATTACTGTACACTTAGTCACACTGAATGGTTTTTGCCATTTTAATGTCCATTCACCCACTTAAGAGATTTTCTCTTAGAGGTCATCACAATCCCTTCAACTACTCTAAATAATTTGATATTTATATAGACTTTCTCATTCTCTGTGTCTGAACTCTTTGTAACCTTGCTGAGGCCTCTATCCAGCAAGCGCCCCACAAGTCATAAACCTTGTTTTACTTCAATAGACAGCAATTCACAATTGATGTGTGCATGAATGAAATACTAGTGTAAGAAACTGCCCTGCTGAAACAGCATTCTTAACTGTGCTAATGTTCTACAAGCATGAGAAACTAGACATGCAGTGGGAAGACAATTGCTGGCATCTAACTTTTTGCTTAACTGTCCACTGTTAAATGTAAAAACCTTTGGAACATAAGGGGTGGGAGTGTTGAGCTGTCTCGGGGGGGGGGGGGGCAGGCTGCTCTGTATTGTGTGCAGGCTTTAATAAATAAGTTTTTCTGTTAGACCTTGCTGGTGGTTTACTGTCTCTCATGGTCAGACAAACAGGCCAGTTGGGGTGGAGTCCCTGACAGTATCATTAAGGAACTTGACCACCTGGCTGCTAATTCCTATTTCTAGATCACATATGAACAAGTTAAAAGGCTTTCTGTTTCATAAGGAGTTCCTGGTCGGGGGCGGGGGGTGGGGACTTTTAATCCATGCTTGTTAACTTTTCTCAAGAGCCTTGGTGAGAAACTTTGTCAAACGTTTCCTCACAGATTCAGAAAACTCTGAAAGGATAATGAGCTAGTATATATTTTCTGGAAGTCATATTGATTCCCCTGATTGAGTCAGCAAGGCTTTTCCTTTTTTTTTTTTTTTTAATGCTTGTTATGCGGAGATCTGGCACTAGCTGGTTTTGACACCTTCCCTCAAGCCTCCAATACGGGGATAATAAAATTGAACAGCCTTAGAGGGAGCACAATATATTGAGCTCATTATTTGGAGCTGCAGTATAATTGTTAAATGCTTGGAAACAAAAACAAAAAAAAAAGTATTTTCTACACGAAAGTAGAGCTATGTTAGTGTTACCGGACTAAGCCAGTCAACAGCTGCGGCAAACCCCAGGTGGACCCCAGACCTGAAGCCAAACAGAGCCTGAGACGAGACTTAGAGCTAATAGCAGTTTTATTCTAGCGCACTATAGAATAAACGGTGACAAAGGGGAAACATCATTTCAATTGTTAAAACATATGATCTGGCCTGGGCAACTTCTTCTTCCTTCTCTTTCTCCTCCTATATTTTTATTTTATACTGATAATTTTAATTTTGTATTTGTAAATCAATGTATTTTTTGTATTTTATATTTAATGGTAATTTATTATGTACTATTGTATTTCAATGTATTTTATCATGTTGTAAGCCGCCCCGAGGTTTCGGCAAGGGGCGGCATAGAAATGTAATAATAATAATAATAATAATAATAATAATGATGCTTCCCAAATCAGAGTCTCGAAAGAGGTACAGATTATATACCCTACATCATAAACATGTTGTCCGGATACAAAGTAAATTCATTTCCCCATTATTCTTTGTTCTATTTGTTAGTTTACAGAAAACTATTTATCCAGAGACTTTCCTTCTCATGTGTCTGTTGATTATCTCAAAACAATTCACACCCGCTTTATGGTGCTCACCTAATAGTAATTTATAATGCAATTTGCTACTTTTATTGAGGTTTCACCCGGATTCCAACCGGGCCCAGGCTCCAAAGATATTTCCCACTTGCCCTCTTTGACATCCAGTTGTCCTGTCCCAGGAGTTCACACAGGGTTCACTATTCTCCATTCCTCCCCCCTCTCTCCTGGACAGGAAGTACAACATGGCTGCAGTTCTCTGGCTAAGTGGTTAGCCTAAGTGTTGTGAGAGACAGTGTGTGTTTCAGGTGAGTTTCAGTAACACTAGCCACGGCTTTGTTTCTACCTTTGGAGCAGGGGGGAAAAACTGATGCCCAACACAACGACTCAAAAAGTCCTGTGTTGCTCCATTTTCTTTTAGGAGCAATCTAACTCTTGTCCCAGAGGTGAGAAAAGAAAATAGCGGCAAAGGTAATCTTGCAGCCACAACAGCCGACGATAGTATTAGATTTAGATTTAAATATGAAGGACTCTACGGTGGCTGGTTCAGCACCGGAAGTTTATCATTTTTTTCTCTATCTCTATGTTTACGTAAGTGACGTATTTGGGCGTGGTCGGCGTGGAGTAGGGAAAGACCGTTCGAGTTGGTTGAAAGGCAGCTAAGATGGCGGCGGCAGGAGGCGGAGGAGATTTGGATGCTGGAGGCCATGGTGGGCCAGAAGGTAGTCTCCTTGGGCTTGAAATCGAGGCTGGTCCGGACGCAGAGCCGGACTCGGAGGTATTTTCGTGCGTGGCTCACTGCTCCGAACTGGCCTGCCGACAGAATGAGCAGCGGCGGTTGGGCCTCTTCTGTGACGTCACGTTGGCTTTCTGTGGCAGTAGCAACGGCGAGGAAGGGGGCGTGGGCGGGGCTACGTCGCGTCCCGATCCTCCCCCTCGGGAGTTCCGCGCGCACCGCTCGGTTCTCGCTGCAGCTACCGAATACTTCGCTCCTCTTCTCTCCGGTGACTTCGCAGAGTCGCGCTCGGGGCGCGTGGAGCTGCGCAAATGGAGCTCCGAGGCCGGACCAGACCCCGAAACGGTGGAAGCTGTCATCAGCTTCATGTACACGGGCCGTGTCCGCGTCAGCCCCGGGAACGTCCACGAGGTTCTGGAGCTGGCCGATAGGTGAGGCACGGCGACAAATGGTGGTGTTATCCTGGCTTTGTTTTTCTCTTTAGTGGAGTTTCTTGGAAAAAGGTACTCACACCGAAAAAGCGGCAGGGAAACACCACAGTGTTACAAGTCTGGTGCGGGGGCGTAAAGTTCCGTAAATGAGGCAAGGCAGCGCCATAGTAAAACCTAAGCTTTCTAGAAAAAAAGAGGAGAAATGCTGGCGAAAGAAGCACGAGTCTGTAGATGACTGAATGTCCTAGAGTTCCGATGGCCGAAGCACCCTGCCCCCCGTGTCAGAAGCGGAGGCGACCCATAGAACCCGATTACAAGTTATATTTCTTACATGAAAATAGAGATGGATTGATTTGTTTGAGCTGCAGACCTAACTCTTCACCTGGAAGTCAACTCAGTTGAACTGAATGGGACTCACTTTTGAATAGACCTCAAAAGGTGTATTGTAAATCAACAAGTAAAGTTATAACAAAAAGTTGTAATTTTAAACAACTAAAAAATGCAAAACACCATTATTGAGCTATTTCTTAAAGCAACGATCTACCTGGATGCTATAATAATCAAAAAATACTTGGGATATAGATTTAAGTAGGTTTAGGACAGATAAAAGGAAGTACTTCACACAGTGTATTGTTAAACTGTGGAATTTGTGAGCATAGGAATTGATGGTGGCCACCAATTTGGATGGTTTTAAAAAGGGATTGGTTAGATTCATGAGGAAGGAGGATATCAGTGGCTATTAACCTTAATAACCTATTAAGGCTATTAACCTGCATACTTGGAGAGAAGGTTGAGCAGGAGGCGGACTTGCACTCATCCTGCTTGAAGAATCCTATGGGCAGCTGGTTTGCTGCTGTGCATATGGAGTGCTGGACTACATGGCTTCTGTTCTTAAAGAGTCATCCTATGGTCCCTGGGAGAGTAGCCCAGGCACCTTAGATGAGTTGTAGGATATTTTGGAGTTCCTTTTCTAAAGCCATAAACATTGCTGTGATCTTGAAAGCAGAGTACAAGCTGGGATTGTTGTCCTCCATTCCTTGCAATAGTTGGAGCACTGATATCTGGTGAGGATACAGTGAGTACAAAGGAGGCATAGAGGATGCACAGCATCCTAAAGCTTTCCAATACCTGTCCCTTGCCTCATACCCATGACTACAGGATTCACTCAGAAGCATGCCTTGTGAGAAAAGCAGCAGAAAGGAGGATGGAGAGGTAAATGTTGCCTCCATCACTACTTCTGTTATGCTAGTTGTCTGCTGGATAAGTGTCTTTTGATAGGTGTCTGCTGCTTTTTATATGGTCTTACCTTCCCAACATCAGAACATTCCTTTGGAGAGTGTGGATCTGGTCTTAGACGTACTTACAGAAGACCAATTGGTTAAGTACAGACTGTTAGTCCTTACTGAGATCATGTTTCGCTCAGTAACTTTACTTTTCAAAATAGTCATTATATTGTTTAATTTTAAATAACTTAATATTTATTATGTCTAGACTGCTGCTAATATTGAACATTCAACACAATTACTATACTTTTAGTGAACATATTTTTGTTAACTATTTTGTGCCCCCTGCTTCACAAAAACATGCCTATGGCTTTTGGTTGATAGTTCATACATACATAGTTATTAGAAACCTGATTCAGATAGTTGTAATGATCAGATAGTTGCTAGACATAAAACTAGAGCAAAAGTTCACCCAGCTCAGTGGATGACATTCATGTGGATTTGTTAATCCCGTAGCACTGGAGCTGTTACTAGCATGGGGCTCATAGCTTAGTGATGGAATGCACAATTATAAGATTTGAGGTTCAATTCCTGGCATCTCTAGTCAAGGTACCTTGGAGAGCAGTGCTGGAAAAGAACCATGTTTGAGTGCTTAATGAGACACTGCTAGTTTGACTAGACAAAAGGTAGGTAATGTGGTGCCCTCCAGGTGTTTTGCATTACAACTCCCATAATCCAAGAGCATGGGCCATGTTAACTGGACTGAAAGAATGTATAGTCCAAAGCATCTAAAATGCAGTGGGTTGCTCACTCTGGAGTACTTAGCTCTGTGCTGGATGGACTACTAGTATGACTGATTATAAGGCTGATACACTTGCTCCTGTGAGTTTGAATGGAATGATGAACTATGTACAAAACTGAGGCAAGGAAAGGCAACGTAAAGTAAATGAACATGCAGATGAGTATTGCAGATCTTATAGAAAACTTTTTCTTTTGATTTGTTGATTTTTATTCTATTTATATTGTGTGCCTTTTTCTCTGCAAGGAGCCCAAAGACAGTTTACATAATTCTCACTATTTTATCCTCACAAAAACTTGCAAGAGTGTATAGACTGAGAGTTAGTGACTGGCCCAGAGTGCCCAGGGAGCTTCATGGTGAGTGAGGACTACAATACAGATCTCCCAAGTCCCAGACCAATTGTTATACCATTCTGGCCCATAGCATTTCCATGGGTTGCTGTTTTGTGGAGTTGGACTTTAAAACATCTTTAATTACAAAGTGGATATTTACAAAGTGAACATCAAGATACAAGTTACTAGCTACATAATAGGTTGTTGTTTTACTCCTTTCTGTGGGCCATTTCTAAGTTGCCTTCTTGTTCTGCAGGTTTTTATTGATACGCTTAAAAGAGTTTTGTGGGGAATTCCTTAAGAAGAAGCTAAGCCTCTCCAACTCTGTGGCCATCCATAGCTTAGCTCACATGTACTCACTGAACCAGTTGGCTTTGAAAGCTGCTGACATGATCAGAAGGAACTTCTACAAAGTCATTCAAGATGAGGAATTCTACACTTTACCATTCCACCTCATCAGAGACTGGCTTTCAGACGTAGAAATCACAGTGGACTCAGAAGAAGTTCTCTTTGAGATGGTTTTTAAGTGGGTTCAAAGAAATCCTGATGAAAGAGGGAAATACTTTGGGGAGCTCTTCAGACTTCTCCGGTTGTCACAAATGAAACCCACTTATTTGACACGACATGTCAAATCTGAAAGGCTTGTATCCAGTGATGAAACTTGCCTCAAACTTGTATCAGAAGCAGTAGAAAGCCATGCTCTCAGGGCTGAGAATTTGCAGTTAGGTAACTTCCAACAAATTACTTCTCCCACAACATCACTGCCTCGCTTTGGGCAAAACATGGATGTTATCATGGTGATTGGTGGTGTGTCTGAGGGAGGGGACTACTTGAGTGAGTGTGTGGGTTATTTTATTGATGAAGATAGATGGGTGAATTTACCACACATACACAATCATCTTGATGGACATGCTGTTGTTGTGACGGAATCCTATGTTTACGTAGCGGGTTCCATGGAGCCTGGTTTTGCCAAGACTGTGGAAAGATACAGCCCAAATCGAAATGTCTGGGAGCAAGTTTCCAATCTGATAACGAGGAAGCATTCGTTTGGTCTCACCGAGGTAAAGGGGAGCCTGTATAGCATTGGTGGGCATGGGAATTTCATTCCTGGCTTCAAAGATGTAGCTGTCTATCATCCTGATCAAGATAAGTGGCACAATCTGGAATCGGCACCAAAAATACTCCGGGATGTCAAAGTGATTACTGTAGATGACAGGTTTGTTTATATGGCTGCTCGCACACCTGTTGATGGGGATAATGAAGAAGGGTTAAGGGCTGTCATCATCCGATACGATGCAGATGCAAGACAGTGGCAAGACACTGAGTCTTTGCCACTCCTTGACAACTACTGTTGCTTTCAGATGGCTGTGGCCAACACTAACTTTTACCACACAGCCTCATGTTGTCCCAGAAGCTATCCTTTGGATCATGAAGAGGCGAAGCGGAAGATCTCTAACCAGGTGTCTGGTGACATTCTGGAAACGTTACCACCTGAGGTTCTTAGCATTGAAGGGGCAGCTATCTGCTATTACAAGGATGATGTCTTCATCATAGGTGGGTGGAAGAACAGTGATGACACGGACAAACAATACAGGAAAGAGGCTTACCGCTATTGTGCTGAAAGAAAACGCTGGCTACTGCTCCCTCCCATGCCCCAGCCTCGCTGCCGTGCTACAGCCTGTCACGTGAGAATCCCTTTCCGGTCTTTGTATGGCACACAGCGATATCCAATGCCCCAAAACCTAATGTGGCAGAAGGACCGGATCCGACAGATGCAGGAGATACATCGTCATTCCTTAAGCTTGCGGAGGATGCCACGATCCCAGATAGAGTGCTAATGTGAATAAATGGAATTTGAGAAAGGCCTGTTGGTGTTGCCGTGCTTGACATGGTCTCCTAACAGTAACCTAGCCTGCTCTGTTTAAGCACTGGGGACTATTGCAGATCTAGCCTTCTGGGTGTTAGTTTGCCAGGATTGCAAGTTCCACAGGAAATCTTGATGTAGTTTAGCCATATTATGAAGGTAGGCATTATAACATCTCTTGAACCTTTAGTTTTCCCTTAAGATGAGACACAAATATAGAATCCAGCGAAATAATTGTTCTGGCAGTTTGTAGATAGGCCTAGGAAATACAAAGGTTCAGCCTCTTGCCTCTCTTTCACAGGTCCCACTTGTTCTAATTAGCTGTGTGAGAGATCTAATTAGCTGTGTATTGGGACCTCTTATCCCTCTTAAAAGATTTATACAGGTTGTGTTCAGTGTTGTTTCTACTTATTTTAAAATATCGATAGAACACAATTTTAAGGTTTTTGTTTTTTAAGACTTCAGTTTTATTTGTTTTTGAAAAGATGTTGTTGTTAGTCGCGAAGCCATGTCCAACCCATTGCAACCCCATGGACCCATCGCGACCCCATTTGCAAAGATACTGTTTAAGAAATCTGCAACTGCTCTGGATCAACTGATTTCTGTCAAACCTGGAGCCAAGTGCAATAGTTTTAAAAAATCCCTATATATGAGGAGTAAAGCACAATCTTCAAAATGTACCATGCTTATAAATATTTTATAGTTGTACTAAGTAGAAGCATTTGAGTAGACCGAGAGATTTATTAGTGAAAATAATAGCTTTTAATAGTTGGGTCATCCTTACTCCTATGCTGAAAGTTTCAGTGTCTTTATTTTGAAGGGCTTCACTGTAGTTTTCAGTTATGTCCCTTCTATTTTGTAGTAGTCCCATTGATTTCAACAAAAGGAATATTATATAAATGGTTCAGGATTGTGGCCTTAAAGGAATGAATGAAAAGACCAAAAAGATCAACATTACAAATCCAAATTCATAATCTGAAGGAATTGGGAGTTCATCAATGCAGGCACAAAGTTGAATGTGTTTTCAAGGAAGGAATAGAGTAAGCCTAATTAGAAAAGCAAACCACCCAGCCTGCCTTTGACAATCAAATCTCTATGCCTTCATAATATGCAATTTCTTGTTGAGACTGTATTGAGTATTTGAGACTTTGGTTGATATGGAAAAGTTGCCTCCATTTTAATTTTCGATAGCTAGGGTCCTACTTTTGCCAATGTTTTAATTGGCTTTTTGGCAGATAATACAATTGTCATAAAGTAAAATTAGTTGACACAAATAAAAAGTAATCTGCTTTTTACCCTTAAGAAAGCAATGTCCCACTTGCTCTAGGTTGCGGATAACATTTTAGAAGATGCAAAATGTTAATGTATTTTTATTGACCAATTTAAAGTAGTACCTAAGCTTTAATCCTTCTCAGAGGTCCTTTTCAGGCAGACAGACATGGTTAAAAAAAATCCTTCACAGTAAATTGAGCTGATCCAACCGAATACTTCATTTTACTTTTGTGGATGTTGTCCTTTTGGGATCAACCACCTCTATTGATTACTGCCTTGAAAAAAATCAGTGATATTTTTCATGGGATTTCCCTTGGCCTCTGCAGTTTTCTCGCCCTTCACCTCCCCAGATGCCTAAATACAGCATTGCAATGTTTATCCTGCCCCTACAGTTGGCTGCAGTAATGAAACCATTGGGATGTAAGCCAGCTGTTTTATCTAGTAAGAGCTGCAGAAGCTAATTGTACACCTAATTTTGTGCCAAAATATGCAGACGTTAAAGTTATAGTAATTCAAAATTGGGATGAAGAGCAGTGCATTACTGGGCTCTTATGTGAATACTTGGAATAAAATCAGCTTCCTTTCTATTTATAAAAGAACTTTCCATTAAAGTTCTGATTATACCTGGATTCTGTTTTTCCTACCTCTTTTATTGCATTTCTTCTTTCACTGGTCCACTTTTATACCTAGGAGCATTGAGATGGTATGAGGAAGAGAGTAAGAAATCGGCATTCGCCTGATTATTATGACAGCTAATTACAGTGTATTTTAATAGTAAATAGTGTCTTAAATGTTGGAATGCACTTAAGTTTTTGTTTTTTAAAGAGGTTTTACTTTAAGGACTGACCATTCTTGTTTTCCAATTTAGCAAGAAGCCTAATTCATGTCTCAGATATTGGGGTAAGTCTTTCAACTGCATGGATATGCACAGGTTTTCTTGACTTGCATTTGTCCCCCTAATGTTACTGTTTACAATGTATTTTTGTTAAAACCTTGTATGCATTGAATAACTGTCTTGCTGTCAAGTTCAGACTAATGCAGCCTTGTCAACAAAGTCACAAACGTAAAAGTAGAGGGATGTCCACTTGCCTGCTTTCAAAACATACTGTGTGTACCAGTCAGTTGTTTAGATGCTTTAAAAAGTTTATGGTTAACCTGTTGATGGTCTGCTAATGTTAGGCTAACATTCTAAATCTGCAGGGCTTTAAACAGCTCTACTTAGAGTATTAACACATTGCCTAAAGGGAGTTATGGTCACTTCTATGTGGAAAATTTTACTGATTTAAGTAGAGGCTGTAATTTTTCAGAGGTCTGAATTTCTCTTTTAGAATTCTCACTGCATTAGAATTAATAAGATTCTCTCAGGAAAAGCAGTGTCAAAACTCTTCAAGCCAGTAGGCATCATTACTGTTGTATCTGGTCTGCAGTGCACAATGGCTGGTAATCTCCACAAGTGAATTAACATATTGACTGTGCTAATTACTATATCTGTACAACTGTTCAGTCTGACTGGTAAGCTTACCTTCTTTAAATTAAATTGTAAGTCACCTTGGATGTTGCTTGTGAATGCCAGTCACTTATAGTAAACCAGTGTCTACATGCCTCGCTTGGAGACTTTAGTTTGCATGGAAAGTTAAGGGCACTCTAGAGAATTGTTGCATTGTACCATGTGTAGTGTCAAATGTCAGAATTTCTTAATGTAGTCTGGATGTTAGGCTACTAACCTGCTTCTCTGTTCTGAGTGCCTCTTAGCCCCCAAATAGCACAGCCCTGGTGCTGCATGCCATTTTTTGTTTCAATTTAAGTCATGTCTTTCCTTGACAAAACAAAGCAGTCACCTGACCAAAGGAAATCCTCAAATGGTTTATCCAAACTGTACTCCCATTTGGGAAAAGTTGACAACACAGTTGACAGTCATACTGAAATAATGGGACTTCTGTCATAGTAAATATGGTTAGGTTTAGGCTGCTAATGATAGACATGAGTCCTGTTCTTCCTAGCAACATACATAGCTTCAGGACAAGGAAGCATACCAGCTGCCAACAGACTTAGAAAACCAATCTCTTTTTTAAAGTGAGATTATTCTTTGCTACGACAGAACTCCTGTTTTACACTCTGACTTCAGCTTGTAGAGTAGGGTAGATCTTAGTATGATGCCTAAGGTGACATTATTACTGTAATAATACTGTTTTTATAGGTTACATGCATATGCACAGAATCTTCCCATTCCTAGATCCAAACTTTTATATTGTGTTTGTTTCCATGAGGCTCACCTTTATGCTGTGAAGGTAACGACATGTCAGTACAATTTATTTAGGAAATCTCTGCAGCATTTCTACAAATGATTCTTTACTATTGTTACAACCTTCACTACAAAGGTCAAATTACTATTATTTAGATAAGATACTATTTGCAGTATTATGGATGGGCCATTTCCAGGAAGCTACAAGAGAATGGTGCTATTGTAAGCATCTGCCATCTTCCAGAGGCATTAACAGGCAGACCTTACTTCCTGGCATGAGACTTGGACAGTGCAGATATTTAGATAAGAAGGGATTTCATTTACTGTTTCTGATCTTACCCAAGGCTCTAATTATGCAAAAGAAGGCCCTGCCTCTCCCTCCAAACTGTCCATGGTTTGCTTGCGGGGAGAGCTTTGGAGCCAGAAGAATACCTGCTCGTTCTGTCCTCCAGTATTTTCTGTAAGGCTCTTTCTTTTGCTCTATGCTTGCTTGGAAGCGTAAGGGAGGGAAGGGCTTGCTAGAGGACTGAAGAAAGAAGAAACGGTTTGCAGAAGGACAGTGACAGACATTAATCCTGTTTTTTTCCCTGTCCCCTAAGTCAGAAAACATCTTCCTCTTCTTTTTGCCTTCTAGTAATCACAGAGGACAGGGAAGAAGGGATTCTTCTTTTATTAGGGGTGATCAGATTAGTGTTCAGCACATATAGAAACAAGCAGTAATCTTGCAGTAATAGTGGTATTGCACAGAGTGGACCAAACTGGAAATGCATGTCTGTCTGTTTTGCCTCCTTAGTATTAGGACTATTTCAAAGCCATCCTGGTTATAAGTGGCAGGTTTGCTGAAACAACTCTCTGCATCCCCTAAACTATGACTGTTAATTCATAGTCCTAAGAATTTCTTATTGATCAGTGAACCTTTTGGGTCGAGTTCTCTTGTAAAATATATCCCTAAAATCTATTTTAAAAACTTGCAGTTCAATATATGCTGTACTAAAGTTCTGTAACACTAAATGTGATTTCAATAAACATTTTATTTCTCTATTTGTGTTTTGAATGGCTAGTATTATTTTCCAAAGCTCCTCATGTATTCTAACACAGTGATTTCCAGTAGAATTCAGAATTTAGCTTATCTCTCAGTCTGTGTCTTCTGTCTTCAATTTCACTTGCTTTCAGGACATTGCGTAGATGTGAAAAGATGAGTTCTGCAACTTGTTTTGTATCCCAATTTTTTTCAGCTGTACCAGACAGTTAATTAAAACTGGAACAAAGGTAAAGACAGCAACTGGGAATGTTCTGCACTTGCTAGTCTTGTGGTTGTATATTGAGGCAAAAAAAATTCACATACACTGGTGTCTGAGTAGGGAACATAGTAGGTAACTCAGTGAAGATGTCAGCTCATTGTGTAGCAGCTGTACTGGGAGACCAAATTCTTTGATAAGGATCATTAGGAAAAGGTTAAAAAATAATACTGAACATTGTACTGTCATACAAATCTGTAGTTCATCCATACTTAGAATACCACATACAGCCCTATTTTCTGTATCTCATAAAGAATATAGTGCAGGAAACAGTGCAGAGAACAGTACGTAGAGTCATGACAGCACTGGAACAGCTCTCTTGTGAGAAAATGTTATAATGGTGCTATTTCATTTAGAAAGGGGATATTAAAAGGTTCATAAAATGCATAGTATGGAAGAAAGTGAATTAGAAGTTATTCTTGGTACTAGTACTTGGGGATTTCTGATCTGAAAGGGAATAGATTTTTTTTAATGCCATGGCTGGCCTTGCACTAATTGGTTATCTATCTGTCTCAGAGATATTTGTTTTCTATTGACTAAACAATTAGAGTGATGTGTTGGAATCCCCGATTTATGACAACTCTCATGAATTTGTATATACATAGATTGCTGAAAGTCTTGAAGCTATGAGGAAAAGTGTAGACTTTCTGGTTCTTTTTCAAAACCATCATCATTAGTACTCATTTTTAAGCATTCTTTACAATTCTGAAGATACCTTGTTCCTTTAGGGCAGCCTTTCCAACCTGGTGCCCTCTAGATGTTTTGGGCTACATCAGTTTCAGGCAGCATGACCAGTGCTGAGGAATGTAGGAGGTTTTAGTCCAAACTTCTAAAGGGAAGTGGGTTAGGTAATGCTGGAACATAAGTAATACCTTGTGTAATATTTAAAAGTAAATTCAGTAAAATTATAATCTGAATAAACTCTACATTAAATGTAATACACCAAACAAAATTTTAGGAGCAAAACAAGTTACATATAATACTTTTAGGTGGTTCTTTTATGTCTGCGCAGAGGAAATTTCAGCAAGTAATGCTTGACTCATCTGAATCATCCTAGAAGTCAGAAGGAAGAGGATGTACTGAAGACAAAAGTACAGCATCTGGTTCTGTTTAACAGGAACTGGAGGCCATTTCCAATATCTGTTCCTATTTGTAGGGTGGTGCTTAGGGAAATCTGCTTGGAAGGAGAAAAAGAGAATTTATGTAGCTAGGAAAGACTTAATTTAGAAATGGTAACCAAAGATAATTAAGAGCTTTTAAATCTCAAGCTGTTACGAGCTAGGGTCCCTTCGCACATTAAAAAGACAGATCTTTCTTGCAAGATGTTTTTTATTGTCCAGTGTTTTTCAGAAGTGCAAACACCCAGGAGTCTCTTGAGCATACACAGAGTGGTTTGTTCAACCCAATCTGGTATTCATCTCCAGGAACTCTCCTTATGAGGAGGTCTGGTGCCCTTTCCTTTGGGACGGGCCTTCTGAAAATGAGCATGCTGCCTTGCTGCCTAACCCTGTAATTTGGGCTTCTCTGACAACGCATCATGGGGCCAAGAGCCATGACCACCTTGTCTCTGACAAACTCCCCTGTGCCAATTTCCTTCCCACTAACCTTACTTGGTTATTCTCAGAGGCTGCCTGCCACCTAGGAAGCCTGGCCTAGATAAGTTCACTTATCTCAAGGTCTGGAAGTGGCCCATATTCTGAGCCCCCTTCTGTTCCTCCTCCTCCTCTGAAGTCCTTCCAGGTAGCCTTGAGAATGTGTGCAAAGAGCAACTGATTGTTCTCACTCCCAAGATAACCTATTTGAATAGTGGCATTCATTTCTATAAACATTTTCAGTTAATATCTTAAGTTTTGTTTGTTTTGAATGATCTCTGGTTGTGGTGTCAATTCATACCTGCATGATAGGAACCAGGCTACTGAGTTTCTTTTAGGAACAGAGCTTATTCTAGTGCCAACAGTTAAAAGATTTTATAGCTGAGACAATATATCCTAGAGATATGGTCTGACTGCATTGTGAGTTCTATACACCCTAGATTCAAGTTGATTAAAAAATGGGTGGGATAGCATACATGCTGTTCTTTAACATCTGCTGAAAGCAGCAGCAGCAGGATAACCTAGTATTTCACATGTTGGTTTTAAATTGGAATTACATCCATTGACTGTTACAACATGTAATCAGCACAAGCCCAAAAATACAGGACTGTCAGAACAATACAACAGTGGAACCAACTGCCTAAAGAGGTGATGGGCTTTCCCACACTAGAGACATTCAAAAAGAAACTGGACAGCCATCTGAGTGGGATGGTGTAACTTGGTGTCCCACACCAGCAGGGGGTTGGACTCAATGGCCTTCATGGCCCCTTCCAATTCTACTATTCTATGATTCTAAAAGAAAATATTTCATAATTCAACGCTGTTCAATTTTTCAGGAAAAGTATTCCATGGGGGAAAGGGTAAAAGCTGATTTATTTCATTTCTTTTCTCTGTTAAACCTCTGTGTCTGGTTCCTAGAATTCAATAGATAGCTAACTCAGCTGGCTTGCTTTGCTCTTGGGAACCTCATTCTAGTTTAAAAAATTAACATCCTGCAAGCTTCAAGTGTCCCAGCCTTGGCTATGGAATTTACTTCCATAAGATGTATTGATGACAACTGACTGAGATGGCTTTAAAAATTATTAGATTCATGGACAATAGGACTGTCAGTGATGTCTGTGTATTATCACCATGTTCAGAAACTCTGCCTCTGAACATCAGTCACAATAATAGGGAAGCTATTGTTCTTATATTTTCTTTGTGGACTTCCCATGGCATCTGGTATGCCATAGTAGGGAACAAGATTCTGGGCTAAATAGGCCTTTGGTTGAGCCAAAACTGTTCTTATGAGTAATATAACTTAACCTGCCTGTCTAACTTGGCTAACTTGCTTGAAGATGACTATGGATTAGAAGCAATTGGAGGCCATGTCATGACCTACTGCCTTTTTGCTAGGTGTAGGTCTGAATTTCATGAGTCCTCAGAGGAGTAGAAGGGCCCTATTCTTCATAGGGTTCCAGAAGAATAAACAGAGATTAATAATCCTCATCAAACCATTTGTGGGCAGCACAGGAGAGAGGAACAGAATGTTTAACCAGCAGTTTAAAAGTAAGAAACCTGCACTGTTTGGGAGGAACTACACATTACCTTGCTTTGCTCACATGTGTGTAGTCCCCTTTATTCCTGGAATGAAGCTGCCCTCTTCTGAAGGGCATCTCAACTGGCTTGTTCTTGGTCAGGCAAAGCAGGAAAACTCACAGCCTTAAGAGGCTTCCCAAATTTGGGTAACGATACTATAAGATGCCCAGGATATTTACCATGATACTACAGATTCTCAACAGAAATATAATTCCAGTGGCAAATATGTGTAGATTTATATATTACCACTTCTTTATGACTAGTATTCTTATTCTGCTTTTGTAACTGCAAACACACACATCTACAAACACAAATACACACACAATAAACCTATATAATTTAGATAACAAAACCACCAACAGCTGAAGAGAGTTCTAAAAATAAAATGGGAGGAAACTTCATATATTTTAAAACAGCAGTAGATACTTCATTTAAAAGTAATACTTCAGGAAGTTTTTGTGCAACAAAACCTTCCTTGTGCCTTAGCTGAAAACAAACAGCAAGGCACACCAAGACACACCTTTCTCCTGTGGCTACTCTGATTTCTCAGTGCCACAAACAAAAATAGCCCTATGTGTGGCACCTAGCATGATGGAAAGTTCTCAAGAGAGGCCTCAGAAATGCAGGACAGTTGTGAGGCAGATTCAGATACGGAGGGAAGGGATTCTCAAGTGACTGTGGTCCCATATCACAGTCTGAAGACTGAATTTGATTTTGGAGAAGCTCTGCATGGCTGCTTTCTAGTGGTGGGCAGAGATCAAAGTAAAAAGGGAGGGATTACCAAAAGTGGCATCATACTGTAGCTAAAATCTCTTATTAGTTTTGTTCGTTTGTGATACCTTTTTTCTATCCCATCTTTTCTCCTTCCAGGGAACTCAAGACAGTTTACATAATTCTCCTCCTCCTCTCAGACTTATCCTCAGAACAAATCCCTGTGAGGTAGGTTGGGTTTGAGCCTGTGCCTGGCCCAAAGTCACTCAGTGGACTTCCTGGCCAAGTGGAGACTAGAATCCAGATTGCTGGAGTCCATGTCCCACATCTTCAGCACTATACCACAGTGGCTCTTACTACCATTAACCAAGCCTTAAGACAGGCAGTGTTTTGTGGTGGTTAGAGTGGTGTGCTGGGTATTAGGAGATCAGGGTTCTAGCCTGCACTAGCCATGAAGCTCACTGGGAGACTTCGGGCCAGTCATTTGCTCTCTGCCTAATCTCCTCACAGGGTTGTTGTGAGGATTAAAATGGAACTCTGGGTGTCTCACAAGAAGGAGACAGTCCCTTATGAACATCTGAGTTACAGACAACTCATACTTAAAAACAAACTGCTATAAAGCCTATTAATTAAACAATTTGACTTAAAGGCCTACTGCAGGAAATCACCACCAGAAGGGGAGAAAAGCAGAAGTGGAATGGGAGAAAAAAAGGCCTCCAAAGTATGACCATAGAAAGAAATGAAGTGAAAGGGGAGAGAGGAAGGCCTCCAAAACCAGGCCTTCCTGCCCCACTTATCCATTGCTGTGAACAAGAGGCACAGGTGATACTGGGCCAGGGGCAGGGAGAGCTAATTTGTATTTGTATTTTTTCCACTTTCACAGGGGTCCTGTGCCCCTAATCCCTGTGAATGTGGGGAGCTGTCCTAGGTGGGTGGGTGTTTTCATCCAGACTATTCATAGGTGGCATTGTCACTTTTCCTGTCAGAATCAGATGGCGAATTGCTCAGTGTGAATTTATGGGTCTGGCAGGTTTTAGCCCTGAGCAAATCATCAATAGCCTCAGATATCTCACTTGTGATAAAATAGCTTCTAATGTCTGGCATAAAGAGGATTTAAAAAATACTACGGAGAGTCTGGCAAGTGGTTGTCATGGTTTCTCAGCCTGGCATACAGAAAAGAATGTAAAAAAATTCAGAGTATGATCTGAGCTACACAATGGACTGGATGAGATGTTATTGAAAATGCATGCAGCCTAGTGCTCAAAATGCCTGTGGCAATGGGCCTTATCAAGAGCATCCCACAGACTGGGTGCCCTGTTTTCTCACCATTATCACAGAATGGAAAAGAACAGCTGAATGCATTACACCATCAAATGTGGGCCAAGCAAACTTCTTTCAGCACGATACTGGATGGGAATACTGAAGCTTCAGCTTCTTCCTAGAGTACCGTGGTCCCAATACAAATCACATAAAAAATTCCACGCATGACTTCCCTGTACATAGTTCCGAGAATGTTTAGTTTGACCCTATATACTATTTCGGAAGTGAGTACTGTGACAGGCTTATGATCTGGTCCACTAGTTTCTATCTTGTGGGGAGAATGTGTCATACTGTACAGAGAACAGGTCTGCATTTACAGGCATCTCCTATTTGAAACACCGTTCTGGCCAAGGCTGGTTTAAAGATCAGGCCAAAGGAAGAAGAGCTGTGTGTTATGTCCCGCAGTTTTACTGATGAGACCAGAGACCAGTTGGAATTTTTCGAGAGGAGTTTATTACCTACAGGGACCACACTCGTTAGAGTGCGGTCTCGAGCAGAAGGAAAGCAGCGTTTTTATACTCTTTTACAACTATGCAGGTGCTTGAATAACAGCGAACAATAGGGGAAACCCACTGAGCCCCATTTGCACATTTTTCATGCTAAAGCAAGCAAGGGTACAAGGGCGTAACGTCTGCAGTTATGCTGGAGCGTAGCCTGCTTTGTTTTCAGCCTTGCGTAGCATGCACATTCGTTGGGGTTCTTGTTCTCACGCGAACAGGACACCCTGATCATGCTTTTTACCCGTGACGAGCCATGCCCTGGCTGCATGTTTGATTAAGAGGGGGGTTACAACACTGTGCACTGAAGATGCCTGATTGTGCTGTGAGGAGGCTGACTTACCTCTCATAAGTAGGGTTTAGATAAGAGAGACCTCAAGGTGCCAGGCAGCCTCTGCACCTTCAGCTCTGGCTTCCTCTTAACACTCTCTCTTCTTGGGAATGATAGTAGTGGGTTTGTGTGTGTGTGTCTTGGGTGAGAAGACTAGTTAGGGTGCAATGGTTTACTTGAACCTGTAGCCTTGAGTAGGTTATCTTCCCACTCAGTGGTAAAACTGAAATGTTAGACCCTAAATTTAATGGCCTAATCAGAATCCCTGTTATTTCAGGTGTGAGGCAAACAGCTAACATTTCTATTTCCTCACAGCCACCACTCCATGCTGTACAACTGCCTACTACATTCCTGATGTTAGAACAACACAGTTTGCCAATCCTGGTTTAAATTATAATATCCAGAGCATGTTCAATTTTGCATTTTATATGCAAATCATTGCACCATCATGAGTACAGAAATAAAATGGTCTTTGCTTTTGCTGCTCTGATCACCTGCCATTCTGGATGGTCATTTGCAGTCTGTCTGAGCTGTGAGCCTCTGGTTCCAGCCCTAGCTGTACCACTACTCCCATTTGGTGTTCTCAGGAAAGTTATTGGTATTTTTTTACCTTGCATTTTATTTATTAGTTTTATATCCCCCCTTTTTACTTACACAGAATTCACAACAGCCCTGTGAAGTAGTTCTGGGACTGACCCAAAGCCGCCCATCATTGATCTCCATAAGTACCAGTTTTGGCAGTCTTGTCCGCTTCTGGGCTGGTCCTGCCACCTAGCACAGAGCTCCTTTTCATGATTTCTGACCAAGTGCAGTGTGGTCCTAGTGAACCAGATTGGTGGAACATGAGATACTTGAAGTGCAGCTACCAGTTGGGTAAGAAAATTGGGGTTGTGGTCTGTGCGGCCTGAGTTCATGAATATTGGTCTTGGGTGTCTTTTGTTGTTGGGATCAAAGTCTCGGGGATTGCATCCACTGCTGCCTCTTGTCTGTGTCACTTGCCCAGTTCTAGATAATTGGTGGAAGTCAAGATATGGGCAATTAGTGGCTTAATAGGGGTCACATTTGTTGACTCCATGTACAAATGTCCATTTAATGCAGTACTTTGAAATTGCAAGATGGGTGATGTAATTTCTATGCTAACAAATGTTTGAAAATCTATCTCTTATCCTTTGGTCTTTCCTACTACTACTATTAAAATATCAAATTTGCAGATGATACAAACTGAGTGGAATACCAAACACCCTGGAAGAAAGAATGGAGATCTAGGGTGATCCTGATAAATTTGAATGCTGGGCTGAAAGCAACAGAATGAGATTCAGTAGTGCCAAGTCCTCCACCTAGGAAAAAGAAACCAAATATATTGATAGAAGATGGGGAATACATGGCTCAACAGAACTGAAAAAGACCTTGGAGTAATTGTGGATAACAGGCTAAATATGAGCCAATAAAGTGATGCAGCTGCCAAAAAGGCAAATGCTATTTCGGGATGCATTAATAGAAATATTACTTCTAAATCACGTGAAGTAGTAGTTCCCCTATGCTCCTCACTAGTCAGACCTCATCTGAAATACTGCAGAAAAATTAGGAAGGGTCCAGAGAAGGGCAAGAAAAATGAGGCAGGGTTTGGAAACACTGCCCTATGTGGTGAGACTGCGAGAACTCAGCATGTTCACCCTAGAGAAGGGAAGACTGAGGGGGGATATGATATCCATTTATAAGTACCTCAAAGACTGTCACAAAGAGGAAGGTCAAGATCTCTTCTTGCTGACACCAGAGTGTGGGACACTGATCAACTGAAGCTATGGCAACCCAGATACAGTGAGGAAACTTTTCCGGATATTTAGCCTGTAAGAGCAACACGACAATAGAGCCAGTTACCTAAAGAGATCATGGTAGCATCTGACTCAGGATAAATATCAAACCCAGGGAGCTATTGTCAGCCCAGATCCCTGAGGAAAGTATCTCTAGAAGCATATTCATTGAACATTGACTCTATAGCTGCATTCCAGTTTTAGGCTTACATAAAGTATGCCACCAATTCCCACTGTCTGTGGAATGACTGGGCAGTCTCTGGCCTGCTTCAGAGGGTGACCTAAACGCCTGATGGACTATTGTTTCACCCAGCCCCATCTAGTATTTACCTAGTAGCAATTCTCCAGTGCCTCAGGTGAGTTTTTTACTTTCTTCCCCTGCTTTCTGCTACCTGTTCTTTAGCTGGAGTTGCCAGAGGTTGAACCTGCAGCCAGTGCATACGGTCCTTCTCTGAGCTATGTTTTATCCTTCCTTCTCACTGATTCTTTACGGAGTGCTACTTTTGGTCGTAAGAATGACATTTCACACAATTCCAAGATAGGAATTTTATCCTCAGTACTATAAAAATCCTTGATAGGAAATTAGAACAGAACTCATATGGGAGTCTAAATGACAATTAGGCCAGTCTAGGGTAGTTGTGGGTTATCCTAGATAGTGGAGAGCCTAATAAAGTGGGAAATTGGCAGTACTGTGGACCTTATATGCAGCTGAACAGAAACTTGATTGAGTTTATCAGATTCAGACTGTAGAACTTGCCATTAAATAATTACGGGGTGCCCTTGCCATAATAATTTGGGTAGAGGAGGACTTTCTGATGAACTGGGTGGGGTATGTATTATTCCGTTCTTTGTTTCTTCATGGTACCATCAGCTCCAGCGCACTTTAAATATATAGTCCACTTTTGGTAGAAAGATATTAAGAACAGCAACCAAAAACCCCCACTAAGGCTCGGATATTTTTGCCTTTCCAGAAATAAAGCATTGTTTGGATGACTTGATAGAAAGACCAGTTATCAGTTCCCAGCAGGCAGCCAACTCCACCCCGGGAGGAAGGGAGGGTGACCCCAGATGCCTCCTGCTGGCGGGGGTGGAGAGACAGGAAACGCGGCAACAGCTCGGGCCTCCGAATGACCCAGTTAGACCAAAGACGCCTCTCGGATCTCTGCAACAATGATCAGTAAGCGCTGCAGGAAAAGGAGGAGGTACCTCTGAAGCTCGGCCCAGGGAAGACGTCCCTCCTCTTCTTCCCCGTTTGGCTCTCTCGGATCCCAGTTTCGGGTGGCGAAGCTCCTTCTGAGCGGGGCTGCTGCTGGACCAAGACCATGGTGAGTGGGAAGCGGGGAAGAAGTTCGACGAGGTGGAATGGAGCTCAGGGCCTGCTTGACGAATGTGTATCGATGCATCCTAAGCGTCTTCCGCGGAGGTTTTGAGGGGGGCCCCCGTCACGCGCGCGTGCGCATACACACAGAGCGCGCGCGAGAGAGAGAGCGTTAAAGTCAAATTTCAGAACCTTTGTACATTGAAAGGTTCAAAACGACTTTCCCCTTCCAACCGGGCCTCTACAGGGTCGGCGTGATGGAGGATCTTGGAAACAATCTTCCTCAGGGACAAGACGGTTGGGAGGTATAGGAGTGCTGGGCTGGTATGCAGATCCGCATGTGAAGGGTTTGGCGCTGAGGAGCAGTCGTCGAGGCGCCCACTCAGCAGCGGGAGCAGAAGGGCCCCCAGCCGCGGCAGAACTGGTTTGCCACAGTTAGAGGCAAGCCAGGCACTGCACATTTCCATCAGAAGATGAGTAAGATTGTTTGAAGTGAATGAGGTAGAATACTTTTTACGATGTATAGACCCCACCCCTCAGATCAAGTCCAGAGTCTAAAGTTAACTAAGTATGCTACTGTTTATGGATGAGCTTTTCAGAAGGGAAAAATCGTGGTGAAGGAGGTGAGTTTTATGTACGGAAGGGAGGTCTAGCAAAGCTGTTTGTGGGTGAGTCAGCTTTGTTACAAGGTGAATTCAGGGCACTGGAGCTGAATGTTTGTTCTGGGAACAGTATGTTCGAGGTGCGAGGAAACAATGGTTGGAGGTGACAGGGAGGCTTTGATACTAATGGTCCTCTAGTGTTCACAGTGCTTCACACACATATTACCCAGATGTAATCCTCACCACAACCTTGTAAGAACTTTCAGTGCTATCCCCATGCTGCAGATGGTGGGGAGGGGCTAAAGCTGAAAGCGTGGCAAAGGCCAACTCGAATTATCTGTATGCTTGTTTGCTATCAGACTGCTGCCATGTTACTTGGCACTTGAAATAAATCTGCTTGGGAGTGATATAGAAGGGATCCAGGTATGTAGGATCAGACCTGACATAGCCTGAGGGAAGAGCTGTAAGGGGTCAAAACAGGGGAGTTAATATTTGGGGATGAAGAGGAGGAAGCCGCTTTAGCGACATCAGGCCTTCCTCATTCTGCTTCCATGGCTAGCATTTGTGGGAGCCACTGAACAGATGATCGCAAGGGCAAAGTCTGTTAGGGTCTGTTGAGGTAACGGGAGGCAGAGAGAAATTGGTGAGCACTTAGAATAGTTTTTCTCCCACCTGGTACTCCACATTCTATCATACTTGACTGCTGGCTTTGCTGATGTGAGTTGATGTGGAAGGCACCATGTTGGAGAGAGCTGCCTTGGAGAATAAGTATTTGAAGTAAGTAAAGTATATGTGGTAAAACATAAGTATATGTGGTATATTTATGGAGTAGTCATTTGGAAGAGTGTAGGCCTTACAGGGTGATTGGTAGTTGTAAGAAACTCCCATGGAACAAATTGACAGCATGAGGGGCAAAACTTTTTGGAAGAAGGTATTATTTTCATCCCATTCCTCAATCAGTCAAGAAGGCAGTCACTTGGCTGATTGAGCTTATATATTTTAAAAAATGAGACACAAGGGAAAGGAGATGGGGCTGGTGAGGGAAGAGAAAAAATCAAGTAAACTGCCAGCAGGGCTGATGAAATGGTCCAGTATCCTGCTCATTTCCCAGTGGAAGTGGGGGAGTCCAATTGGAGCAGGCCCAAATATTCACTTTGCCTCTGATTCCTTCACTGCTTCTCCTTTGCTATTTGAAGGAGGAAGACTAAAAGGAAAACACTGGTGCGGAGGGACTGTTGGTTTAGGAAGGACTGTGAGTGGTAGAAGAACTAAAAGCAGGGACGAAAGTACAGTATTACATGTACTTGGCAGGTCTGGACATGAAGAATTTCATGTGCTCCATTATTATGGGCTTCATGTCACCTTGATTGTGCCCCTCTCATGCTTAAGAGTATGGCACCATCTCTCAGGAGCAGCAAGATATAGACATCAAGATACTCACACACTTACCTGATTTATCTTTATTTATTTAGTACTAATAGTATGGCATTTATGCAACATTTCATACGCTAACACATCTCTGTTATAAAATCGCAGTTAAAATACATATAGAGTATGTTTCAGCTTTCAACAAGCATGGGAACTAGAGAAACAATAAAAGGCAATAAATTGGAACATCCTCTTAATAATTGTAAGCAAGAGAAAGCATACCACATTTTCTGCCTCCCAAATCAGATGGGGAAGGGTGGTACAGAGGGTGGGTGTCACTTTGAAGAAGGCCTGTTTTTGAGATGTCAACATGGCAACATTTTGTTGGTTGAGGAACAGGCAGGAAAGCCACCTCTAAAAATCTCAAGTGTTGACTGGGTATGGGGTGGACAATCTCCCAGGTATCCTACTCCCAAGTTTCTTACAGCTTTCTATGTCAGCAACAACACTGCCAACATGGCTTATAGCTAACAGGCAGCCAATACTGTTCTTTCAACACAGGTGTGGTATGTATATGGCTGAGTTCCCCACTTAGAGTTGCTTCACTCTGTGCTACTCACAGCTTCCAAACCAGGGGCCAGGTCTGTTTCATATGTACATTGTCCTCTGTCTGGGGATTTAAGAAAGGGACTTGTCAATGGAAGTGCCTCTGCTTTGGGGGTCTCTCCCCAGGGTGGAATGCTGAGCCTCCTCACTGTTAGCTTATCAACAAAGGCTTTCTTGTTTAGGCAGACTTTTGACCTGCTATATTTTTTTTCTCCTTCTGGCTTTTCTTCTGTTGTTTTTAATTTGCTCTACTGTTTTTACTATGCTTTGTATTGTTTTTAAATGTAGTTTTATATTTGCTTTTCTATTATTTTTGTATATTAATATTATTATTAGCCATCTTGCATGTCTATTGCAGGAAGTGAAGTATAGATAAATAAAATGCAACATACCAAAAACCTAACTAAGGATATCATATCTTTCACTAGGTGCCTGAGCTGGAAAAAGCAACTGTTCAGATGAAGAATCCTGAACAAGTACAAAACATAATTTCAATGCTCAGAAAAGGTGGAGCAGAAAGACTCCAGGTATGTGTTTATTTATTGTGTGCTTAATTCAGGGGGTGAACAGAAAGTAGATCTACTGGTAGAAACTCTCAGTGAATTGAATTAGATCAGCAAGGATTTCTAACTTCCAGTTACTTAAAAAACAAACAAACAGATGACCCTACACTCTAAATTATATTGCTAAAATTGAGAAAGTTAATGGGGAGGACAATGATCACTCCAGTGATCTGGAGTGATTTTGTTTGGAAGGACTGTGAGCTTCATTCATTTCTTATACTCAGATTCCTGAATCCTAATTATTTTAATTCTTAGTATGTGTCTTTCTCAACAGACTCCTGTTGATAGATCTTATTGTCAAGTAAAAAGAAAAAAAAGTCTTCAGCAGCAAGCAAGAGTGGTCAGATATGATCCCTTCCTACAGAGAACTCTTTAACAAATCTTTACCTTATGTTGTTGGGGCTTTGTCACTCTTTATTTACTAGTAAAATTATCACAAAATGCTGGGTATGTTAAAACTCCCAGAGAGTCCATGGGCTATGGGGGTGATATATAAATGTATTAAGTCAGCAACATGGTCCAACTGCAGTGCTTAGAATATTCATATAAACAGATAAGGGTAAGGCTCTCAAGACTCTCTTAAGATTCCATGCATTGAGAAACTGCATTGAGAGAGACTTTTCTTAAAATTGTTTCTTTGAAGAGCTTCTGTTCCATGTGAAAAGTGCTAAGTTCCTAAACTATTAACTTCTTGTACCTCTCAGTTTTTTGCTGGTATTTCTCTAGTCTGCACCAAGGATGTGGTTCTGGAGGAAAAAGCCAGCAGACATTATCTCTCACCAACACCTGAAACTTTATTATAGGTTATCATGTAGATCTAGGAACTATAAAACATGGTAATGGTAGCAGCTGGTATTAAAACAAAGATTGAATGGACCTCTTTTACATGCATTTGCTTTGTGCCAAGACACAAAAACCAAAACCAGAAGGCCTGTGGCATTGCAAAGAACTGTTCTATTTCACAGAACAACTCTGAATGACTGAGCCCAGTATAATTTTACAGTTTCCTTTATTCCTTCTCTTTGCTTTGGTTCTTACATTTCTTCAGCTTTTCCCCTCATTGGAATATTTCTGTTGGCTCAGTATAGGCTAATTTCTAATTAAAGGCAGTCAAAACTCGAAGAAAGGTGTTTATGAGCTGGGATGGAGAATTGTTCATGGATGAAAAGAAGATTTGCATGATACATTGTATCACCATGTTACTGTTTCTTGGGTATTAATGTGTAAATTAGTGAGTTAAAACCAATGTTTGCTATGGCATACTTCCTCCAAGTAGCCCAGCATGGCATACCTGGGGTTATCTCTCATTCTCCACAGAACCCTCCAAGGCAGATTAGACTGAGGGATGTTGACATGGCCAACACTGGCTTAACAGCTTGTTAGCCAGGTGTTATCTTAGTAAGCTTTCTGTTAGCAGCAAAGGGGATAGGAGAGGGGACAGGATAGAGAACCTGATATTAGATGGATGGACAGAAGGCCCAGGTGGAATTAATTGGAGCTGTCCAACAGATCTGGGGGTTAGCGCTTGCTTGCTCAGCAGTTACTGGTAGAATGCTCTGGCCAGTCTTCATAGAGGCTGACTTCTGGATGCATAAGAGTCAAAAAAGCAAATGTAGAGGCTTTTGGTTTACCTGTGGTCAAAGAATTAGAGTCCACTATTGGTCACCTCTCCACAGGATGAACATTTGGTTGTCTTATATCTTTCAATATTCTGAAAGAGTCTTATATCTTTAGCTTACCCTTCCCCAACCTTGTGGCCTTTAGAGGCATTTGGACCACAACTCCCAGAATTTCCATCCAGCAGGATCATTGACTGGGAATTCTGGATATTATAGTCCAAATGTGTCTGAAAAGGCACAAGACTGGGGAAAGCTTCTTTAGCTATTGCAATCTGGAAAGCCTCTTTAGCATGCCAGCCTTTCCAGGATCAAGTTATTATGTATTTAAGAAGGCTTGTGACATTGAAATAATTATTTCTGGCATACCAGAATGCTAAAAACTAACAAAAGTAGTACCAAATCACTCTGACTGTATAAAGGAAAACTTGACTTTATAACATTATGTTGAAAACTCATTCTGCCCCAGCACTGTATTTTCAACAGCTTTTAGATAAGGTAGATCTCATGGAGCAGTGCTGTTGGTCAAGGTCTAGCCTTCATCCAGCATGCCAGCAGCCTTCAGTTCTGATCTCTGGTGAGCCACAGATTTTCTGTTTGGTGCTAAGCAGTTTATTTAGGGGTAAGCATTAAGTAATAACTTTGCAATCTGATTTCCTTTAAGTGCTTAGGGTCCCTGGTAGTGCTGTTGAATGGTATATAAGCCCTCAATCCTTTATACGGTTTGGAAGCTACTTAATCTCACTTTTGACCCTCCTTCCTATTCTCTCCAGGTAATTTCTGATTTTGACATGACCCTGACTAGGTTTGGATTCAATGGACAGCGTTGCCCAACTTCACACAGTGAGTCTAATTGCTGAGTTTTACTTCTTTGTCAGTTGTCAATTTTGTTGTCCCCTCTTGCTCTTCTTCTTGGTGCGCTCTTCTTCATATTAATGGTCTCCTTTCCCTTCTCATGCAGACTTTTTCATATATTTGTCATCATTTCCATTCCTGTCTTATTAATCAAGTGTATTATATTAGATCACCACTGAATGTAGAACTATTATCAGGCCGTCCTGGAAAAAATCCATCAGAGGAAGATTTTAAAGCACAGGGCTTTAAGAGAAAGGGTTTAGTAGAAGTGTGCATGTGTGTGTTAGTTTTTAGAAATCTCTTTGAATTTGTATCTTTTCAGATATCATAGATAACAGCCGGGTCATCAGTGACGAAGGCAAAAAAAAGGTATGGACTTCTGTATCATGGGATTTGCCTATATTAAAATCTAAATTGATGGTCAAGTACAGACTCCCATTTCATCTAGTACTGCATATACTTTCCTCCTGCTATCAAGAACCCTAGGAATTAGAGTTTTATGGGGGTATATGGTCTTTCAAACAGAAAACTTGCCAACAGAAAACATTGTTTAACACATCTTTACTTTCAAAGATGTATTCATAAAATGCCTTTGTTTAATGATATATTTGCTTATTTCATTATTCAAGAAACATTTCAGACTTTGGAACATGGGATTGGATCTAGAATAACAGTGCAGTCCTTTGCATGCCTTTTTATAAATAAGCCCCATAACCCTATATCTGCTTTTCAGGGGGCAAATCCCATTGACTTCTGTTGGACTTGGAAGTCCAGTTTGAGTAGTTTGTTTGACAACTCCAGTTGATTTCACTAGATATGACCAGGGCCCATAGAGTTTCATGGGACAGATTCAACTAACAGGCTAGATCAAACCCATTAAATTCATGTAAAATAATTTTAATGATGTGTTGCCATTACTTCTGAATAATGTTAAGATCAGTTCATATTTTATGTGACTCACTTAAAACAGAGTGGTTGGATAAAAATACATTAGAAGAATAATTTTGATTCACTTAGGGACATTTTTAATCTATATTGAGTGTAACTTCTCACTTTATTTCTATCTTATTTATATGATTGTTTAACTATATGTATTTTCTTGCTCTAAACAGCATCTGCAGGTAAATTAAATTTCAAAATAATTTGAAATGTTATCTGGCCAGGCTTTAATAATTATATGCAGCCAATAATCAATTGGGTTCCGATGGGTCACGGTTGGTGACTAAACTGCCATTACCTGGAACCCCTATTTTTAATGGGGAAGGTGGCAAATCAAGCATTATATTGTTTTGAATTTTAATTCATCTGGTTCAAATGCTAGCTTTGATGACTGATTCCAAGACTTATTGTCTTATAACCTTTGGCCCATGTTGTTTTCTCCAATATAGATTGCATTCTTTTTTTTCAGTGATTTCATGGTCATACTCAGGGCTTTTTTTTTGTCATAGCACGCACTGGAACAGCGTTCCGGCACCTTTTTTTTCCAATGGATTTTACGAAGTGATTTTGAATCGCCTGTCTGGCGTAGCAGATCTGCAGCAAACATCATTAACATAGTGCCTGCGGGCTGCTTTTGTGCCCGTGCTGATAGTGAGTGAGTGCTTACTGTCAGCGGAGACCATTATGTTTATGTATGTGTAGAATGACTGACTTTATGTTTGTGTAGAGTGACTGGCTTTACACTAAAAATCTTTTTTAGAGTAAAAGTGTGACCCCAAGATGTGAGTTCCGGCACCGTTTTTTTTTTTTTTTACAAAAAAAGCACTGGTCATACTGTACATGACACTGACAGGCATTCTATCATTGACAGCTGTACAGTATCTCTTCTGCTAAACATCCTGTAAATACCTACTTTCTCCTCAATTGACTGACATGAACTTACTCTCCTTTTGCATGTGCTGTCCCACTGCTGAAATCACTTTAAAAAATTATATCCTTTGTTGTATAAAGCAACACAACTCTAACTTCCTTTCTGAATGCAAAAAAACCTAGATTTATTTAACAACAAAAGCAATTATACTAACAGCATTACTGTGTAAGATGGCCAACCATAAGATGACTATGGTCCTTAGTAGATGGTTCATTAATCACATAATATTGGCTTTCACGCTTGTTCTTTATTTAGAAATAGTGAGGGGTGATCAGCATTGAAAGTGTACCAGGGCAATTGACCCTTTCTCCCCACAAAGTGCCCTGCCAAAAAATCTCCTCTAAAGGAGCCATTTTAAATAAATAACCAAGAAAGGGCAAAGGATGTCTCACATGAGTAATGTAGCTTCTGTGTCATCAAAACCTGAAACAAAACAGGAGTCTGGAGATCCTTAAGGAAGCCAAATCACTATAAACTGAGTTTGAAATTGTACCTGTTGGCCAGTTTCATACTGTGAGAAGGGGAAGTGTGACCCTGGTAAAGTTTGTGAGGAAATGAGCATTTGTAGCTTTGTCATAGCTCCTGCCCTTGCTGGTACACGAGATGTGTTAGTTAAGTCCAGCTAGTTAAGGCTTCTCAATGGAGGTTTCTCCAAAGTGGTCATTGCATCTCTTTGTAAATGCTGAGCAAGTTGTGGGCTGCTGTCTGCATGAGCATCTGAGGCAGTTTTGGGATGGATGAAGGCAAACAATCTGATGGGAGTAATGTGGGCTAGCAAATCTTCTGATTTGGGGTAGGTTTACAGCTGGTTCTGAATGGGTTTTTACATTCCACTGCCAGAGTTGGGTATGCAGTGTGGCAGTCCTCCTGGACCTGGCACTAGCGGCATTTAGTGACTAGGAGAGCCTTTTAACAGCTTGGACTGAATTGGATTTGTTCTCCCTTGCTCCAGTTATACAGGTTCTAGTTACAACCAGACTTGACTATTATAAAGCATCCTGTGAGGGGTGCCTTTCAAGAACAGTTCATACACCTCATTTGGTACATAATGCAACCGATTGTGGTGGCCAGGTGTTTAGAGCCTGTTATATCAATGCTGCACCAATTGTACTGACTGTCTATTCCTTTCTGGGCTCAGTTTAAAGTGCTGGGGTTTAACCTTTCAGGATGCCAACAGTATGGGACCAGGTTTTTGAAGGATCTCTTGTACCCAATTGAATCTGCTTGGGCTGTAAGATCAACCTTGGTGATCCTGCTCTCTGTTAGGAAAATTCAACAGTGTGACCTTTCAATGGTGACTCCATGCCTATGCTAAAATTTTGTTAATAAATAAATATCCAGTCCCCAGGAAGCAGGGTAAGCCAGTAGTGAGCAATTCTAGCCAAAACAGTTAAACCCTCAGCTGGCCTTTTTTGGAAAATCTCAATTGTTTATGCTTTTATTTTCTGACAAGCTAAATGTTCCCCTTCCTTTTGTTGATTCTGATGTTCCAGCTGAAAGATCTGCTGCAGTACTACTATCCTATCGAAATTGACCCATACAGGTCCGTGGAGGACAAACTGCCTTTAATGGTAGAATGGTGAGTATTACTATCAGAGAAGAGTATTCTGGTTAATGGGGAGTAGGGGTCTTATGTTCTTTGTTACAGGATCCCTTTGCCCTCTTAGCAGAGATTTGAGGAGGCTGAATAGGATGGGGGTTCAATCTTCATCTACGTTGCTTTAAACTGTGACCCTCAATCAAGCATGCCAGTTGTCAAGCATAAACAATTGGTTGGGTGGCAACATTTATGGGAGGAAGATGATAGGCTAGCTACTGCCAAACTGTGGGCCAGGAAACTAGCATGGCAGGGAAAATTAGCTAGAGCATGAGTGAAGAACCCCTGGCCTGCCAGACTCCTTGTTGAGTTCCTCCGGCAGACAGGGGTGGCTTCTAAGCACAACCTCCCTGAAGGAATTCCCATTGTTACCTTTGATTTGAACAAACAGCACTAAAGTCAGTAGTGGGCAACTGGCCAAGTCTTATTTCTCTTACCTTTTATTTTGCTTATCGATGAGGTATGGAAAGAGGCACATAGTGGAGGTTCCCAACTTAGCAGGTGCTGAGGGAAGCTGTTCCTCACAGCACCCACTGAATCCATTTGTGCACTGCTATGCTTGCTATGCTTTTTGGTATGACTGGTGATGCATGAACTGTGAGATTTGCCTGACTCCTCCTTCCAGTGCCAGCTGGGTTCCTTTCCCTCAGCTGAGAGAGGCATGGAAAGTAAAAGCAGATATGGTCACACTATTACTGGTATCTGGCTCACAGAGAGCCTGGTGGGAACTGGTTTGGTCTCCCACCAAAGATTTAATTCTGCTCTTCTGAACTAGATTCCCATAAGACCAAAATACCCACATACAGAAGAGGCTGTCCAACTATATCTTTGCATGGTTCTATTCTGGCCTTGCCTTCTTTGAAGTAGCCTTCATCTGGAGCACATAATTTGCTATGTTTTTGCTTTGTTTAGTATTGGTATATGCAGAAAAACAACTCAGGCAGATATACTGGAAATGACCTCTTACAGACTCTAAAATTTAGCCTTTCCAGGTGTAAGAGTGAAGAGTGCCTCCAATTTTAAATTAGGGAAAAATGTGTTTCAATAGTGGTAAAGTATCTCTGAAGATCCACTGTTAAAGATACTAGCACATAAGTTTATAATAAAGGGAATTTTAAAAATTAGCTGTATGGAAGAGATAGGAGACCTTTTGTCAAATCCAGCCCCTATTACATGGGCCAGGTGAGATGTGAGGTAGTCAACGGCTGTGCCCCGTTGTTCAGACTAATAATGTCATATGCCTCCACCCCTCCATTGTTGCTCCATGTTTTTCTTGTTGGTCTCTCTTCAGGCTTCCTGCTTGACCTTGTGTCCCACTGCAGATCCAAAGCCTGAAGTGGAAAACTGGTCTGTGGTACAGAAAAGGCCTATCCTTCTGGACTGCTGTATATTTAAATGTGAGGGAAGCCAGACAAATACTGGCATTCTGAATTGACAGAAGCCAGGCGCTGGGGCAATCTGAGTGTACAGGCACATCTTCCCTTTCAGTGTTAGCAGCAAGTGTCACAACCTCACTCATATAACTCCTGAAGGATTCCTGTCCCCAGACAGACATCTGGCTGGAGCTGTGGGCCTTTAGGGTCCTATTTGGCTCACTGGCTGGAAGCAGGGTGAGTTCTGCCCCATTCCATGAAACCAGTTTAGCCAACAAGAGCTTATGGCAGGGCTGTCTTCCAGGTGGACTAAGGCCCACAACCTCCTATCCCAGCAGAAGATTCTGAAAAGCGACATCGCCCAGATAGTGAAAGAGTCAGATGTCATGCTCAGGTATGAGATTTGGATGCTGGGTACAAAAATAGGGCTCAGGTTGGGAGGTGCACTTTATTTTTGTGACTGTTCCTTCTCTGCATCAACCCTTCCCAATGTTGTTGTTGTGAGAAGGTCAAATTTTTGTACTTGAAGTTAAGCCCTGCTGAACATGTACACACACTAATGTGTATAGTCTGCATGCTTTACACCAAATGAACATTTTTGTTAGTGCAGAATTTGTGTTCCACTTGTAAGGAGCAGTATGTTGTTCAATGGAAGGGTGCAGGAGAGAAGCTTCACTGGAAGCTATAAAGGAGGTGTGAGTAATTACAGGGTTGTACAGGGCCTTGCTGCTTGGGTTCAGACAAAAGGACAAACTGCACTTTGGTGGGCAACCAGAGAAATGGTGCCAAGGACGTGCAGCAGCTTAAATAAGCTATTGTGACTAAGCTGTGGTCCTCCTACAGACGGGAATGTCATGTCTCAGCCCTCAAATGGCAGTACAGGGATAACATAGTTGACCTATCTTACAAGGCTACTGCAAGCATTACTGAAATGAATGTGAATTGTTCTGAACACTTCAAAAATGTTGTATAAATGCTATTATGACTGTATTGTTGTCCATTTTGTTTTGTAAAAGAGCAAACGTTCAGTATTTCCACTACTCATCCTTGTTTAAGTTACAGTGAATATGTGAACCGCAGCAACTTAAACAAGGAGAGTCATCATCCTTTTGTTGGTGTTGTTGCTAAGTGCACAGTTAAAATGTCTGTGGTATTTGCAGTTTACATGTCTTGCTCATGTCTACTTGTCAGGATGATGGGAATGGTAGTGACTTTCTGTTGGTTCACATTCAGTGCTGAAAGTGGGTTGTTGCCACATAGTGTTTGTGTTAAAGCAACTTTAAATCATGATTTAAATTGCTAAGCACAAAGTGCAGATTTAAATAATGAATTTAGGTTTCCAGCTAGAATTTCAGATATTTCCTGAACAATTGTCCATACAAATTGGTTAATTGTACCACTCTCCTTTATTAAGGTACAACTGCATTGAACATGCAGGCTAACTAAGAGGATGTGCTTTTTACTTTATGCAACTATAGATTTGGTATTAATGTTCAAAAATGTTACATAGCACAGTTATTTAATTTAACTGAATACATTGAACAAAATCACACTTCTGTTAATTGCAGCCTATGTGCCTTTACATGTATTTTTATCTGTCTAGAAACACCTAAGGACTAATAACTAAGCAGAGCAATGCTGACAGGATAAAAAGAAGGGTGTTTTGTTTATAGAAATTCTGTATTCATAATGTGAAACCTGAGCAAAGTCTGTCAGGGAGGCTTATGTAAAATTGTTTATTATTGATTTGTTTAAGATAGACTCTGGCCACAGACTAGAAAGAGCTGGGAAGCAGGGCCATTCCATTCCGTTCCTGCTCATCAGACTCCTCCCTGTAAAAACTATTACTAGGCAGAGGGAGAGATGAAAAGCAGGAAACTTTATCAACATTTTAAGGAGCCCAGTTTAATTTGGCTCTTCTCCACTCTCTGCCTCTATTCAGATTGGTCATTGCTAGTATTTATGGACTAGTGCCTGAATTTGCTTGTTTTCTTTTCCCCTCCACATTCATTCTGCCATATCTTATAGACCATTGGCTTATGGGCAGAGAATGACTGGATTAGCACAATATGACTACTCATCATTGGTGACAAGCTACCATGGTTGTCACATTATGCAAACCTGCACTATTTTCTACAGGGTGGCTTGTTTGCAAGTTACAAACCACCCTGACAATCCACAGATTGTTTAAAGTGGGTTATTGGGTCATCCAAATCCAGGTGATCTCTGAAAAAAAGGGCGGGGTAAAGGGATAGAAAATCTGTAGCGAGTACAAAAGGACTCATGATCATGGAGGGCAACTCATTCCTCCTCCAACATCCCATAGAATCCCCACAGAAGGATCGCACACAATGAGCCAAATTATCTGCCAGATATACCACAGGTTGTACAACATCCAACCCACGTGACTTATTACCAGGGTGGGTTAGCATGATGTGCAGATGTGCCCGATGTCTTGTTAGTATTATGTATGCAGCTGTGGGAACACTTTAGCTGGAGAGCAGGGTCAAGATGTTTTAAATAAACATTGAGTGTAACTTTAGAGTCATAGAGCAAGCCTGGCATTATGGGATGGCAGTGTGGAGTATTTGGGCAGGCTCTGGGGCTTCAAGAGGAGCCATCACTGAGTCTGTTACCTGCTCTCCACCCTTTCTCACTCATCGATCCTTGGACTGCCTGGGATCCCAGCCTTCCAGCCACGCCACCACAGCTGCCTTGCATGAGGTACACTTGTATGCCCATTCATAATCCTCTCTGGAGCTTCCTGAGTTGGGCAGAGTGCTGCCTGACAGTGGGGGGCAGCAGTGTGAATGAGCATGCTTTTAAGGAGGATAATATAGCAAAGGGAACTCCCTAGTTGTATTTGTCCAATAGCTGCAATACAGCCTAAGAGCAGAGGACTTGTAGGTTGAGGGTCACTCCCGAGACCCAAGGGCATTTTGCAGTTTTACTTAAAGCCAGGAGCTAGCCTGAGAGTAAACTAAAAATACATAACATAACCTTAGTGTTTTTTGTTCCTGTCTGCAAGGACTGGACAGTGAGTTCTTATTGAATATTGTAAAAAATAATCAGGCTTTTTAAGTAACCTTGCTCTGCCACTGCTGAATAAAATTAGAGATGTTCTTTCTACCAACAAGGATTATTTTGTTCTTCTGCCCTCTTTTTGTCTCTTACTAACTCTGCTTGCTTATAACATCAGCCAATGTATGTCTGCTCAAAAATAAGTCCTATCATATTTGATGAGGCCTAAATGCACCAGTATTAGATTTGCATGTGTGATTTCCATCTTTTGATAGTAAAAAATGCTTTCTGAGTGTGGGCAAAGTGGATATACCCATTCACATTCCAGGAAAAAAAAAAAAAAAGGCAACTTCCCTGCACTTAGAAATATAGCATTTCAGGAAGAAGACTAGATTGAACTCATCTTCCATCCATGCAGCAATATTTTAAAGTACAGGACACCAAGTTACACCATCTCACTCAGTTTTTGTTTTTGGCAATAAAGGATTGTTGTTTGGACAAGGAAGGGTTAGAGAGGGAGGGTAAAAGAGGGAATGGGCTTGTTAGAAGAAGGGGAAGAACCAAAAGGGAGAAGGTGAACAAGGGAAGGGCAGAAAGTGCCAAGTAGGCCACTGCAAAGAGCACTTGGTTCACAAAAACCCAAAACCAACCCTGCTGATCCTCCTTGGGATTTAGAGGAGGGCATCTCAAAGAGCCAAGCACTGGACTCCAGTGTCTATGATGACCTGTCCATTTCTGGTCCCCACTAGGGTGCCATCATAACAATATAGTGTATGCCCTATTGGGCCATATTTATAATGCTTGCCCTCAAAAAGCAATTTAACAATTTGTTAAAGTAAACATGGGTTATTGATACCATTTTCAGCGATGGCAAATATACATTTAACATTCTCTTATTTCACTCTAAGCAAGTGATTTTTAAATAGAGAAATGATAATGGTATTAAACATTATAAAACAATAGTACAATAAGTTTTCAAATTGGATTAGTAATCTTAAACTTGTATCCAGCTTCCCATATGGTTACTTAGGAAACTCAGTGCTGAAATATTTGAACCAGGAGGCCTGTCTCTTGAAGCATGCAGTTTGCCACTGTGTTACACCAGCTATCATGTACCATCAGATGTCAGGCTGTACATGAGATTGGAGGTACCAATCAAGCTAGTTAGCTCCCTGTGAAGATTCATATGGATGTGCACATATCCAGAAGAATATGTAGACTTGAAAAAAAAAGTCAGGTAGGAAGAAACACTGGATGCTTGCATTGGTGGATTTCTTCTGGATAAAGATTATGATCTCCTTGGGTCCTTTTAACCTTTATGTACGTAAAAGAGAACTTCAAATTTAAGATGTTTTTACTGTTATGGACCTATTGGCATTCTAATACAGGAGGACAAGCCGAACTCAAGAAGAGGATAGTCCCCCATAATGATATGATAAAATATTCTCCCCCACTAAATCCATTGTTTGCCAACACTTCATCAGAGTGAATGAATCATCAGTTCAAAAACTTAATCCAATATATTAAATCAAATGGTAGCTCTATGCCAAGAACCTATGCCAAGCAGTAAGCCAAACATACAGCAAAAATACACAATCTTCTGGAGCCTGCTGCAGTCTATTTGTAGTGTGTACACATACATACACACATGTCCTGAAACCAAACTTCTTAAATATTTCAGCTGTTTTCTGTTAACATATTAACAAGTTAACCTCTTCACAAGGTCAAAGGCTGGGAACCTTGATGATTAGGTAAACTGGGCCCACCCTTGCACTAAGCAGACAAGCCTCATCCTGCATTCCACCCCGCTATTACAGACTGCAAACCTGATGCTCTTGTATTTACAGGTTGCAAAATGTGTGCCATTTCCACAAATATTACTAGGAGTTTGAGTGATCACACCCTTGTTATGCTTTATGGCTCCAGTAGCTTGAAGGCCTTCTGGCAAGCCACCTTGGAAAGGGAAGGACATGTAAAGAGAGAATTCTCACACACTGCTCTTGAATTTCTTGAGTGCTTCATGAAGAGTTTGAAGTCATGGTGGCTCCACTGGGCTGGTTTGAATCTTTGCCCACATTAGTGCTTGGGATTTCACCAACCACTGGAGGAAGCATTACATGTTTTACTTCAGCATGTCAGTGAAATATTACATTTCTTTTTCTTGTGCTCAGAGATGGCTTCAACATTTTCTTTGACCAGCTTCACCAGAAGCGAGTTCCCCTGTTCATCTTCTCAGCTGGTGTAGGTGATGTGCTAGAGGAGATAATTCATCAGGCTGGTGTGTTCCATCCTAATGTCAACGTGGTCTCCAATTATATGGACTTTGATGACAACGTGAGTTGAGCGTGCTCTCTTCTCCCACTCCCATCTGCCCAGGCACAAAAGTGCTGCAAGTTTCAGCATTTCAGCACTATGGGAGTGACTCAAAATTATTTTCTAACTTTTTTTGAATCAAGAATTGTATTAATGAGGGGGTAAATGGAATGTCACGGTGCACCTTCTGGGGATACCCAGAAACCTCTAAGCTTTCTCAGGCTAAATAGAATTTAGAATCTAGTGATCAGAATGTATGTATTAAGAGACTTTGGACAGTTCTGGTGAGGTAATAAAAACCTGGGCCAGGTTGTATCACTGCGCTTGTATCATTTCAGGTAAGGACTGAAAGTGATGTAGAGAACTACATGACATGGAGAAGGCCTGGCTACATTCCTTCTTTCTTACACATCATTTTCTATTTCATGGAAATGTTTGTATATGAAAGAGCATTCAAACCTATGAACCCTCACCAAGAGTCTGAATTGAGGCAGCCCAGACACAGCTCTTTATGACTACATGAAGAACTTGGCCAAAGTGAACTATAAATGATAGACAGTGAGCTAGGATACCAAAGACTGTTGACCTAGGTAGTGCGAGTGAGACTTGTGTAGTGCTAGAACTATAGCAGCATAAACGCTCACATATGTCTACAGAAAACTTGAAATGGAGTCCACTGATTTCAATTATTTTTGTACACTTAACTCCTGTTTTAAACAGTGACTTCTCTATTATGGAAAAGAGTGCTGTGTATAATATTATTTATGTTTATCTATTAACGTGGTAAGCCACCCCGAGGCTTTTTGCGAATGGGATGGCATAGAAATAGTTTAAATAAATAAATAAATATCAGTAGTACATCATGAACAAATTTGTACATTTTTTAAAAAGGAGAACAGGAATAAAATGTAAATCCCACTTAGCAAATGGATGATCCTAAGTGTTCTTGGTCTCAGGTCCCCATATAAAGAATGGAAATACGCATGACCTGCATTGCAGGGATACACACACATCAAAAAGCAGAAGTTCCGCCATCTCTCTGATATAGATTAATTAAGCTTCCTTCTGTGTTTTCCCTATAGGGAGTCTTGCAAGGATTTAAAGGGCCCCTCATTCATACCTACAACAAGAATAACACAGTTCTGAAGAATACAGAGTATTTCCAGCAGCTCTGCATGAGGACAAACATCTTGCTCCTTGGGGACTCCATGGGTGACCTCAGTATGGCAGATGGAGTTGCTAATGTAGAAAACATCCTTCGGCTTGGCTTTTTGAATGACAAGGTGAGTTGAGATTACCTGGGCAGGTTCAGCTGATGAGATCCCCCAGGAATCAACTAAGGTAACTATTTCAGGTGGCAGAGTTTGTGCCATGCAGGGTTGTCTGGGGTGAGGAGACATCTGTGGCCTTTCACCCTACCCCCCTGCCCTGCCCCGAAAAGCAGGGTTTCCCTGGCTCAGCTTCTATGCATACCATTGACCTGTGCTGTACCACATTGCTCACCAAAGCACACACATCCATGGGTTCTTTTATAAATATACAAAATAAAATAGAACAAGCACAACCCTGTCATCCTTGGCAGCAACTGGAATTGGTTATTTCCTAACTAAATTGTCTGAAACCTGCCTTGTAATGCTGAACTATAAGTTCGTACGGACAACATTTTTTTCAAATGTCAAAAGACATTCTTACTCTTAATAAGTGTTGTTACAGCCCCGTATTAAAAAAAACTTATGTTAGTTAAGCTTTCCTTTCCTAAGCTCAGTTAATGTTACATTTTGTGTTACATCTGAAAATTAACTGTGGTTGATCTTACGTAACTATGGTTTATAAAAACAAGTCACATTTTAAGTTAGACTGTTTCAGTAAACACCATGGTTAAGGCCAAACAAAGTATGTCTCCATTGAACAAAGCAATAAACTATCCCTTGTGAAAACAGAAGCAAAAGCTAGTTCTCTCTTTGCAACCATGCTGGAGGGAAAGGTCCAGGAGCACAAGCCTGAAGTTTGTGATAGAATGTTTTTTCTGTGTTTCAACATAGCAAGTGGGAGTCAGGGGTAACTTTTCTATCTTCAAATTAATTGACGCTATTCTGAACTCTGCTATGGTTGGGCACACCTTCCTTGGAACAGGAATTGGCTGTGGGATTCATTCCCAAAGCTGTCCATGTACAAAGACTCCTTGGTTTTATTGCAGCAACTCTTACCATCTTACTCTTTGCTATGTGGACCGTTGATCAGATTTGGTAGAGCTTAAGACTACTGCCATGAAATCCTGACTGTTGCAGAGAATGCTGGGCCATTCTAGGATGCACACTAAGTTCACCTAAGAAACTACCCAGAGTTTTTGGCCCTCTTTTAACATTTGTCTTCTTTAGTATTAATTGCTAATATTGGATATGTTTCTGAATGATCCCATGGCTTCTCAACAACTTGGAGAACAAATAAAAAGGCATGTTAAAATAATACATTCAAATAGAGCTTGGGGGGGGGGGTGAACCGAAGGTGAGAACTAAAGCATGCCCAGCACTCTGCTGCATTGCAAATCATATAGGAAGAACAAGTGGAAAGCAAACTGCCTTTCAGAGATGTTTGTCTAGCAATACTGACCTTCACCTGGAGAAACCCCAAGTTTCTCTGGAACACTGCTTGGAAACCACTATAGTAATGTATTGCTATGTAGTGCAGCCTTAATATGCTTTGAGAGGCCAGCCCTGTAAGCTCTGCTTGTTATTCTTCCATTCAGGTGGAGGAACAGCGGGGGAAGTACACTGAGGCCTATGATATCGTGCTGGAGAAAGATGAAACATTGGATGTAGTAAACGGCATACTTAACTTCATTCTGATGCAAACCTAAGCCACACAGTCCCATTATTCTTGACCAGCTACCTTTTGAAAAGGCAAGAGGTTCTGTGTGTGCTGGTGGGTGATGCTATTCCTTAGTTCTCACTCCCACTTGCTGGCTTCTTCTGCACTTACTCTTTCTTAACCCAGCTTTAACACGTCCCAGTGATACAAAAAAGAGCACAGATTCATCCTGCAGTCAGTATCTCTGATGCCAAAATGGAATTGGCAATCAGAACACTGAAGGCTATGCGATAGTTAAAATTCCTATAAGAAAACGAATTGTGATGGTGCATCCCAATGATTTCAAAGGATAGAAACATTTGTTGTGACACCAACCTGATAAATATCAAGGTGTTGCTTTATGAGACAGAGATTGAGACACAGAATTCGAGATAAATGGGCGTTGCTGTTTTTGCCAGTAAGCAGTTAGCTGGAATCCCTACTTTTTTTAACTGCTTGAATGAGGAAGTACACAGGTGGAACAGAGGAAGTTTTCTTCATGAATAAAATTAGTGCACTTTGGCTGTAAGAAATGTTTTGCTTGGGTAACTTTGTTCTTCAAATGTCAATTCAGTGCAGCAATTATCTTACCCTCAATTGTTAGAAATGACAGCTCCACCTGGCCTTTCAGTATTTCTGGCATTTGAAAACTAGCTTGAATATTAATCACTGCATGGACAGAGGGAGAATTTTAATGGATATTCTAGCATCTGTGTAAACTATAAAAGACAGTTTCATCCCAAGAAAGTGAGTGCACAAGACCCACAGAGTGTCTTTTTTTAACTTTTAACTTTTATTGGATTTCTTCTGCATTATATTTTGGTTTCATAGAATGTATACTGTTTTTTTCAAAAACATTGTTTGAACTATAAATGGTTCCCTCCCACCCACACACAGAGTTTTCTCCATAAAATCCAACAAAGTTAAAACTTTTTTTAAAACTCAAAAGGTATGTGTAAGGATAATTAAAAATCTTATTTTGAAAAATGTGGTATGCATAATTTGCTTGATTGTCTACTTTAATCTAACCTTTTCATTTTAAAAGAAACATTGCCACAATAGAGGAAAAGTATGTTTGAACCACTCAAGATCCTTTGGTAAGCTTAGGATATCTCAAAAAGGACAACTGAATACTGAATTAAAAGAACTGTCCAAAAGTGCAATCTTTTGGCCTCTCAACATCATTAGGGGAAGGGCACAGAATAATAAAATCATACAGTTGGAAGGGGCCATCTGACCATCAAGTCCAACTGCCTGCTTACTGCAGGACTCAAGTCTCTATCCAGATTCCAACCAGGCCTGACCCTTCCAAAATTAGGCAGGATCAGGCACATCAGGCTCTACAGAAGCAATACACATAGGAGTTTCAGAGTCCCAGCACCTTTGTGCTTCAGCTCTGATGGCAGAATCCCTACCCCACACTCAGTGCAGAAGGAACTGTACCAGCTGCCTATCCAAGAGTGGAAATGTTGCCTGGAGAGGAGAAAAAGATGTATGCTGGGGGGTGGGCGGGCAGGCAGGAAGAAGTCGGGGCCTTCTCCTTCCCCCACCCTATTGCTTTTATCTAGGCAGCCAAAAATAGTTGCTGCTACACCTCATTCCATGCAAAGCAGCTGCATTATTCTCTGAATTCAGAGGCTTAAATGCAGCAAGGACAGGGGACATAGGATCATACTTTTCAGAAATCAAATGACAGATTTCAAGAATTTTGAGTACTGTAGACTTGTGAGGGTGCTACATTCAAGTGAGGGTTCAATTGTAAATTCTACATTCACAACCTGCTAGAAAAAATGTTGACTACAACTTTTAAATTCTTTAAAAGACTGGCTTGTGCCCTTAACAGTTGCTGAAGAAACTGAACAGGCGCAGACTTTCCTGGTGTGGAGATGCAGCAGGAGGAAAACCAGCTCCTCTGTTGAATTATGTTGCATTGATATCCTGCCTTTGTTCCTCTTGGGAGTAACCCAAGCCTGCTCACATAGCTGCATTTTATTCCCACAAAAATAGCCCTGTGAGTCCATGGCTGAGAGTCCATGAAAGGCCCAAAGTCACCCATTGAGCTCTGCAGCTGAGTGGAGGCTCAGGTCCCCCATTTCAACACTCTCACCACCATACCACACTGACTCCCCTTGGCCACAGAGGTCTCAGGTTTGGGAACCCTTCCAAGCAAATAATGGTAAAACAGTCCTAAGTCTGCCTCTACATTTCTGCTCATTTCCATTCATAGAAAAAATTAAAATTCCTTGTTCTTTGAAATCCTGAAAACAGACTAATCAAAATATATATTTTAAACCCTGGACGTAGGTGAAAGGCACAATACAAGACAGATTACCATAACCCTTCAAACCTGGGAGGATGTTGGGGTTCCTATGCAGGGCAGAAGCAGCAGACACAAAAGTCACCTCTGTGCTCCTCCCACCCTGCAAAACACTTAGATGGCCTTGCCTGAAAGCTTGAGGGAAGCTGGCTGAGCTTGTTTGCGTTGTGGCCATGTCTTTCTCCCAACTGCCCACTCAAGCCCCTTTTCAAGTTCTGTCTCGCAGCTTCAGAGAAGCAGCCTGCATGGTTCGGGGGCTGGGCTAGGGGGAAATCCAAGCTCAAAGACTCAGCTGCACACTTGGAGCACTTTTCTGACTTTATAGCTGGGCCTTCAAACCCTCCTATGCCCATCTAGACTCAGTCTAGCAAACACAGGATTTTACTACTGATGCAAAGCTTTCTGATTTGGCTCTTATCACCCAGTTTGGGTTTCCCTGCTGCAGAATGTAGCTTTGCTTTAGACAAAAGTATTTATACACAGATTTATATAGTACCTAGATCTGGTGGAACAAGAGACATGGGTTAATTTATGGCATTTGTCTAGGCCAATTGACCAAAGTTGGGAGTACTTAAGGAAATACTGGTAATTCAGCTGGGGTAGAGTGGGTGGAATGAAGTTAGTCTCTGGAAAGACACAGCCGGTGTTTTGGGAAATTACATGGTGTTAACAGCCTGACTTTGATTTGTTCAAACACAATCTCAATTAAATAGTTTTTTTTTTAAAAAACTCAAACCCATAAAATACAAATGATGTCAAATGGGGAATGAAACATATTGATTCCCTAGGTTCAGTCTTTTTAACTCAGGAAAGGGGTGGGAAGCAACCAGCCATCAAATGTAAGGAAAGAGGTTCCAAATGAAAGTGCTTAACAAAAATAAGCCCAATCCTAGTATTCTCTCCCTTTTAAAGTTCCTCATGTTTGATTTGATCTTCATCTGATTTTAGCTTCAGTTCCTCTGCTGTGATCTTCCCATCCTTATTCCTGTCCTGGTTTTGGAACATGTCGGCAATTACTTTTTCAGGTTCAGAGCCTGGCATCAGATGACCCTTGCCTTCTGCAATCTGGGATTGGATGAAGGCTGAGAACTGCAGAGGGGACAAAAAGAAAAGAGAAGTAGGGAAAGGATGAATGGCTTCCATCAGAGGGTTTGTGCGCAACTGCTGACATAAATGGCATTTCAATATACCCTGCACCTATTTTTGGCTTCCCATGCTTCCACTTTGAATAAAACAATATTAATGTTATTCCACTTGGTGTAAGATACATGATAAGAAGTTAACATCTTTAAAAATGCATTGCTGAAGTTCCATTAATTAATCAAATTATAACTAAAATTTTGTTAGCTGCACATTGCTGTCCTTGCTTCTTCTAGCAATCATGGGCTGTGATTGATAGCTATTCTCAGCAAAATAACAATCAAGAAGCAAATTTGCAAGGTTTTCATCAGGTGATTAATTCTATTTGTTTTAAATCTAATTGCAATATGCTCCTGACTAATTGAGCAGCACATAGTTTCAACATTCAGTACAAGTTCTTACAGAAACTGCTGGTGGGAAGCACCAACTTAAAAGAAACATTCCCATTTTTCTCACATAAGGGAAAAATGCTCCAACTCATGTGCATCACCATCATCTAAAAACAAACGAAGTTTGCTTTCTGCTTCAGAGCGACTGCTTTTGCCCAAATGTACATTGCATCAATAAGTTGATTTACTAATTTAGTGAAACCACTGATCCCAGAACTAGACATTCTTACTCCAGTGGAATAAATGGTACAAATAGATCCCACTATGGATCCAGTTCTCCTAGGACCAAATCCTCTACCATCTGTTCTCAAACACAGGACACAGCCATACCTCCTCAGGTGGTACTTCATTGTCTTTGTTGAGATCCATGGCTTCAAACAAGTTTTCTGGTGGCTCGTTGTGCCAGATGAACAGGTACCCTTCTGGAACACCTGCCTCTAGGTGTAAAAGCTCCACTTCAAAAAAGAGCACAGCACTGCCAGGTACACCCCGGGCTGAAAGCATATCAAGGTGAGCGTATCAGCAAGATAAGTTAGCCAAAAGTGCATCTACTCTTTCTCAGAATTTGGACTTTCCAAATATAGGGTGTGCATCATTTCTAAGAGATGTGACAAATGGATACAAAGATTATTTGTTCTGGGTTTAATAATATAATTATTTAAAAATCTGACTTCTACACAGTGTTATGCAGATTAAGCTGAGTTGTTTGTGTTGTTTTGCTTTATTCATTCTGCTTATCACAGTCAACAGCAAAGAGGCACTGAAGCACTGTTTCCTCTCCCATGAACATCCTGCTTAGCTTTTCATCCAGTTTGGTTTTGGAGATTATACCAAGCACTGCAAACAAGCTTTCAACTGTAGTTTTGTGGCCTTGGAAGCTAGAAAGTTGCTAAGAAAAACCTGAGGATACGGAATCCTACATCCATTATCCACTGTCTTGTCTGGACTTTGTTAGCCCAAGGAATTGCCCACAGCCTTACCACCACTTTCACCATGCCCCAAATGTGGAGGAACGATGACAGTCCGTTTCTCTCCCACGCACATGTTGAGCAGGCCAGTGTTGAGACCATCAATGATCTTGTTGGAACCCAGAGTGGCTTCTTGGGGATGGTCATAGTCATGGCTGTTAATGGGGAACAGAAACTGTTGTAGTACTCCTGAGAATGCCTGGCAGAAGCCCCAGGACTGTGTGTTTTGACTCCAGCTGGCTCCCCTTGACTTTATTCCTAAAATTCTGCACTAAGAAAAGCTAATTTTGCTTTTCTTTGTATAAATTATACAAATTACCATAGTCTGTTTAGTTTGCGTAACTTATTTGTCTCAGCTTTGAAAGGCAAACAAGCAAAAACCTGAATAAGGGATGGGTAAATTGAAGAACTAAGGACAAAATTCCACAAGAAATTAGGCCACCCCAGTGTGAGGAAGCAGATTTTCTTAAACAAGGGAATTACAATTCTGATACTGAAAAGCAGATCTGTATGTTTTCTGTGTACAGAGTAACTTTTCGCTAAACTTACCTATTATGGTTTTCTTGGCAGTTTCCATTTGAGCCATTTCATGTCTCCTAGCAGCTGCCATTCCAACAGGATGTAAAGCAGAGGGGGAGAAGCGGAGCTGGACTATTTCACTGCCTCTGCCGAGACACAAGCTGCCTTTGGCTCTCCCTCAGCTGGCAGGTTGGCAGGCAGTTTCATCCCAAATGGTCACTACAGGAACTAACACTAATTTGCTTTCCTCTTCCTATCTATTATGTTTTGTAGATCATGTCTTAAATGTAGATTGTAAGGCTGAGGCGGGGACTGTTATACTATTTATTTTAATATTTAAATACCACCCCATCCTCCTAGGCTCTGGGTGGTTTACAAGAAATTAAAACCAACAGTGATTAACATTGATTAACAACAACATATTAAATAAAACAGGTATGAGAACTGATCTGAAGGCCTATAAAAAGAGATATGTTGTTAACTACCCCTTAAAGGTGGCAATCTGGGATATCAGATGCAGCTCTCGGTCTCCTGGCAAAACATTTCAGAGTTTAGAGGCCATCGCTGAGAAAGTCCTCTGGGTAGTTGACATTAATCTTACAGAAGCAGACTTCAGAAGATTCTCTCCAGAGGACCTTAGCTGGAAAGGTAGAATTTATATGGCTTTGTGCCATTTTCCCCCATTCAAAAAGGTTGAGGTGCCTCTTCTAAGCTCTAGTTTATGGGCAGTGAGCATTTTCAGTGAAAATCCATTGTTATTTTGGGTGCTTGGACCCTGTCCCCTTTAGCTTCAGCCTTTCCCACCACTGAAATGTGGCCCCAAGAGCTTTTGCAGACCAGAATTTGGGCCCAGGGTTCAAAGATGTGCAACTCCCTGGTATAAAGGCTTTAAATAAATAAGGCAATATAGAAATTCAGGCTCTGAACAAGATACTCACGAGGAGAACAGTCTGGTGCCATCTAAGAGAGAGCAGTTATAATGGTAGCGGACAAAATCTCTGTGTTGGCTAGTGGTATTGCAGTCCACGGGCCGAAAGATGGTCTCTACTTCCACAAGGTCTGTGGGATTGTGGAAATCGATAACAAGGACATCAAAGATGAGAACAGCTGAGCCAGGGATTTTGTTTCCTGGAGAACAAGAAGAACAGAGATTCCATGTGGATGTAAAGAATGAGGTGATATAAGTACAAACATTCTCTGAGAGCCACGGCTGAACTAAGAAATTTTGCTGCCTCATGGCAGTAATATATAATTTAAGAATTCTTTCCAGTGCTCTTCTGTGACCTTGTGCTGCTGGAGAAGAAAAACAGTTTTGTATGTAAGCTGTGTCTCAAGCTTGCTTGCTGTTTTTGATCTTCTTACAGGGGAAGCCTTGATAAGCTTCCAAGGAACATCTGGAACACCTTGAAAACCAAAAATTTAACCTACCTTACAAAATTATGAGGATAAATGAAAGTAGCTGAGGCCCTGTAAGTACGGTTTACCATTATCCTACTTCTTTTTGCTTCAACCTGCACAGCCCTAGAGGAGCTCAACCCTGACTGCTCTTTTGAAGATCAGATACTGAAGATGAAACTCAAATACTTTGGCCACCTAATGAGAAGGAAGGACTCCCTGGAGAAGAGCCTAATGCTGGGAACAATCGACAGCAAAAGAAGGGGGCGGCAGAGAATGAGGTGGCTAGATGGAGTCACTGAAGCAGTTGGTGTGAGCTTAAGTGGACTCCGGGGGATGGTGGAGGACAGGAAGGCCTGGAGGAATGTTGTCCATGGGATCGCGATGAGTCGGACACAACTTCATGACTAGCAACAACAACAAGCACTGTACCTGATAACTTATTTTAACGCATGAAGGGCTTGTAAAGACCCTTATTTTAATTAATATGTAGTATTTTTCAGAAGACGCGATCTATTGAAGGGGTGCTGTTGTTGCCATTCCCTTACATAAGCAAAGATCTTCTGACTTTGCCTTCACCTGACAGCTCACCATTTGACAGCTTTCAAAGGAAATCAAAGTAACATCACTGGAGTCTGGCTTTGACAATGTCCACGGATGGTGTCTGCTTCAACAGCAGGGATTTATCAGGACACTGACCAAGAAAAGCTTCACATTTCAGGAGGGCCAGTGGCTCTAAGCGTACCCTGCAGTAACCATGGGCTCACCTGCTCTGATGTGACAGAGAGCCCTGCAAACTTTGGGCAGCATACCTAGCTACTTTTGGAAAACTGGGATTCATGAAACACTTTTCTTTTCAAGAGTATCTGATGTATGTTTATACCAAGAATTACAGGTTGCCAATGCAAATAGATTGAGCCGGCTTCAAAGGCTTCCACATCAGCAACACTGAAGGGTTTGCACCTTCCTACCTGCCCCATTTTCCCCATAAGCCAAATGGGGAGGGATGATGATTCTTCTCCTTTCACCAATGCAGACCCCTTGTAGTCCTTGGTCCATTCCTGGGATAATGTAGCCTTTTCCAATATATGTGTCATAAGTGTGATTCCGTGAGTAACTAGAATTGGAAGAAGAGAAATGATGAAGAGGATGCAGTGACTTCTCTCAAGAAATGGCTCCACCACACAGCCTGAACTTCCTTTTCATGCAAGCTGCAGTTGAGCCAGTCTAGATGCACCCCTTCTGGCTGAAAAAAGGAAGAGTATGGTCAGGCTTGAACAGTTGGAGTCTGTCATTCCTGAGTGCCCAGAAGGTGAGATTGTAATAGCTCCCAACTCCTGCCAAAACTTTTTGGGTAAGCCTAAGCAACCAGAAGACGTCTGCTCCTTGCTGTTCACTTTGTGCTTCCAACTATGTGCTTGCTTTCTCTGACCTGGTCTGTGGGACACAGCAACCCATCAGTGTATCATTTCAATTCAGACTGCTTCCTAGTGTGGCTCACTGTTTGAGAACAAGCCACTCTGACAACCCATGGCTTGTTCCAGGGGTTCTTTCGACTCACAATGGGTAGTCATGTCATCCAAACCCAGAACAGCAATTTCATTGTGGGTTGTGGGGATCTGATAGTGAGCAGCCTGGCAGGAATGGGCAGAAACACTGCCACTCTTTGTAATTCCACGCTTGTTGCCATCAGTGACAGCCCCTCCACCCATCCCAAGTGGCACTTTGGAGTGAGTATTACTGGTTCATCTCCTTTTCTAAATAATGGACCAGAAAACTGCACAACTATGGTTATAATTGTCACTCTATCACAAGTGCACCAGTGACCAGTCTTGTCTGGTCAATTTCCTTGTCTGTCTGAGCTGTCAAAAGGAGAGGTGAAGCAAAATTATTGGCAGAGAATATAGGCTAATTTGTGTAGTTGGAAGGCACCAAATGGCCATCGCGTCCAACCCCCTGTTCTGTGCAGGACTCTCATCCCTCTCATATGGCTGTCCAGTTGCATCCTGAATGTCTCTAGTGTGGGAGGCATTCCCTACGTCTTTGGATCCATTGTTGTACAAGATTTTTTTTCCTGATATCTAGCTGGAATTTCGCATCCTGTAATTTGAGCCCATGATACTGTGCCCTGCACTCTGGAATGATCGAAAAGAGATCCTATCCTTCCTCTTTGTGACAGCCTTTCAAGTGCTGTCATATCTCCCCTCAGTCTTCTCTTCTTGATCCTAAACATGCCCAATTCTTTTGATCTCTCCTCACAGGAATTTGTTTCCAGTCCCAGGATCATCCTTGTCACCCTCCTCTGACACTTTTCCAGCTTGTCTACATCTTTCTTAAAATGTGGTGATCAGAACTGGTTAGGTGAGGCCTAACCAGTAAGCATAGAGCAGGATACATAAAGAAAAATGTGGAGCAGTGGTCTAGGTAGGTACAGGATGGAAAGAGAATAGCACCTTCTGGTTAGTGACTGCTATAAGTGGTTTATTTGGGCATATTTTGCTATAGTGCTACCCAAGAAAGTCTGGCTTTTGCTAACCGGGAGTGGGGGCAGGGGGGATGCTTGCTTTGAAGTACCTGGTGTAATCCCAACAAATACATGCCAGCTGACTTTTTGGAAACCCCCCTGAGTGAGGATAGAGGTGGTGGGCCTCATCTTCCTTTCTTGTAGAAGATGCATTTTCCAAAGTCGGTTTCAGGACTCATTATCATATTTCCTCTTGTTACCTGGAATCGAAAAGGGTCCCATCCATTAAGGTGCCATTGTAATGATAGCGCACAAAATCTCCAGTCACAGCCTTGCGTTTGCATGATGCTGGCACTTCCAGGTGCTCCAGGAAGATGCCATCTTTGGGGTTGTGCAGATCCACCAGAAGAACATCAAAAACCAGGGAGGCTTGAGGGGGGACGACAGTGCCTGAGAAAAGGAGAAAAATACAGCTCAGCTCCCCGTGGCTCAGGGACGGAGCACGTGCTTACACAACACTGCACGCTCAAATAGACGCTGCCGCATGGTGATGCATGCAGTTAAAACAATGCTTGGAATCCAGGTGTGGTCCTGCCACTTTTACGGCTTCAAAAATATTATTGTACATATTTCCCAAGGGTGGAAAATTACATTTATTTTTATGAATATTGAAAGTTGGAGAACGACGACACACAGGGTCTCAAGCAAGAATAGAGTAATGAACTGGAACACCCATAATCGCTCCACCTTTGGAGTGCTTCGTTATCCTCTTTTCCACCAGGGACCATGAATTGCAGAAGATGCTTTACTCAGCCAAAATTGATGTTTTAAGTATGTTCGGTAACAGTGCCTCTTTAATCAGGGCTGAATTAAGTCAGCCAGTCGTTGTAGGAGCAGTGCTGCTCATCCTTCTCTTGGCAATGCGTACATGCCCAAATGTCAGAGGTAAGAGCAAATATAATCTTAGCTTCCTTCCTCCATTTATTTATTTCTAGATTAATGGTCTGTACAAGATTGCCTTCTCTTGCATAAAATAATTTATTTGTGAAATTCAGATCAGCGGTTGTGAAATCTGATTCCTGAATGCAGAGTTTGGGTTCATGTAGCCCAAAATTGAGGTCCCAGTGTGTTTGCTTTTTGAGCTGCAGTTCCTAAGCCACTTACCATAGCCTTTTTCACCATAGGCCAGGAATGGTGGGATGACTATTCGCCGCTTCTCTCCAGCACACATGCCTTGTAGACCCTGGTCCATACCTTGGATCAGCCAGCCTGTGCCCACATAGGTGTCATATGTGCTGTCCTTTCCATAGCTGGGGAACAGGGAAGGGTGAGGACGAAGAAAGGGAAAGAGACAGCAGGAGAAAAGACATTCAGTGAAAGAAGGAAATTTTGGCATCGCAGCACTGGTCTAACACAGCACGTCGTAGGTAGATTGTCATCTGGTTGCCTGTGGCGATTAGTAGCCCAGGTGAGGTGTGGGAGCCTGCATCCCTCAGCCTCATGTCAAAAGCCTCTGCATGTCATCGGGCCTCTGATGGGTGCAAGCTCTCCCTGCTCTGGCAGCCTGCAGGGCAGGAAGGAAGGAGGGAAAGAGAGAAAAGGGGCGGCTCACCCACTTTTGGCTCTAGCTCTTCTCCTGAGCATCCCTGACACGCGGCCTCCAACAGGCTCCCTGCATAGGATGGGGCTCTTGGCAGAAAAAAGGCTGCCTGCTTCTGTTCTGGGTGACGGACATTTTGGTGTGTTCACACCTCCTCATATTATGATGGCTCGTTATACTTGGATGTCAGTTATGTAGGAATGACCCTCACCAGCCTCTCTTCTTCAAACACATTGGAAATAAAAGCACCACAATGCCTTGATTATCTGTATTTTTTTCTGGAAAAGCTGGGGCTCTTGGCACCTTGCTGTTTACACTGTAGAGCCACTCACTTCCCATTTCACCACACTTGAGAGCAAGGGTGAAGCACCGCCAACCTGGGGAACACCCCCATCTGGACCTCCACACAGTGTCTTGGGCTTTGTCTAGGGAGCAGGGCTGAGGCCCCAAGTCCCACCCCTTCGAGCAATCCCTGGGGAGGCGCTCCAGCTGCTATCTCGGACCTGAGACTGGAGAGAACAGTGAGGTCTCTGCGGGCACCTGCCAGCACCAGACTCCCTGCTGCCAATCTCAGCAAAAGCAGTGTGGATGCTGAGTGCCTCAGGCCTTTTTCTCCAGGGTGTGAGAAGGCACCTCTGTGTCCTTTTTCAGCATGAAAGAAGAAAGGAGGGTGAGATAAAAGGGTAGGACCCTGTCCCCTGACATCAGCTGGTTCATCAGGGCCAAGAGGGGGCACAATCTGGTTCCACATTCCAAAATGGTTCTGCAGCTGTGCTGTAACTTACCTCTTCTAGCCTTGGAAATAGGGCCTCGGAATGGGGGGATGTCCCTCTCTGCCCCTCACCTGTACATATGATGCTAATGCAAGCCAGGAGCAAGAATGGGGCAGTGAGGAGCCAGCAACTAGCAGCCAAGCTAGGTGAGATGCTACAAGCTCCATGATCAGAATTCTCTCTCTCTTAGTGCAAAGAGCTGCACCAGGCCCTTCAAAAAACTGGACTCCTGAACAGTGCTGGGAAGCCAGGGGATTGTTTTAACCCTTCCTCATCATTTTCTAAATTTATACCCATACCCCAAAAGTTCTATTTGCTCCACAGGTGAAAGGATGCAGATGCCTGAATATTTCCTCTGGGGGGTAAAAAAGAACAAGGGACGATCTGGTAAACCACATAAGGGGAAAGGCTTAAATATTCCTCCGCCATGGCAGCTCTCCAAGTCCACTTCAGATGCCAGCTTGTGGCTCCTTAGTTCAGCACAGCTGCCTCTGCCTCTGCCTCCACCACCATCACCACCACCCCTGCGCAGGAGAGCTAGCCTGTGTTCTTGTTTGGCCCCAAAAGCTGATCTAAACATGATACAGAATGAGGGTCAAGTTACACATGACACTAAGTGCTAGCTCAAATGATTTGCATGGGCTTCTTCGCTTTTGGTTTTTGTTTAACTAACAGAACTGGAAAGTGTTTGGTAGTGGGAGGCGCTCTGGTTTGGGACTGCAGTGAAGGCAAATTATCACCCCTTTCCTACTGTTCTACTAGAAGCTGCTAATAGAGTTTTGTGGGGATCGGGTGCTTTTAACTAGCTAATAATAGGGAAGGATCAGGCCCTCCTATGATTGTTTTTGTTCCTTTTAATGAAAAGCAGAATCCCAAAGATGAGGTGCAAAGATACTTTTAGTGTAATACACAGCTTGACCTTGAAGTGGCAACAGAGAGCACAGTCCTCACCAGGAGCATATTTTTAAATGCTCATCCCCTCATTAAAAAAACCCTTTCTGCATATAATAAACTAGCACATCAATTTAAATGTTAAAACACTCAAATTTTTATCTCTGATGTGCTTGTTTACTGCACATAGGACTCTTTTTAGTCAAAAATATTAGCCACTGCCCCACCTGCACTCTGAAATGGTTACAGCCCATGCTCTACTATGTGTTCCCAATCTGCACATGGAGCACAATTAGGCAGTAGATCCCTGTAACAGCAAGGCTGTCCCAGTTCAGACTAGGCTTAGAATAGATCTAGGATTTGATGGTACTTACTTAATAATGAAACAATAAACCTGAGAAAATTGGGGTGGAAGGGAAATACAGAATGGAGGCATGCAGCACAAACACATGGCATTTCAGGAGTGGAGATATTTGCCCACCTTGGGAATTATTTCTTTAGCTCTTTTCCCCCGTGTTCCAAACAATCTGTGCTAAACTCCACACACATCCTTTGGCACGTCTTACCTGGAGTCAAAAGGGGTACCATCCAGAAGCGTACCGTTATAGTGGTAACGCACAAAGTCTGAGTTTTCCACTGTGCGGTTACAGTGTTGTGGTTTGTGTAGGGTGCTGATCTGCAGCTTGTCTTCCTTGTTCCAAATATCGAGCATAATGACGTCAAAATAGAGGGTGGTGTCTGGAGGAATCAGACCAGCTATGGGTTGAAAAAGGAGAGAATTACAATGGAGACCAAGAGGGCAGTTCAATGATTCTGTGCAGAGCACCATGACCAGCTCTCTGCTCCCCTGGCCTCATGCCATTAATTAAATTCAGCACACCGTCTGTCTACATGGTGCTTTACAAAGTTTGAGAGCTACAGAAAAGGAAGGAAAAGGGCATTCTGAATGGGAAAACCCATGGAACGCTAAAGGGGTGCAACTGGAAATTGAGACAGCTAGGAAGTTTTGGGAGACAGTCGAGTGTGCACTCATTTGGTGGTGGGAAACAGCTTCTCAGTTTACAAAGTTAAGCACTGCTCTGCTCTCCTTGTCTCACCTACCAGGTCAACACTGGACACTTGCCACTCACCAACACCAATGCTGCCATAGCCTAGATGAGGCGGCACAATGAGATGCCTTCTCTCATTCACACACATGCCTTGCAGGCCTCTGTCCATGCCGGTGATGAGCCTCCCCACGCCGGCCACGCCTGCCACGGTGGCCCCTCGGTCATAGCTGGAAAGTGGGGAAATCACTGTCAGAACCAGGAAGGTTAGGGAAGTTTAAACACTAAAGAAGAGGGAGTACAGGAACAAATAGTCATGAACAAACAGGGTGTTGGGATGGCCACAGGCTTCCATGGTTTCAGAAGACGATTAGACAAACTAACCAGGCTATCAGAAGCTCCAGTCATGAAGAGGTATGTTACCTCCAGATTCAGAGGCACCACACAAACTATGGTTGCTGCAAAAGAACATAACTACTGCCCTCATATTCTGCTTGTGGACTAATTTGGCCAGTGGAAAGCTGGATGATGCACACGGTCTAGCAGGGATTTTCTTGAAACTCTTGTACAGATGCCATCAGGTGCATACAGCACACGTTTTATTTATCTGCCATTTTTATAAAGGTCTTGAAATGCTTCAGGGAGTACTTGCTAAATATCTAAAGCCTCCATCATCAGTGAAACATGAACCTGTGGCAGAGGTGTGTCACTGTTGTCTGCTTATCATGGATATCTAGCTCCTGCGACATCACTGACAAGACTTGAGTATCATGATTTATTTACTCTTCTTTTCTACCTACAATGGAACTATATTAATGAGCTCTCCCCTCCTACCCTCCTTTACATGATATGGAGCACTCCACCCAAAGTTAAGCTCTTTAAGACCCATGGACTCTTCTCAGGCTGCAATGCTACGCTTACTTCCCAGTCCTATTGAACTCAGTAGGCTTACCTCTGATTATGCATGCGTAGAAATTGCACTGTAATTCTCACACTGTATTCAGTGCAACATAAATGTGCTTAACTTTGGTTGGACCATGATCATTATTTTTTTAAAAGTGAGAGCGCTTACCCACTTGCAAAACTACCCTTTGGGCAACCCCTCAGCATTTTAAATAATTACTTTGTTGTTCATTTCCTTTGGTAGATACATACTGCTCTCCTCTCTTGAAAGGCTATCCCAACCGCAACAAAATTCTCCATTCATGATCTTTGGACAGTAAATGTAATGCTAAAGGAAGACTTACCATTGCTTAAAAGGAAAAAGAAAGAAAGAAAAGAGTAACTGAGTAAAGCTTTGGAGTATGAATCAGCAACCATAGGCCAAATTACCAAATCAGGTCCTTTGAATATTGCCAGCTAGTCCCAAATTTGTTAATTTAGAATACAATCCTATGCAGGGATAGAGAGAAATAAGTCCTAGAACTCACAGCATTCCCTGGCCTGCCAATCTTGATTTTGTTTTAACAAGCGAAGGATTGTGCCCTTATAGAGCTGCACAGGAGAGTGGTAAAAATGCGGCTTTCCTGGTAATCTGCTTGGGATTTCAAGTAGTGGGGACTAGCCCAACTATTTCATCCTAAAAGACCCTCCCCACCCAAAAAAAACCTAGTTAACAATCAAGACTTTTGAAAGAAAACCAGAATTACACAATTCAGAGCTATTACTGTTTTCTGTAATGATTATAAGACCAAATGCTTTGCTAACTTCAAGATGCTGTTGAATACAAGAACAAAGAAATCCTTAGGAAAGATGCAATTATTCACCTTAATTGTGATGCAAAAGCCAAGTCCTTCTTTTTAAGCAAATCCTGAAGCAAGAATTGGGGGATGCATATTTGATTTAATAAGGGAGCAATTCTGTTAAATTATCTAAATGAGTGGAGAAAAATCCACTCTTGCTAGCATGGAAAGAAGCAAATGAAATATGATCTCCAACTTCCTCTTAGGCAGAAAGGCAGGAGCAGAATACTTGAGGAATGGTTGGACTTATCTGCACAGCTTGCCTTAAGCTCACTGTTTTTTAAATCAGCACTGTTTTCTTGAAAACTGAATTTGTATGCATTTTATAGCACTTCTGCCTACAATGCACGTTTTTATAACAATAGAAGCTATCACTTCAACTTGCAAAATCTAGCATTATAAAATAATCTTCTTCATTCTGCCATTCTAGTGTATAAGCAGCTGTAGCGACATGTGGATGACACGTGTACAGCCCAAACTGCAGATCCCATAACAGGCGCCATCTCCTTCCACAGTCTATTTTGCAATTCACTGCTGCCAGCATCTGGACTGAAAGCTGAACCAGACTGAGTGTGTAATGAAGTCTGTCATTGGATGCAAACATTGGAATGCCCCGATCTTTTTGTTAAGATTCAGTTTGAGATGCCAAACTTATATTACACACAGATTCACTGATATTGAATAAGGAGAAAATATAGTATATCCAAAGGATAAAGAAATGTGCACCTCACCAGTTTTTATTGTAATTCAACCAACTGGATTTTGACAAAAGGACTACCTTGAATGTTGGTGTATAAGGGAACACACATAGCATTTAACAGGGAATTCCATTTTCAAAAAATGTTAAACAAAGCCTTCTGCTCCCCTTAAAAGATTGGATCTAAAATATCTCCACCTAAAGATGTTGTGTTATGGCTCCCTCCCCCTTTCTCCTTTTCTTTGATGCTTCCGAAATTAATGTCAAGTATTTTACTCTGACTAAATCGATGTCATTATGCAAAATGTTGGATACCTTATCTGACAAAGTAATACTTACAAAGATGGCTTTTAAAAAGACTTGATGTTTCTGATGAAGTGAACAGGGCCCACAAAAAGTTAGGTCAAAGCAAATGTGTTAATTTTTATTAACTTCCACAAGGCTCTTTGTTCTTTTTGCTGCAATGGACTAACATGGTTATCCCTCTGAAAATTAAAAAAGTGTTTGTGGAAGCCATATCTAACAAGTGGCTCTTAGTCACAGCAGTTAAATGAAGCTTAATAGTACTAATAATACATTTTGAGTACCAGAGGCTAAGGAAAGAACAACGGGGTACAGCAAGCTCTGTGACACCTTGCTTCTGAGCTTCCCAGAAGCTGAGCAAGAAGGGCCTCGATTTAATCTGGAGTTGTGTTGCGGATACCTTGTGCTGCAATCCTGTATCACAGTCTTCCTCAGCCTGATGCATTCCAGATGTTTTGGACTTTAACTTCCAACAGTCCCAGTCAGCATGGTCAGAAATGCTGAAAGTTGTGGTATGCATCAACTGGTTGGGGAAGGGTGTAACCCTCTCTTATCTGGGAATAGGACTTACTTCTGAATAGGAATGTATTGAGTAGAAATAAGATTGCACAATTACAGTTTTGTTATGGGGATAGCATGATGATCTATAATGTATGGTGCAATCTAAAGAAATGTCATCTTTAACAGAGGCCAAATATCAGCATCATTATAACTGCAATGCGAGTTAGCTTTGATTTAGGTTCCACAGTTACAAACTTCAGCAGTTGTTGGCCTAGAAATAATAGCAGACTGAATTTTAGCCAAGTTCTTAAAAAAATCACAGTCTCTGCAGCAGTTGCTGCACCTTTTTGCCCTTGCAACAGTGTCAAGTCAAAATACCTTTTCAGAAAAAGCTGCTGTTCTACACACATTTTCCCAGGACTAAATCGCTTTGTACACTGTGGGATTCCTGAATAAATACAAGATGAATCCTCACAAAACAACAGTTTAACCCAGTTTATCCAATAAGATGGAAATAATCTCAAATACTTCTGCTAAGGTAAGGACTATGGATTAGTTACCCTCTGCCCAAATTGTAGCCAGGAGAGAGGGAGTGGTCCATAGCAGCTTGGCCTTCTCAAAAGCACTGAAGGCCACTTTACTGAAGATTCGATTTTTTAATTCTTTTCTTAATGTCAGACTCTAAAAGGGAAAATACATAAGTAGTATTCTGCTTAGTTGTTCAACAAGAAGCAAATCCATTTCCAATGTTCCTGCCAAAGATTATTGAGGTGTGCTTGACAAACCCTTAGCAGTCAATAGTTCATTGTTCTTGTTTGAATTAGATAAATTCAGATTAAACATGTATTTATTGCACCTAACTGTTCCCTTATTTTGCATTCGGTCTGCTCAACCCCATGTAACAAGGCAACCAGTAATCCCAGCTCCAAAATTTCTAGTTTACAAGCTTGCCCACATTTCTTCCAGGATGGATCCCTTCTTATTCCGATTTGGTTCTTTGTAAAGTGAAGTGTGCATCATTCTAGAAAGCCATCACAACAAAATTGCTGTGCAATCACACCCAAAGTTATCTGATAGGCAATGGCATACTTCTCTTCTGAAGGCCGTAAGAGATAGATAAGGGAAGCATTAGAGAGACGCATCCCTTCCACTCTTCTGTTTGCAGCTGCGGGTGTATTTATTTTAAGCAGGCCCTGCTCTTTCTACCACACAGACATTCCAGAAGTGCTGAGCAAAGATGGGACATTGGCATGGACTCTCTTTCCCTCTCAATTTATGGGGGAAAAAAATCTCTTTCTTTGGAGTGTAATAGTGGACAATATGTTTAGTCCTCCTTAGTTTAAATTTGGTAGGGTCCCCCGGGCCCCCACGGAATTGTTCGTGGGCTGTAAGTCACCCATTCCTGGCGTAGAAAAAAGGCCCCTGCGATTTCCATCGGTCTTTCTAGCTTGGAGCGATGGATTTTACTGAATGAGTACCTGGAGTCAAATTTGGTGCCGTCTTGAAAGGTTCCATTGTAATGGTAGCGGACGAAGTCGCCCATCTGTACTTCTCGCAAGCATACTTTAGGGATGTAGTATCTGTCAATGACGACGTCCTCTAAAGGGCCGGGGTCTCCCAAGCCGCGGACCCCCCAAAGGCTCAATGAAAAGAGGAGGCAGAGAAAGTTCATGCTGTTCTTCGACGGCGCGATCTTGCAAAAGGAAGAGCTGCAGCTCGCGGTTGTGCGCTGGAGGCAGCCAAAGGGAGGGGAGAGGGGGTGAGAGCAGAGGAGGCGCCTGCCTAAAACAGAGAATTCCAACCCTCCAGCCTAAATTCTGTAGACGTGTAAGAAAGCGGCCTGCGGGTTGGATTGCAAGAAGGGCCCAAAGACCCTGCGGCCTCTCATGTTTATGTTTGTGGGCAGCTAAAAAAGACTCGAGTTGCTTGTCAATGATTTGAGGTGCCCCGCCCGCGCGCGCCCCTTTATGCTTTGCATCAAAGTCATCTAGAAACTATTGTAAAGCATGTCCGGGCAGCAAAAAGTTCTGACAAGAGGAGGATTTGCTTTAAGAAAAACAACCCTGAAACAACCGTGTTCCAGGTCCTAGTGCCTGTTGGCTAACCCACTGGGAAGACTGAGCAAGAGGCATGCTTACGTGGTCGGTCCCTTCGGGTGTGGTGAGGCAGGAGATGACTTCTCCTTAGTCCCTGGCGAATTCTGCCTCTAGACTGCTGCTAGAAAATATGCTGACTTTGAAAGGAAAGGAGACAACCTTTGGAATAAGTCTATCAATCGCCATTAGCCGCAATGAAAGCCATGGAAAACAGTATTCAGACTGAGATGCTGTTGCATCTGCAATGCTGCTATAAATGAGGTGTGAGAACTTCTCAAATTCCTAGAATCCTGCAGGAATTTTATTTTCATAGACAGCAATGCATAAATCAAACCTGTTTGATGGTGTGTCATGAAATGGTGTCCCCCACCCCAAATGAACTAGAACAGGCATTTTATTTCTATCTCACATAAATGATATTTGCAGATTAACATACAGAGAGATGCTCTTCTTTAGTGTCATGGGTTAAAGCTGTTTTATAAGTTTACGACCAAACAATACCACTGCATGAGGAATGATCCCACATCTACTGGGCTTTTATTTTTAAAAATAATGATAGCTTATGCTAGATGATGATGATGCAGAGCCAGAGCATGTATGTTCAATTGTGCTCAGATTGGGCACAGGAGATAGGAAGATACCTAATCAGATCCACACACACACCCCCCAAAAACCCTGAAAACAGTAGCTACCCATCAGTCACAAAAGGTCACTGGGCTGCTTCTGGAATTACATCCTCCATTAATTGATACAGCATTTTAAATAATAGGACCTAATGTACAGACATGTATAAAGATTATCAAGATAGTGAATGTTAAAATGCTTTGAATGCTCAAAAATGCTAAATTCCCACCATTGACAGTTCAGAGGTTTCAAACCACCATTAGCAGAATGAGGCAGAGAATGAGAATGGGGCATGGGCTGGGGGCAGAGGCAGTAGGCCATCCATATGGTTCATTTGGCTGCAGGAGCGTTTTGCATGCCACTTGAGCTATGTTGAGGCCACTAAGCTACTACTGTTCTCACATACTGTGACAGAAACTCTCTCAATGTAAGTAAAGATCAACTGCCAGTCCAGCTGGTTTGAGAATGTGGAATAGGAGCATATGTACTACCTTGTCCTTGCCCAGAAACAGCAGCATTTCATGGTCCGTCTCTATGAATCTTCAGATTCAATTCAGGTTCAATCTCTGTGAACCAGAATTTTCTTCATGTTCCCCTGTGCTTTTCGTTGTATCTGATAGGTCTGGCATACTACTCTGGGAGAGCAAATTTCTGTGCTTTGTGCATTCATTTGATAATTGACTATGAGGAATCATAACTTTTGCCCAGTCAATGATCCAGACTTGCTCTGAGTTCAAATAGATGCTGTCTAGTCATATTCTTTGTAGGGACATAGTTCTTTAAGCATTAGGCCCAGTGTTACGTGACCTTAGCCTAGTTTCAAAAGCCCCATACATGTGTTCAGTGCAGATCTTTGGCAGGAATAATCTGTTCATTTTCTGGCAATCTACAAGGCAGGAAGTAAAACAAAGCAATGACCCTCACCACTGGCTTCAGCCCTACCCACTGCTGATGTACAGCTCCCAAATGATTATCTACAAGGGGAAGCAACCCTCAGTAGGAAAAAGGCAGCCATACCTGTGAGTGCATCACAATATAAGAATAACAGCACTGAAAATCAAGACTGAACACTGTTTGGAAAACAATATGGAGGCTTGAAAGTTATATACTTTAAATAATTTTTAAAATCTTATTTTTTTTACAAATACACATTGCTAAGACAGGGTTACAAAGTGAGTTAATTCAAACAATTCCAGAAGTATTGTTATGGATTAGATTAAACATAAATATACTAATCTGTGTTAACTAAAATTGAGTCCACGCATTCAAAGTTTTGTACTTTTAAAATATGCTGTTAATTTAACCAGAGCTATATTTCAGATTTCCTTTTTCTTGATCTTTTTTGTTTTTGCTTTTTGCATGAATACTATTATGCTGCAACTCTATCTAAATTTAGATATAAAATAGGCCAACAACTCTCAGAATGTCCCAGCCAGCACAGTTAGATAAGTTTGCATAGGATTGCTACCTTTGGCATAGTAACGCTGCAACTATACACCAAAATTCTCGTTACTTCGGTCGTGGGACACTTGGTGCTAATGGAAACCATGGAAGGGCGATTTTCGCCGATTTCTCCTTCAGCTCCCTGCAACCCTCCCACCGTCCCATTGTTCCATGGGACTGAAAGACACTCGGCATCCTCGAGAGAGACTACTTGGGGAAAATCTCTCCCCTTTCTCAAGCAGGAAGTCTTTGCTCGAAGTCTCTCTGTAAACGAAAGGCGCTCTTCTGTTCGCCGAAGGGTCTTTTCGCATGCATTCCATGGGATACAGCCCGAAGCTGACCTCACTATTAAATCTAGATTCTTCTCTCCCTTCTCCCCGATAAAAAGAGCTGGTGCCACTCTTTGAACCACTGGGCAACGCTAAGAGCCAACCGTCTGGAAGCAACTTCTGACCCAGCCAATCACGGTAAAGTCCAAACCGTAGAGGTAAGACAGGATACTCCCAGTCAGAGCTAGAACTTCCGGGCTCCTTTCCACGCTATTTTTGTCTCCCTGGATCTGTCTTTCAAGTCTTATCGCGCGCTTGCATTTAATTAAATAAATTAAAACACTGTGCTAGTGCAGTCCATTTTTCCATATTGAAAATGGGACGCAGGCATACAGACTATTCCGGTGTTGCTACTCAAGTTGCCACCTAAGGGCATGAACTCACCACCAGGTTGCAGCAGAAATCTTGCTGCACTTGAAAATAGGCTTTCCCCACACAAAATAAGATACAGATGAGAAATAGTACCTTTTATTTTCGTGCCGCTCAATCACAACTACTATGAAGAGACAGATTCCCTGTTTCCTATGGGTTGTTCTCACTTCCCCCTGGGAGTGGGCCCTAAACTGGTGAGGCTGAAGTTATACTTGAGCAAAAGTTAGATGCCAGGGATAACGATACAAATGTAGTTTTTATGTGCTGCGAAGTTGTCTCTGACTTATGGTGACGCTTACAAAGGAAAGCCCCCCAAATGGCCTGTGACAGCCCTGCTCAGATCTTGTATATTTCAGACTAACTTCCTTTATGGAATCAATCCATTTCATATTTGGACTTCCAATTCTACCTTTGATTTTCCCTATGATTGTCTTATCCAGGGAGTTTTGCCTTTTCATGATGTGCCCAAGCATGATAGCCATAGTTTTGTCATTTTTGCTTCTAAGCAAATGTCTGATTTAATCTGAAACCTGCTTATTTGTCTTTCTGTTGGTCTGAGGTATTTGCAACCTCTCCTCTAGCACCATGTTTCAAATGCATCCATTTTCTTCTGGCCTGTGCTAGTTTCATATACATGGAATATTTTTGTGATTGGGTGGGGGACTAGCAGTCCGTTTTGAAGGAAGTAACTCAGTGATTGAGAAACAGTGAGGCAAACAACCAAGCCATGAAGCCTGTCTGAAGGAATGTGGAGGGGAGAAAAAGATAATTGGCTTAAAAGAAAGTTTGCTACTTCCTATCTCATCCTCCCAGTAGTTTTATGAGACAGGGGTGGGGGTCGTAGGGCAAGGTGAAGTGAGAGAGGGGTGAACTAGTGAGCTTGTAGTATAAGCACGCAGGTGTAAGAGGTTGATGAATATTAACTCACACACCTTGAGTAGACAATAGACTAATTATAATGCACATGTGGTGTATGTAGAGGTATGTAGTGGGATGAGATGGAAGATATGAAGTAGGTGAAAGGAAAGACTGTACCTCCTAGTACCTTATCCAATGAGGGAAAAGGGGAGGACTGTGGCAGATGGGTTGAGGGGTAAGAGGAACTGCATTGTGTTTGTACTTTGGAGAGATTCAGATAGAGCGGGCTCTCCCTGTCTTTTGCAGTAAATGAAGGAATCACCCCACTCTGTTGGTAGTCTTGGTTATTTAACTTGAGGAAAAGTATTTTTGCAGCTTTTTTGCGTAACAGTTATGTGAGCACCCATGTGCAAAAGGTGCAGCCCAATTAAAAGAAACTCCCTTCCCCAACTAGGCCCAACCTGTGTTTTAACTTCAGGGGGGGCATTGTTTAATTTTTTTGCAAGAACTACTTAGTGGAGAAAGGAAAGCACTTAGTGTATTTTATTACTGCATAATATATCTGGACTTTCTCCTTCAGGTAACCCAAGGTGGCTCACAAAATCCTCCTTCTTCACATTTTATCCTCGCAACGACCCTGTGAGGTAGCTTAAGCTGAAAGTCAGTGACTGGCCTAAGGTCACCCAATGAAGTTTCTAGTCGAGTGGGGACCAGAACCTGAATCTCAAGAATCCTAGGTTATTCTAATCCTCTGGAAGATACTATTAGCCAAACTTAAAAAACAACAATTGCCACAGCCACCTTTTGTAACCCAAGACAGTTCTTGTTACTTTTCCCGTCCTAGAACCGAGCTTTGCTATCCAAAAAAGATTACCCTAGTCCATGGCAAGGCTTGGTGTACGAAAGCTAATGAACTATGTCTTTAAAAATAGGCTTGACCCAGCAGCATTACTCCGTGTCTCTCAGACAGTTACCATAAGAGAGAGGATGGGGCACTGCCCGCCTGCCGCCGGCGCCTCACGCAAGAGGCGTGAATTAGACGGTTCAGCGAAGTTCCATTGATTTATGTTTATAGCGATTGCGCAAGCCGAGAAGCACACTCTACTACGCTTGCGTAGGAAACGACCTCGAAACTATAGGGGGAGGTGACGTCAGGAGCAACGCCTGCGCACAGTGAGAAATGAAGTGTCTGCTGTTATGGGAAGAACGAGGGTGAGGTATTGAGCATGCGCGACAGGAAGAGGCTGCCGAACAGTCAGGGCGGCTGGTTCGAAAGCTGAGTGGCTCAGAGTGAGATGCCTGGCGGCGGTGGCGACACCAACCCTCACTGCCGGGCACATCTTCTCTGGGCCCTGACTCTGCGATGGTAATAAGGGCCTGGATTGACTTGGGAAGGGCTGGAAGGAGGGCGAGGATAGGAATTACACAGTTGTAACTAACTTATGTAACTAAGGTATGTGTGTAGCTCTCTTCCTCAAGCCAAGAAAGTTAGACGGCCTGTTGACTCGCCAGAACAAAAATCTAGGCAGTTTTGTTATGCTAAGTATTTTTATCTTGCCTTTCCACTATTTAAGGTCCTTGGGTTTGCTTACACTTTAAAAGGTATAAAATGCAACAGTAGTCTGCCAGGTCTAGGTGACAGGTAGGTTGCCTGTTCTGGATGGGATGCCTTTCTCTGAAGGATCAGGTGAACAGCCTGGGGTGCCTCTGGATTCAGCTTTGTTCCTGGAGTCCCAAGTAATCCCAGTGATTCAGAGTGCTTCTCCTGGAATGCCAGTCATGGAGAGTTTGGCTGCAGTGGTTTCTGCACTGGTAACCTTGAAATTAGATTGCTGCAATGTATTGTTTGGGTCTGCCTTTAAGGGTGTGTCTTAGAATATTTGGAATTTACCTGAAAGAGGGGTGGAGACAACTATGTTCAATGATTCTGAATATGAGCTCTTCTCATAGAATTTTGAAAAAAATCTTCCCTCTTTCTCTTCCAAAAGCACCTTATCTTGTGCTCCTTGGCTTTAAATGTAAAACAGTCTTCTAATATAAGAACCCAGCGGCCTTACCAGATTAAACTAAAGGCCCAGCATTTTGTTTCCAACAGTGGCTGATCAGAAGCCTCCAGGAAGCACACAAGCAGGGTTCTGATTGACCGCCTCTGCTTGTCCTCCATGACCTACTTTTTGGAGAAATAGTGCCTCTGAATATGGAGCGATTGTAGCTGCTGATAGATGCATCCTCCACAAATTTGATGAATAATCTTTATTTTAATATTTTTGCATCTATTTTAATTGACTGTAGTCATGCCTTATGATCCTAGTTTATAATAGCATATTGTACCAAGCAGGATTTATTCTTGCAGCCCTGCAATTACTGCATATCACCTTTATTGGATGACTTCAGTTTGTAGTACTATGAGACAAGGAGGAAAAACATTCTATTGTTCATAACTGCTAATAAAGATGATTATGTGGAGGTGACAAGTGATCATGTTTCTTCTCACAGGCCTGCAGTCTACAAAATCTATTTTCTATGGAGACAGAATTTGAAGATGAGGTAAGGAGCATTCATGAATTCCAGCTGTATAGTGGGAGATGCAAGCACCCAAGTGTAGTGGAGCGGGCAAAGGAGGATCTTTAGCTGTGGAGGGTCCAAGCATGGCAGGCTCCTGTTGGCCAAATCTCAGTCAAAGGGTACTTTTCACCCACACTTAGCAGAGTTTGAGATCTTAGAGATAAAAGTTATAAATAGCACAAACGTGAAGGATGGCACTTCTCATCAAGAGTTTGATCTTTTTTTCTTTTTCTTGTTTTTGATAGGATTTCCTGTTGGCTGTGAAGGATGTAGAGAAGCAGGCTGTGGATCCAGCTCCTGCCAACTCAAGATGTCTAAGACCCCTTCTGACTGGGTTAAGGGTCCCTAACAGTTCCCTTACACCGTCTAAAAACTTGGGCATCCTTGGCTCTTTAGAGGCAATGTCTCCTGTCTTGCAGATGCAATCCTATTCCAGACTGAAATCTGATGAGGGAAGTTGCCCCAGCAAAGTCAAGAGCAACCCATTGCTGCCTCTATCAACTAGCTTCAATGCTCAGAACAACCCGGTAACCTTGCCAGCTGAATGCAAATCAAGCTGCACTTCAGGTGTGAAGTTCAAGTTTGTCAACAGACATCCAGCTGTGTTCCCTCTTGGTGCTGACCTGTGCGAAGAGGAGATTGATAATGATCTTGCTTTGGCTGCATGCATGGATCATGAAGAATCGGATACATTGCCAAAACCAGAGTTTTTCAGGTCCAACTGTGGGACACAGGAGCAGATGAGGGACAATAGTGCAGCAACAGCCAAGAAACCACGAGTAGTGAGCTCAGCAATATTGAGCAAACCTGTTGGTTTACAGACCTCCAAGTTGCAAAGGGCTCAGGAGGAAAGCTTAATGGGAGACATCAACCATCTGCAGCCAATGGAGACTGTTTCAAAGCTGACTTTGAGACCCACTGCTATGGGGTCCTACTTATCTCAGACTAATGTAGGAGTGACCAGCAATAAAGCTGCTCTTTCAAACTCCAACTGTCAGGTCCTTAAATCTCTTCAAACATCTCTAGGAAAACGCCCTGCTGATTGCAACAAGCCATGTTTGCCTTCAGTTAGACCTTGCTCCTCGTTGTCTGTCAATATTCCTCCAAGGCTGACAAAGCCATGCATATCCAGCTGTTCTGTGGCTAGAACAGCCAGCAGTAGTGCTCAGCTTCTTACTCCCTATGTTTCCTTGGGGACTCCTGCAGAGACCCCTTCTGCCATCCCTAACACCCCATGTTCGACTGCAGCAGCTGGAAACAGCCAGACCCCTGTGGTCACCAACCATCTTGTCCGCTTGGTCACAGCAGCAAACAAGACACCTCAGCCCATAGCCCGTGCTTCTTTGCGAGCTAAGACTCGTCGCTTTCCAGGACCTGCAGGCATCCTGCCACACCAAGTAAGAGGATCATGAAATCATAGGATAATCTAATTCTGCATGTATAATGAAGTGGGGCTGGGAATAGATTTGCCACAGCTTTTGAGCTGTATGTGAGGTACAGTCTAATTACCTTCATTCCTTCCATCCCACCTCTCATAGGAGTTTGCAGTCACTACAAATCCCCAAAGGGGAATAAATATTGCTGTCTGCCTGCCCTTGAAATGACTGCTGGGTGCTTGCCAAATTCAGCCCTCTTGTGGTCCCAGTCTGGCACTCTGGGGTTCTCTAGATGGTTATATACCTTTCAGCTAGCCCCATTCCTTTCCCTTAACTGCCAAATGTTGGGTAGTTCCGGTCTTTCGTGTAGTTCTCCCCATTCTCAAGGGCTGAAATGGCTCTCCTGAAGCTTAGATACAGCACTAATAGTTTTAAACTAAAACATGATGGTATGTTTGTTGTGTCCCCTGAGAGTTTTTCCAAAATAGATTTTAGCTCTTGAGCTGAAAAAGACTCCACATCCTGGACACTATGTATTTAATGTTTCTTGTGCTGTTTGCAGGTAACTTTTGTTTTGCTTTGCCTTCCCAATAAAATGTTCTAGGTTGCCTATAAAAACATCCCAAAATAAATAAAAATTCAAAATCACTAAAACCTGTCCTAAACTGAGGATGGGTAGCAATCATGTATTCTGTAGATTTGGGCTACAGCATTTGCTTGAGTTAGATTTGAGTTAGATACTTGAGTAGTGCAGAAAATGGAACAAAATATTTTAGCACAGTGCTGTGCCACTGACTTTTCTAAGCAGGGTTATGTAGAGTACAGAATTTGGTCCAGAGTCCCAGATCCAGCATCCTGAAAACCTGTACTTCCTTTAAAATGAAATAAAAGAATCTACTGAACTCTTATTCTTTGTTTACTTCCTTTTAGAAAATATTAGGCAAGGAATATTCACATTTATATTCACAACATTCACATTTCCCCCTTTCTTTTCCTTAAAAAGCCTGAAGGGAAAAATTTGGAAGAAATTCTTATTGCAACTCCACAGACACCAACTCATGGGGCTCTAGCAAAACTACGAACTGAGGTAATTTCCCTGTTCCCTTTTCCTTTCCTCTTCCTAGCAGGGGAAGCATTTATGTTAAAAGTGGGGCCTGAAAGTTCTGCTTTGCTTCTGAGAGAAGAGCTAGACTTGATACTAAATATGTATATCATTAGAAACTATATCAGCCAGAGTGCAATCTTGGAAACTATGAAAAGTGCTAACACTTTTTCATAGAAAAATGTCTCTGAGCATGTTTGTAACACATTTCCACAACATTGAGTACCCAAACTAGGATGAGTATAACTGGGATCAAAATGGTTCGTTACAATTCTGAGAGCTGAGCTATACTTTTCCTGAGTTAAAATTAGGAAAAACTTCATTATTGTATTCTAATACATATTTTCCTTCTAACTATTCTATATATTAAAATGTAGGATTGGGTTTGAGGTGTGGAGAAGGTTGATTTGGGGGTAAACAGAGGGAGGAGTGCAAACAATTTTACATTCACCTAACTGAGCAAAACAACTTCCATGAATATGTTTCCAGGATACTGAGGGTGTTGCCCAGTGGTAAACATAGGGTGCACCTTACACAGACTCTCTTCTGTGCCTCCAGGAAATGCCTACTTCCCAGCAGTCAATAGAAGAGGAATTTGAAAGAGGCCCTTGGGTTGCCATGAAAACTGAGCTGGAATTAGATGAGAGAGATCCATCCTGCTTCCTTAGGACATACAGTGTTGTTATGGTGCTTCGTAAGGTAAGGGCTTGGCTTGGCTTTGGGTTTAGAAGACTGCAGAAGCATCTGGCTTTAAAAAAACCAAAACTTAACTCCAGCATGAATGGTTGAAAGCAGGAGGTGCAGCAGTATGACTGTGAACAACTCTTGGAAGGATTGTTACCTGCTTTCCCTTCCAAATCCAGCTTGTGGGAGGCTATTGCATGCCCTAAACAACAGCATAGTACTGTCAGGATCACTTTTTCTGTCTACTATCACTTCTGGCTGCACATGAGAAGTAATAAGGGAGGCATGATTCCTTGTTTGTTACCTGATCTCTCCACTACCTTTCTTGGAACATACTTTAGGGTTTTAGAAAGCCAGTTGTAAGTTTCCTTCTGCCATGTCCACATATCACAATGTGCAGGAGAAACATCCTAAAAGTCCTCCACTGTATCTTCCACTGCTTCTCCTAACAAACATCTTTTCTTGCATCTTAAAACAGCCAAATCCAGCATCAGCTGTTTTATTCTGATTTTCCATAGACAGTGCATCTCCTTGATCATTCTCTTCCTTGTAGGCAGCTCTGAAGCAGATCCCAAAGAACAAAGTTCCCAACATGGCAGTGATGATTAAATCACTGATGAGGACCAATGTTGATGCAGGTGCTGTCTTTAAAGACCCTACTGGTAAGTGTGAAAAATGCTCAGTCTGGTGGTTGGAGGTAGATATTGCTTCTTCTGGTAATGTGCAGTTCGGCTGGTTTGCTTGCTGGAGTCACTTACTTTATTAAATTTATATAGAAACATAGAAACAGAGCGAGTCAGAAGGGGTCTCCCGGGCCATCTAGTCTGACCTCCAGCTCCAGCCACTCCGCTCACGACATACCCACCATGTGCATGTCCAGCCTTTCTTTGAACACCCGCACCGATGGGGCCTCAACGACCTCTCGTGGAAGCCCATTCCATACCCTCAGGGTCCTAACTGTCAGGAAGTGCTTCCTGGCATCTAAATGGAACCTTGGTTTCCTGAGCTTTGCTCCGTTGGAGCAAAGCTCCATACTGCACCCAATAGTCCCACATGGGACTCCCTGGGCAGTGAATGACTTAGAATTACTTTCTCTGATTTGCTTATGGTACCTGGGCAAGCCCAGCTCAGAGGTGGCCACCATTTGATTTAATTATATAGTTATTTATTTTTAAATTTATATGCTGCCCATTAGTCCAAAAGGATTCTCTAGGTGGCTTACAATAAAATTGATAATTGCAATGCTACAAACAACAATAAAACCAGTTACACACACGCACACACACACACACACACACACACACACACACACAGAGTGGTACCTCGGCTTACAAACGCCTCAGTTCATGACCAAATCATGTCGCAAACAAAAATATCAGAAAAATTTTTCCTCAGGTTGTGAACTCTGCATTGGGTGACAGTTGCGATCATGCCCATCTTCCCATGGGCGTGATCGTGGTCATGCTTGGAGGGGTGGGGAGATGGCCGCAACCATTCTCGGTGGGGGAGAAGGCTGCGATTGCGCCTGTGTTCCCTGCCGGAGCGCGACTGCGATCGCACCCATCTTCCCTGTGATTAAAAAAATATTTACAGAACGGATTAACCTTATTTACATTGAACCTTAAGGGGAAATTTGACTTGGCTCACGACCAATTTTGGTCGCAACCAGAGTTGTGGAATGGAGTAAATTCATGAGCCAAGGTATCACTGTATATAATCCCAACAGAAATTAACAATAAAACATCATAATTGTATCAAGTAAGCAGGAGAACCATTATCACAATAAATGACGTTTTTCAAAGAAATTCTTAAAATATTCAGAGAAAAGAAACATCTTTGCCTGGTGCTGAAATGAGAACAAGGTTGGCACAAGGATGATTTCTTTGGGGAGCCTGCTCTATAACTGAGGGTTGGAGCTGTTATTACTTGGAGCTAATCAAACATCCAGAAAAGCATGTGGTAGTTTTCTGGGGACTACTCCAGAATATAAATAATTTCATGTTTCTGTGCTTTCTCATAATATGTTATAATAACTTTTGTTTAGACTGACTAAAAGATCAGGAACAAAGGGCCTAGCCAGCTTGCCTTCCTGATGGCTGATTTGAAGGTGACTTGGCTTCTCTGAATTTTGTTTTTTGCCTCTAAATAGCAAAACAATCATGTTGCTGACAATCAGTTGTCCACAAATTTTGGTTGGCCTTTGTAGCCAGCCAGAACTTGTGGCTATATGATCATTCCCCATCTCATGACCTTATGTTGATCTTCTGAGATACTTGGAGCACTTTTGAAACTTAGCATAAAGTCAGAGGGGGTTTCTTGATGCTGCCATACTCTTCAGTTCCCATTTTGCGGGGAGAGCCAGAGATTATCTGTGTTGTGGTGAGTTTTCAAGGCACTTGGATTGGATTGGGTAAATCCCAGCCCTAAACTTAGGAAGTGTCCTAGGAGACTATTCTGAGGGTCTTGGAGGGCCTCCAAGGTGCAGTGCCTCTGTGAGAACAAACACCTGCATCTTTCCCTAGTTCCAAGCTGTGGAAAAGGGCTGGGGGTGGGGGGGGATGCTCACCATGGTGAGCGAATCTTGGCAATCATGGTAAACCTGAGCTCCATTTATTTTCCATAAAAGGGAGGTGGGGTTCAATATCACCGTAAAAGCAGAAATGCAACTTAGCTCTGGCATTTCCAGTTATTTAACTATTGGTTCAATAGTAGAGCAAGGTTCACCATTGTTGCTTGTTCCACCTTTGATTCTAAGGGTATAGAAATATTTTAAGTAATGATTTTTGAGGCTATCCTCTAGATCTAAGACCTGCACAGTGCAAGCAGTTCAGCAAGCAACAAAGCAAGTCTGCAGTGAACAAATTTCACAAATGGACATACACAGTCTGCACTTTTCCATAACAAATTTTGAATATTCTTCTTCTTCTTATTATTATTATTATTATTATAACATTTCTATGCCGCCCCTTGCCGAAACCTCGGGGCGGCTTACAACACGATAAAATACATTGAAATACAATAGCACATAATAAATTACCATTAAATACAAAAATACAAAAAATACATTGATTTACAAATATAAGATTAAAATTATCAGTATAAATTAAGTAAATAAAAATATAGGAGGAGAAAGAGAAGGAAGAAGAAGTTGCCCTGGCCAGATCATATGTTTTAACAATTAAAATGACGTTTAAATAAAAAGGTCTTTACCTGGCGCCGAAAAACCAGTAACGACGGTGCCAGGCGGACCTCTTTGGGGAGTGAATTCCATAGGTTGGGTGCCACCGCAGAGAAAGCCCTCCTCCGAGTACTTACTCTCTTAATTTCTTTCATGGAGGGTTCCCGGAGAAGGGACTCTCCCGCAGATCTCAAAGGGCGGTTGGGCATAAACGGACGTAAGCGCGTGTTCAGGTAGCCAGGACCCAAGCCGTTTAGGGCTTTATAGGTCATAATCAACACCTTGAATTGGGCCCGGGCTTCAATGGGAAGCCAGTGAAGCTGACGGAGGACTGGAGTCATGTGAGCATAACGCCCCGTCCCCGTCAGCAACCTGGCAGCTCTATTTTGCACCAATTGAAGTGTTCGGACTGTCTTCAGGGGAAGCCCCACGTAAAGCGCGTTACAGAAGTCTAGGCGGGAAGTCACCAGCGTGTGTGTCACCGTCGCCAGGCAGTCGTACTCCAGGTAGGGGCGCAGCTGATTAATCAGCCGAAGCTGAAGGAAGGCGTTCCTCGCCACCGCTGTCACCTGAGCTTCCACAGAAAGCTCCGGGTCGAGGAGTACTCCTAAGCTGCGGACCTTATCCCTAAGAGGGAGTGTTGCACCATTCAGGACCAGGTCAAATCCACCCTCTCCGAAACCCGATCCACCAACCAACAGGACCTCCGTCTTGTCTGGGTTGAGTTTCAGTTTATTTGCCCTCATCCATTCCCTTACCTCGTCCAAACACCGGTTCAGCACAGCCACTGCCTCACCTGGATTAGTGGAAAACGAGAGGTAAAGCTGGGTATCATCAGCGTATTGATGATTCCGCAGCCCACACCTCCTGATGACCTCTCCCAGCGGTTTCATATAGATGTTAAATAGCAGAGGGGATAGAATGGAGCCCTGTGGTACTCCATGGCATAGCTGCCATGCCGTAGAGACATGGTCCCCCAGCACTATCTTCTGGAATCGACCGTTGAGATAGGAGCGGAACCACTGCAGAGCAGTGCCTCCAACCCCCAATCCCGCAAGCCTATCCAGAAGGATACCATGGTCGATGGTATCGAAAGCCGCCGAGAGGTCCAGAAGAACCAACAGGGATGTACTCCCCCTGTCCTTCTCCCTGCACAGGTCATCGTACAGGGCGACCAAGGCAGATTCAGTACTGTACCCGGGTCTGAAGCCGGACTGAAAAGGATCCAGATAATCAGTTTCATCCAAGAGTGCTTGGAGTTGTCCCACCACCACTCGCTCCAACACCTTGCCCAGAAACGGGATGTTGGCCACAGGTCTATAGTTAGTGGCCATCTCTGGATCCAGTGACGCTTTCCTCAGGACCGGTCGTATTACCGCCTCCTTTAAAGGGGCAGGCACTCGACCCTCCCTCAGAGAAGCGTTAACCACTTCCAAGATCCCTTATGGCATAATTTAACATCTTAATGCTCTCTACTAACATCGATATGCAGTAAAAAGATAGAGTTTACAGTGGGTGCTGGACTGCTTTGTAACTGGATCAGAGTTACACTTGTGGGTCAGTTCACAGTCCAGGCCTCTCTAGAAAAGTTTGTCATAGTTCCCTTCTGCACAACCACAGTCCTGATCGCAGAACAAAACATTGTTTGCCCATAACAACATTGAAATAATCAGTCAATGTCCTTAACTTAAGTGAGCGATTAGGTGTACTAAACAGATATTATTTATTCAAATAGGAACAATTGACTGCCCAACTAAATGGCAAGTTACATGTCTGAATGCTTTAATTTTTTTTTCTTTCTAGCCCCTTTGTCCCTTTTCAGTGTTTAAGGGCAATGACAGCAACTTGTGGTCAGTGCCAGTGTATTTCTACTTTGGCTTTTCTGTGTTTCTTTATTTCATTTGTCTGCTCTTCTGTCCTGCAGGAGAAATGCAGGGCACGATACACCGTCTGTTGCTAGAGGAGAAAGAGAGTGAATTTAAGGCTGGCTCAGTGCTTCTGCTAAAGCAGGTACTAGAAAACAAGAAATCCAGGGCTTGGTGAGCTTTGATCATTTGAATGGCAAAAAGCAATAATCAGTTTGTAACACGTTCTCCAGATAGATTACATCAATGTGGTGCATCTTATTCTGAGGTGTCTAGTTTTGAGGAATTATTCCCTGATGGTTATCCATACCAGTTCAGTACCACACGTGTCAGATTTTGAAGCACTTTAGACTAGCATAAACAAAAACATTAAAAGACAGCTTCCTGGTTATGATCTCTATTTGAGGAGGGAGAAGAGGGAAGGGGACATGTTGTTAATCATATGAAGTGGTACAAACAACACTTAAATTTTCCTGCCATAACACAGTTCAGCTCTTCCCTTATTTCCCCCATCCTGTGCTACTTTCTGTGATGATGCTCACCCAATGATCCAAATGCTTCAAATGGCCTGGGGCCAGCATTCCTTCGGCTGCCTCTTCCAAGACTGTATTCAACCATTCCCTTAAGATTAGCTTGGAAGGCTTTCTGAAGTATCTAACTCCTGCCCGAAATGGCTCTTGGTTGTAATTATTTAGCCCTAAAGATTCACTTAAGCTTGTACATCTTCTGGAAACAGTGTAGGGCAGTTTTATTTATTTTAATTAGTCTGATATTCAGTGGCAAGAGATAAAGCAGATCTACTATCACGTGTTTACTTACCCCTGGTTCATTGAATGGACAGGGCTATAATTCTAGTTAAACAGTATTATTTCCTCCTCTTCCTGTATGGGTGGTTTCTTCTTCAGTGGTCATATGCTTCCCTTCTTCAGTGCTGGAACATATGTCCCTTTTGGTGTTTTGGTCTTTCACAATAGTGAACAGGAATTAGGATGTCCTCTGCTGTTGACCTTACAGCAAAAGCATGGCTCCATTCACATGTAGAGGCAGCAAATTGTGGTTTGTTAAACCATCACTTTGCCACAATGTATGCTACCTCCATTTTGAATATGAAACTTCCAGTTGTTCCCTGCTGTGTGACACTGTGGATTTAACTGTGTGTTAAACAACCGGAAGTTAACCTAAGAACAGATTGTATGGTTGTTAAAACCATGATTCACCCATAGCATCTGAGTCTGTACCTCATAAATTGAACTTTTGATTGGGCAGATCAGAGGTTGCATATTCAGAATGTCTGTGGCATATGACCCCAAAAAATCATATGTTAATTCATTATTTTCCACCATTGCTGACAAATCAAGTCAATTTCTTCTTCCTATGCCTTGGACAGGACATATAACATAGCAAGGATTTCATCTGGAAAGGCTCTCAGTTGCATTTAGGAATAGAAAATAGGTTTTGGCAAATTCTTTCTGCTTTTAGAGAGAATCAAGATGGGTTAGGCAATGTGTGCAGAGTGGTTCAAGATACTGCCAGTGTTACCGTGGTGAGAAGGGTTGATGTCTACCTTGGCTTCACAGGTGGGTGTGTTCTCCCCATCCCATCGCAATCACTACCTCAATGTGACACCCAGTAACTTGGTGAAGATATACCCACCGGGGCTCAGCGCTGGCAAGCTTCCTCGTTTGCATCAAGAGAACCAGGAAAGAATGGAGCCAGTATTGTCACAGGTCAGGAGCTGTCTTGAAATAGTTCTCTGTTCCAGTGTGCATGGAAAGATATGGGGAATGCTGTTTAATAAAAAAACAAGGCGGGGGACTTATTTATAATTTAATCAGAGTAAATAATGCTAATGAGCAACCATCTGCAACATTTTAATTGTTAGAATGATATTATGGGAAAATGTGAAGAATGCTTGGTGAAATCTTGGCAGAAGAGGTTAGGGCGGTTACCTCATCAAGAATAGGTTAGCTGCTGCCTTGTGTTGCTCCTAATCAGCCTAGAGCTCCAGGTTTGTGCATTATACCCACAGCTATGATCTAGCTGATTGTTGATAAAGAAGTTAGGAACATATGGGAGACAGTGAACTTGCTTACTCTCACTCATGCACGGTGCATTAAGGGTTAATTAAGCCACAGTTTGCCATTACATGCAAACCATGGTATCATCGTTTTAGTAACTCTCTGAAACACATGTTTGTGGGGTATTAAACCACAGCTCATACCAGACTTCATTTAAAATATTCATGTCATTCTCTCCCAGTTGATCTGATTAGAATTTGTTCATATTTGTTACTATACATATTTTAACCATTTGAATTTTCTCACTATAAGGCTTTCAAAAACTTCCTCATAGTTAAAGTGTGTTGAAACTGAAAGTGCTGAAAAGGCTGAACTTGCCTGGCACTCCTCCTGTGGCTTCTAACTAAAGGCTAGAACGCTTCATCTTAATCTGTTGAGTTTGATTGCTTTCTCCTATCCTTAAACATATCTAGATTCAGTCTGCTTGTTATACTTAAATGTGATAAGGGGAGACAGGCATGGATTATCTTTATTTTAAATTCTTCTGAACTGAATAAGTTGCATTTGTGTATGATTTGGACTCAAGATTCTTGATTCTTTCTAAGAATATCTTCTGGTAAGGGTTAGGCTTCAATTCACATGGAAATTCCAATTGTGGATAGCTTTGCCATCCAGCAGCAGGCCTTTCCAAAACATGAGGGACTGCTTTGGAGAGTTTCTTGAGGAGGACTCTTTGGAATGTTTAAGGTATGCCTAACACATGAGGGAAGCTTAATAAGACCTTTTTATACAAAGATCTAGAGTGTGGATGGAGGGCTAAAGCCAGTGCTAATAAATGCTCAGCTTAAATCCGGGAGTCCTGCATTCAAGTTCCATTTCTAATACTGATTCTAGAATTTCTTGTAGGAAGCTTTGGCTGCTGTTGTCCTCTCAACAACTTTGTGATATGTCAAGTATACTCAGAGTTGTGATTCTCCCAGTGCCGTCTTGTGACCTCTATAGCTCCTGCAGTCCTCTAGCTACTAGACTGCATTGAGCCCTTATGAGATTTTGCATTTTTTTTTCAATCTTTCCTTTCTAATGTATATGCATTTATTCAAAAGCATCTGATGATTAAAATGACAGTTTTGTAATAAAAAGCAATACCAAACAAAACACAATAAGGCAGTCATGACAGATGGAACACAGTCTTGAGATGATACATCTACATTGCAGGCCAAAAGCCAGCCAGAATATGAGAGGACAGCCACCTGACCTTCATAGGGCAGGGCATTCTGTAATTGTGCTGTAGCCACCAAGAAGCTTCCATCTCTGACCAGCTGTGCTTCTATCATAGAAGACTGGGTCCCTCTAGTGTGATCTAAGCCATTTATGACTTAGAGGCAATCCTTAACACTTTGAATTGCACCTAGAAATAGATTCAAAGGCATTTCTGCACTAGTGTAATATGGTCCCACTATCATTCTTGATACCACAATTTGGAAAAGTTTAGGCTGAGCAGCAATGCAGTGGAAGAGTCATAACAGCTCGGTGGTAGAGCATGTGGTCCTTATTTTGAGACTGGCTTGGGCTCAGTCTGCAGCATTGTAGGTAGCAGGAGCTGCCTTGAAACATCTCTGCTTTCAACCTTGGAGAGCTTCATCCAGTCATGTAGACAGAACTGTACATGGTAAATTAATCATCTAACATGATACAAGGCAAGCAGCATTTATCCGTTCCTACCACTGGTACTGGGAGCTAGTTATGGTCTGGGGGCATGGCTCTTAGGCAGAGCTGTGAAGGGTTCAGAATTCAAACATGGATGTTCTCAGCTCCCCTGTGGACTCTTATTTCTGCAGGTTGTGTCAGAAGTTCAGAAAAAGCCTCATACAAATGCCCTCACTTCCCTGGTGACAGCAGACTGCAGGCACGAGGAAGGACATGTGATGGATAAGAACTGCAGCCAGCATGTGTTGGGATCAAGTAAAGGGGCGCCATGGACACCAGTGCCAGGGATCTGTGGAGGAGGCAAATCTGTTTTGAATGTACCATCCCCAAATGCTGAAAGAGCTGATTCAGGTAAATCGCAATGGAGGAATATTTCTTTCCTGATTTTTCTACTCCCTCTGCCACCACGTAATCCCATGTGCCTCCAGAACATGGGAAATTGGAGCACAGGCTACAGAGAAGCCTTGCTGAGCTTTCAGGACTACATGTACCAACCTCTGCCTCACACCAAGGCATCTTATCACTTGCAGATTTGCAGATGACATTCAGTAGTCTCTGTATGGCCCCGCATGTCAACAGCAAATGCATTTTTCCAGGGATAGAATAAGGTACTTGGCATCCTGGGAATGAATGTCCAAGTATTTCCTTGGACAAATACTTATTAACTCTTAGTTGGGGGGAGTTATTGGTTAAGTAGCACCTGGGAACAGACAGGGATAGGCCAGGGCTTTCTGCTGCCAAGCGTGCTGCATAGCAACTTGGCCCTTCCTCATGACTGTGATCTGCCTGCATCTACTTCCAACCATCCCCTCCCCAATGGTTCCTTGCCAGAACATTCTAGACGCTTGGAAAACTTGAGGCATATGAAATATGCAAAGTTGCACACATTTGACCACAGGAACTTGGTCGATTATAGCTTAGCTGAAGAGCCTTTCCAGGTTGCTCACAACTGCACTGGGACTTGAGGATGTTAGTCCTCCGCAGGGAGGGGGGCAATACGTAAGTCAGAGCTGCATATCTACTGTGTCAAAATGAAAGTCCTGTTCACTGTACTCTACCCACCTCTGCCACCACCCATGCACCGTGAATTTGACCTAGAACAGTCAAATCTAGCTTGCGGCTGAGCTAAATTTGATATTTATGGTGTTCCGAGTGCCTATCTCCAAATAAAAAATGTTTTTATTTGCTTTTTGGCTGCTGTGCTGCGAGCGAGGGCTCACTCTTAGTGCCCACAAGTTGCATGTTGCACACCCTGGCCCTGTGTGGTGGGATGAGCTGACTTGTGTCCCATTAGTGACTTGACTACCGTCTCATTGTCTAATGCAGATGATCTAGACCAACTTCTTGGAGAATTGCCTGATGATTTTTTCTCCAACTTGGATGAACTGAGTAGCCTGTGACAGTTCCTTGACAGAGACAACTGCTGGGGTAGAACCAAGGACCTAATTCTGTGTCTGAGAAGACTTTTGCACAACAAGGTGAACTCTGCTTTATGATTACGTCTTGGCAGGAAGGTGCTTGCCTTCAGCATCCTTATGAACATGGGCTGTGGCAGGGGAAAAGGAGTTCACAGAACAGAACTCCTTCACAGAACAGATCTGATACCATTCATGTGATTGTGTGGAAACTGAACCGGTAAAGCAACAGCGTAAGTTCTTAAGCACATGTTTCCTCAGGGTTCTGGCACAATCTTTCTGCAGCCTGTCCTTTGTACAAAATATAGCCCTTCCGCTCACAAGATAAATGCAGGAATGTTGTGCTAGTGCACATCCAACACTGAAGGTTTGTACCAGGCCTTATTCCAGATTTGCTTTCTCCTGTATTGCACTTTGCGTTGCTGCCAGAGCCAGCTACAAAGTCCATTTAATAGCCTCAGTTGCCATCTGATTTGAAACCCCATTTCCCCAATGCTTGTTTTGGTGCCCTGTTACAAAATCCTGGGAACACAACATGGTCTATTTGTAAACCACCTTACAAAGACATAGGTGGTCAACAAACCACAAAACATTACATGTAGCTCACCTTTGCTAATCATTACAAAGAAGTTCTTTATGAAAGAAAGATTTTAATAGCATTTTATTTTTTACTTAATCCTCATTTCTTTTGCTGTTGATATTTTGATGGTGACACTATTTCTCCTTTGAAAATTGTGTGTATCTATATAAACTTTTTATATGTTGGCTACATTGGATCTAATTTATGTTTTCTACCGGGCCGTTAATATCTGAATTCTGGGTAGGATGCTGCACACACACAAGGCTTCATACAAGTGGAGTCTATATATTATTTCAGGGTTAGCTTTACATGTCCATATCAAGTTCAAATGTTCCTAAATTTTGAAGGTAAAGGTAGAGAGCCTTTCTGTATAGAGATTCTTGAGTTATGTGCACATATACCTTGAATGCAACAATTAAAGCAGACTGAGAAATTTCTCTCATTTTCCTTTCTGGGTAGTTTGGAGGACAATAGCATGGCGGTAGTAAAAATGCAAAAGGAGAAAGAAGGGGAAAAGTCTTCTTCCTCTAAAGTCCTCTAACGTTCTGTGTAGTATAGATGTGAATGGCCAGATTTCTTCTCCACATCAGCATATATGATAAAATCACAAGCATTCAATCAAATAATAGTTCACATTCCCCTTTCGTGCAGTCTTTGGCTGTAATGATTTGTTGTTGAACCAATTCTGTAGTGTTGCATCGATTATGTGTGCTGGAATTGGTTGTCCACATACACTTCTCTAAGAAAGTCACATATAATACAGGATTTGTTCCACTGCTGCTGTTCTCCCCTACAGAATTAGAAGCTTGCATGTACTTATCTGGAAGTGGGAACAAGAATACTTGAGGGGGGAGGAGGAGGGAGAAAAATATAGTATCCAAGGAGCAAGCGTCACGAGCTGAGTATGAAATACAGAGTTGGCAGCAGCTCTTTCCTGTGGTAATGAATTAGGCAGATGGCAAACAAATCTGGTCCCTAAATGTTGTTGGCTCCTCAGTGCCTTTGGCAAGGTGGAGAGCTGAGAAACTGCCTGAAATATAGACTACTGCTCTTGTTCTTTCCTTCTAGCCTGTTCAGTAAGTCTTGAAAATACCAACTGTTAAACCTGAGAGGGTTTATAAAAGAGACCCTCATGGGGGAAGAAGTATTGGTCAGTGGTAGAGTGCCTGGTCTGTGTGCAGAGAAGGTCTTGGGTTTACAAGGCTCATTGGTGGTAGATAAATAAATAAATCATCTGTATGGAGACCCCAGAAATCCACTAGTAACCACCTTACATGGTACTGGGTTTGATGGTCCAGTGGTCTGTAAAGCCCCTATAATCCTGGCCTGCTACTCACTGGCAACCTTGTGCACAGTTCTGTCCCCATTCTCAGTTCTGGACTGAAATAGTTCTTTCAGTTCATTGGCAGCAGAAGACTAGAGAAAACAGGGAGAAGCACAAACAAAAGAGCAGAGTGTTGTTGATGCTGCCTTGAGAAGCTGTTGGTAGGTAGGCAGGCTGTTCAGTATGTTACTTGGAGTGACTAGAAGTACCATGCTAAGGCCTGGTATTTACATACAGAAGAATGAGATTGGGAGCCTGCATGTGGGGATAAAGCTTTCAGTGTTCCAACATAAAAGAGTTCTCTGTGAGGAAAAGAAGAGTAGGAAGAACATTTTAGTCCTCTCTGCTCTGCTGATTTTCTGTCTCTGCAGTCTGAGCTGGTAAGTTTTTTTCTGTTTCTCTGCCAAGCCATTGCCTTGTTCTGCAGAGCTCTGTGTCTATTTGTGATTTACAGTGCTAGGCAATTCCCTCCAAAATCAGTCATAAGATTCTTTGAAATTTCTCAATGGCCAACTTAATCTACAAATGTATTTTCTTTTCTCATCCCTTGCTTCTTCCTGTTGAGGCTTCAGAAACCTGAAGAGCCTTAGCCTCATGAACCATCATGACTTTATTTAAGCCAAGTATATGCAAGATACCTTTTCCTCGCCCCTGGGTAGCTCAGGCCAACCTGTTTACTATGTCTTTATGATCATACATAAAGATTCTTATGATGGATTGTGTAGAATGTAGGTAAAGTTGGGCACTGACATCTCTCCTTAAAAATTAATTATTAGTTGCTGTTAAGATAAGCTTCATGAGAATGGTATAAAATTAAAGGCTATAACCCTTTCAGGTATCTGAATTCTAAATTTTCATAAAATATTGCTTGAGGTTCCTCTGCCAGTTTGTCAAACAGCAGACTGTCTGGTCATCCTTATTTGGTTGCTATTTCTGTACTTTGCTCAGCTTTCTTCTACAGATCTACCTACAGGTTAATTACTCTGATATCCAAAAAGAAAAATGATACTGTACAGAGAGGGAGACTGTTTTTGCTGCTATGATGACTATTCCTTTCTATTTATAGTCCAGGCTAGGCCAAATTCTTTCAATAAACAGATGTGCTCGTTGCTGAGATCTTGTCCTAGCAGTACCTTTTAAAAATTGCGATTGAGACCAGTTTTGAATTTGAGGTGGGTGAGTTAGGCCACTGTCTGGGAAACCTGGGCTTCCTTCTCATTTAGAAAAATGTCAAAAGAAACTTTTGTATTCACCTCTTCGACTCTACGCTCCTTGCGTCTGCAACAGGAAATGTTGGACTGGGAAGAACGGAAAAGGGCCGCATCTCGCCAGTATGCCAGTTGGAGGTACCAGCCAAATGTCAGGAGGAACCTTTCTCTCCCAAAGTCAACCCGGTACCCCAAGTACTGTCGGGATCCTGCTGTTCACAATGCCTTATATACAGGAGACTTGCCAAGAATTCAAAGCATCTTTAATGATGAAATTACTGCCAATTTGATTGTAGAGACTGTCAGTGAGGAGCTGGTGTGGTCCACTGAACTGGGTAAGTCCATAGTAAAAAGAAGACAATGTGTATTAGCTACTTTAAATGCTTGTGCATGCTCTCGTGCGTGCGAGAGTGTGAGTGTGCATGGGGGGGGGGAAGGGGTGGCCTGGTTTAATGGAAGGAAAGCATAAGTACTTTCGTCCCATAGGACTAAACACGCTAACCCTGTTGTGTTTAGAATTTTTTTTTTAGCAGAGAGAAAAAGTGATACCCAAACAAAGTGTATTACAGAGGCTTATTAAACTAAGGATCAGTTTAGACTTGCTGAACTACAAGCTTAAAAACTAACAATAACATTTAAAAGTTAACTTTTCACATTGATACAGCAAAGAATAAATATGGTTTGGATTAGAAGTTTCAGTATCATGACAACCACTCCCTGGAACTTCCTTCCGCTAAAAGTTAGACAGGAACTAACTCTTCTGCGATTTCTGCACCTAATAAAAACATACTTTTCTAACATGTATTTCCCAGGAAGGTAATTTTGGCCTTTGTAAATCACATAGAAATGTATGTAATATAAAAAGTAAATATAGTTAAATAGGTAGAAATTATTTCTCTTAAAACACAGACAAGTGAATGCCAGGTAAAATGTGTGAAATCAGAGTCTATGTAAAGCAGTCTCCTTTGTAAATCGAGTGCTTTTTGTCGCTTTCCTCTCTTGCAACTTAGATCCTTGGAGACTGAATTGGTAACAGGTTCAGCTGACTATATTTTTGATGTGTTGCTGCTTCAAGCTGTTTGCCTTTATAACAGTAGTCTTCATGCTCTTCAGACTGGAGGCTCACATTTATCTGCAGTTTGCAATACCTGGCTCGATTGCAACACACACACACACACACACACACTTCTCTGTTACTCTCCAGCCAGTGTTGCTGCAGTATAGATTTGTCCTAAAAGTTGTTTCTTTGTAGAGGAACCTAGGAATTGGCAGGTGGCGGGGAGGTGGAATGGCACTAGGGATCCTTAGCGTTGTCATTTGTCATGAAACTATAGGGCCTAGGAACAGAGTTGAAAGGAGCCAAACAGTTAAATTATTGTGTGCATCCTCTCTCTTTTTAAAGCATATTTTGCAGTGCTGTTGGTCCTTTGCACTAGCTGAAGACCAGTGCCCTAGACCAAATGTGTTTAGTTCATAACCTTTTCTTACCTCCTCCTTTCTCCACTTCCTTCCTTGTTGTTTCACTTTTCAGCTTTGTTGTTATTATTTGGATAAAAAGTTCAGTAAAATGTTAAAAACTTAAAACTTGGGAATCACCAATCAATTAATTTGTAAGTAAGACCATGGCAAATGGAAGTATTGTTTCATGCAACAATCTAACATATATTTACTGTATTTTATGTGCCACTATAAACTGCCCAGAATTCTTTAGCTATTGATAGCATAGAAATAGAATTATTAATAGTAATACTTAGATGTGTTGAACACCAGCATAAAAAACATTTTAAAAGGGTTCCAGCCTTTCCCAACCATTATGTCTTCCAGATGTTTTAGACTAAAACCCCCATCACTCTTGGCCACTGGCTGTAATTATCTGTAAATGGTGGGTTCTACAGTCTAAGGCACCCGAAAGGCATCAGAAAGGGAGCTCTAAGTAATTATGGGCTATAAGAACTAAAAATGGCACATCATGTTCAGAGGTAGGATATCTCTTGTTGCTGGATATAAAGGGGAACAAACAGAAGAGCTTTAGCTCCTACTGTGCCCTACTCGTGAGCCTCCCAATGCCTCTGGCTGGCCATTATGGGATATTTATGCTATAGTGTTATGCATTTGTTTGTTGAAAGTAATTAAACTACTTATTCATTGGTTGCTATCATAAGATAGCTAAGTATTTTACAAAAAGTACAATACAAAAATGTAAAAACTATCATCAACACATTAAAATATTACAAAAACAGTAAAACAGAGTAAGGAGATTATAAGCCAGGGAAACTCTGAATAAAGTGGTATATCTTCAGGAAGTGTCTACAGTGTCCCACAGTTTTTGCCCCTTAGGCAACATGTCAGAGAGTGTTCCAGAAGGCTTGTTTACAGACATCACGTGATGACACACAGCTGGTCATGGGATGATATTGGGAAAGGTAGTCAGCTGGGTATCCTGGTCCTGAGTTGTTTAGGGCTTTGAACCTCAGCAACAAAACCTTGAACATGGTTCATTAGTTAATAGACCGCTCTTTTAATACAGGTGTAATGTGTGTATAGACTATTTCACTGAGCATGCCATGCTGGCTGCTGTCTTCAGCACTAGCCGCCTAGTGCAAACCAGGTTCAGGTGCAAGGGCAGCCCCACACAGAATACATTATTTTAGTTTAATTGTGAGGTTACTAGTGCACAGATCATTGTGGCTAGGCTATCCCTATTCAGGAGTTGGTGCAGCTTGGGTAACAACTAATGAACACTCTAGGCCACTGAGATCATCATGTCTCCTGACTGGGTGCTTCATCAGGTGCAAGCTTGCAGCAGGGGGTGGAGGGAAGGAACAGAGAATGGTGAAGCCAGTGCAGATGGCACAAGGCCCTGGACTGAAAAAGCCCTCCTGCCCTATCCCCAGACACATAGTCTTAGGTAGGTAGGTTAAGTAGAGACCACTGAGGAGGAGGCCACTGAGAAGAACGAGGGTGGCATTTCTCACTTCTAGAGTACTCCTGGTCACTGAGAACAGCAAGCTGCCAACAAACCAGCATGACAGGTGGGCCAATGCTGCTCTCCACAGATACTCTGAAGCTTCAGCTACCCCTCCTTCCAAGCACCTCTACTGTAGTAGTACATGGAGTCTTCATGAAGGCAAACTGCACCTCTGGGTCTTGGAGAAGGACACTTAACAGATATTTATTTGTTTGTTTATTTATTTATTTAGCAGACTTATATGCTGCCCCATTCGCCTAAGCCTCGGGGCGGCTTACAAATAAATAAATATCATTACTATAATAAAATGCAATTGGAGACATCCTGGCTAAAGTTGTTAAAATCAATAAATAAAATCAACAATTAGAATGTCGTTTAAATAAAAAGGTCTTGGCCTGGCGCCAAAAAGCAAATAACGACAGTGCCAGGCGGACCTCTCTGGGGAGCGCATTCCATAGGTTGGGCACCACCACAGAGAAGGCTCTCCTCTGGGTACTCACCCTCCTAATGTCCTTCACGGAGGGCTCCTGGAGAAGGGCCTCTTCCACCGATCTCAAGGGGTGGGAGGGCACATATGGACGTAAGCGCTCCTTTAGGTAACCAGGACCCAAGCCGTTAAGGGCTTTATAGGTGATAACCAACACCTTGAATTGGGCCTGGACTTCAATGGGGAGCCAGTGAAGCTGACGGAGGACTGGAGTTATATGAGCACAACGCCCAGTCCCCGTCAGCAACCTGGCAGCTCTGTTTTGCACCAATTGAAGTATCCAGACCGTCTTCAAGGGCAGCCCCATGTAAAGCACGTTACAGAAGTCTAGTCGGGAAGTTACCAATGCGTGAGTCACTGTCGCCAAGCAGTGGTTCTCCAGGTAGGGACGCAGCTGGTGAATCAGCCGAAGCTGAAAGAAAGCGCTCCTCGCCACCACTGTCACCTGAGCTTCCAGCGAAAGCTCTGGATTGAGGAGCAATCATATGGGAGACTGCTACTGCCAACAGACTTCCTAGCCAACTGCCCTTGATTACTTCCAGCTTGGAGCAAGAGTCATAGCACTGAGTGTCATGGCAAGAGGGAATAGTTGGCTGCACAACTGGGGTATGGACACCAGGTGCAACTTGGCAGGCATCTCATTCATGGGGAGATACCTGTTTGGCAATCCATTGGATACAGTCCTGGTTGTGACCAAGGATAAGAAGGCTATGACAAATATGCAGAAAAAAAAAGGAGAAATTTTTTCCAAACTACTGAAGAATGTTTGGATGGCAACTATTAGATCTATAAAGGAGTGCCTCAGAAAGGGACACTTCCTAGCTTCAGTGGATCTGACAGAAGCATGCGATCATATTCCCAACTGCTACTCTCACTGCAAGTTCTTCTGTTTTAGCACTGGGAAGAGGCAGTACCAGTGCAGAGCGCTCCACTTTGGATTGGCCACAACCCACGCTCTACTCATCCTCATGGGAGCAGAGCCATGGGAACTGACAACACTTCAGTGACCTTACACAACGTGGAATTCCTGATCAATATGAGGAAGGGTTCCTTGTCGTGATCCTGGTTGCTCCTCTATCTGGAGGTGATCCTGGATACATTCAGGGATATGGTGTTGTCACCAGGCAGGCAAGCCTTGGTGAACTAGATGGTCTCTCATGGCCTGACCAAGGGAAAGGTGCCCCCTCTGGGAGCTGGAGCAATGGAAGGGAACTAGGGTCCTCTGTCAGGTTTCCATGCAGCTCTGCAACCCTGTCTCCTGAATTTCTAAAATGAAATTGCAAACAATCACAGCCCAGTAGTAGAACTACCAGCAGAGGTCTCCCACACCTTGGTGGGTTCATCTGGCCAAGCTTGTATGGGATGTCCCCCATCCAGATGCCAACTCATGTCCTCCTGACCACAGACACCAGCTTGACCAGATGAAGGAGCTGTCTGCCAGACCTGTGCATTCAGGGCCAGTAGACCGAGCAGAAGGCTCAACTCAGCAACTCCTGAAATTGAGGGACATCTGCTTAGCCACCTGCCACTTCACCTCGCTCCTGGAGACTCAGGACATACTGATCAGAACAGACAATAATTGTGGCCAAGGTGCATGTGAACAAGCAGAACAGATATTGATCCAAGACCCTGCAGAAAGATAGGCCATGAGTCTGTACCGTCGAGCCCGGTCACATCAGGACAGAATACCTAAAGGCTGACTGGGTCAGCAGAATATTCCTGGATCAAGAGAATAATCCCTGCATCCAAAAGTCCTCAGGACAGTGATGCTTCAGCACAGTCAGCTTGCCTCAACTTCATTGCTTCACCCCAGAATGTGAAGCTTCCAGGTTTGCCCCCCGATACCAAGTAAGAAACACCGTGTTCACAGACACTCTGAACAGCCAATGATTTGGGGGCTGCATCTAGAATTTCCTGCACCTGCTGCTTTCCCACGCCAAGAATAAAAAAACAAATGAGCACAGGTATTCCTGGTGGTCCCAGACTGGCCAGGGAGGTCATGTTATGCTGATCTGGTGACTAGCACCCAAATGATGCCCATTCTTCTAATCACCAGGAGAGCTTCCAGAAACAGAAACCATGAATGCAAATGGGCTGGATGCAGAACTCTGGGAGGAGCCCTCTATGCACAAACATTGCACACAGCCTTGCATTCCTTCAGGAGGGTGTTTCTGTGAGCCTTATACCAACACACTGAGGCAGGCCATGGCCCTAGGTTCCATCCTAGTGGACAACTTAAAATGGGAAGGGGAGAAGCCTGGGCCACACCAACACATCAAGAAGTTTCTCAGGACAGCCCCCCTGATCAGCCTGCCTCCAGTCCTGGAAGTTCCCTACATGAAGTCTGACTGTGGTGCTGAGAGCACTGATGAAGGGCCCCTTTCAATTGCTGGTGGCAGCTACCCTTAAAGTACAGATACCTAACACCATATTTCTAGTGCCTATCACTTCCACAAGGAGAGTATTAGAGCTAGGAGGCCTGTCCGCTGGAAAGGGGCCTGTGCATTCTTCACAAATACACGATCAACTCCCTTCCACAGAGCACAGGAACTTAACATACCTTCTTTCTGTTCTCAGCTGTCTGTACCCAAGGAAAAGGAATAGTATGCCCTAAACACTAGGTGGGCCCTCAAGTTCTGATAGAAATAACCAGGTTGCACAGACAGCATAGTGTCCTGTTTGTGTTCTTCAAACCGTCTTCTGTGGGCAAGAAGGTGTCTAGCTTTCCTTGCTCCCTGACTGCACCAGTATCTCACCAGCCTATACTTCCAGAATGCCTTCAAAGGCAGCCTGGCTCACTTTGTCAGCAGAATGGTTGCTTCTGTGGCCTTTTGGTGGAGGGCTCCCTTAGATAAGACACACAGTGGAGGGGAAGGACACATGGTCATTGGTGCATGCTTGGGCCAGGCATAACAAGGTAGCTTGGATGGCCTCTTCAGAAGGTGCCTTCAGCAGGTGTGTTCTCGAGAAGGTGCTCCTGCCCCAGCAGGGGGCCAGCTAGGGGTGTCAGTTGGCTCACCTGGGGATACGCTGCTTTTTTTTATATCCCCAGTACTAGCTGGCTTCCTGCATTTGTGGGAGAAACAGAAATTCATAAACCGGTGAGTTCATGATCTCCGTGAGCTAGGCCAGCCTCTTCCTGTGCAGCAGTCAGGCAGTATAGGGGTCTCCCTTTTCCTTGCTGATAACCAACCTCATGAGGAGCCTTCATGGTCAACATGAAGTGGATCTGGTCCCCTGGAACAGCCAGCTGCAGTTCCTGGGGAAGAGCACCTGCCTCCTCCAGGAAGATTATAGTCTGTCTTCCCGACTCTGGAGTCAGAATCTTCCTCAGGGCTAACTGGCTGCCTTCATTTCCTCTGATGAGGAAAGAATTTCTATTTCCATTTAAACTCTTTTTTGGGGGGCAGGGGGAGTTGGACAGGTTGTTCTGGTGTTTTGTTTTTGTTTTGCAGGGACATAGATTCATCCCTGCACACACTGAGTTCAAAGGGGAAAAAAACCCATGGGTTACTCTGTCAAAAGACCCCTTTTAAAAGGACCCAGTGTTTTGCTGCTAGCTGTCAAACCTCTGTAGTCCCATAAAAGTGGTGGCTTGCACTTCCCCAAGCACCTATATTCTCAGGAGATGATGGAAACGTGAAGAACGTTGGTCTAGCAATCCTGGAATCAAGCCACTAGTTCTTGGAGTGGCTTGTTGCCAACACGCAGGCCACCCAAAAGAATTGGCACAAGTTCTCACAACACAACAACCCTCTGTGTCTTCTTACCTATGATAAGTTGCTGTGTTGTGAGAACCCAGTCAGTTACTGTTCTTTGTTTCAATTTTTCATGTACTATATATTGGGTACTATAATACAACCCCATCAATTGCACTTGATATTTATTCCCATCCCACCCTGATGATCAAGCTTAAGTTAAAAGGTTTCAGTCTGTAGCATTTTTTAGCTTCCTAGTTAAAAGAAAAATAGCTTTTCATAAAATCATGATGGGAACAATCCAACTTAGCTTGCTAGGCCAATATTTCTGGAAAGCTCACAAGCAGAATACAACTGAGAAAGCTTTACCTTGCTGTTTGTCCACCGCAAAGGTGTGCTACTAAGTAACTGTACATGTAACTGCTTTTAGAATGCTTTAAATGGCTGCTAGTTCATTTTATTAGAATAGTGGTTAGAGTGCTGAACTGGGGATCTGGGAGCTCCAGGTTCCAGTCCCTGATCAGCCATTAGGCTCAATGGACCAATCACACCCAGCCTAAACCACCTCACAGGGTTGTCGTAAGGATAAAATTAGGAGGCAGAGGATTGTGTAAGCTGCCTTGAGGTCCTTGAAATGAAAAAGGTGGGGAAAAGATGTTTTTCTCCCCACTGTGTGACTAGATTGTAAGCTTCTCGGAACAAGGACCTAGCTCTTTGCTGGTGTTAGTGAAGTACCACATATAATGGTCCTGTATAAATTTTTTCTGTAATGTAACCAAAGGTGATTGCCTAGCTCCCAAATGAGCAATACTGAATCCTTTCAGTTGTGGGAAGAACTTCTTTTGCTTCCCCTGGATCGATCACAAACCAGCTTAACTGAGTGAGCAGAAGCTCCCACATCATGTGAGAGTGCAATATGCAATCCCTAAACGTGTAATCGCCTTGGCTACTCAAGCCGTCTCTGCTTCTGATTCTGCAGGCCTGTGGGTGTTGACTCCCCAGAAGAAGCATACCTCCCCACTGCGCATCACAGTTGCCAGAGGCTACCGGGACTGTGTGAAGCATCTACTCCTGCAAGGGGCTGAGGTTGATGCTGTCATTGGTGGGAAAGCTGCCCTTCACGACAGCTCTGCAAATCACCGTGCCGAGTGCACCCGTCTACTCCTCAGACACAACGCAAACCCTAACATTTTTTCTGATGACGGGCTGACCCCACTGCACTTATGTACTACCCAGGAAACTTTACCGTATGTCTGGGAAGTTGGAAGTAGGAATGTATTTGTGGCTTGAAAGGAAAATTAAAGCAGTAAGATGACAATCATACAGGGAAATGGCAGTAAAGGCTGATTATTGGGGGATTCAGGGGCTTTCTTGCTCAATTGTAAGCATTCCACTCTCCAATATTAAAGGAAATTTCTGGGATAGTTGGGTAGTTTCCCATAGTTAGTAGTTGAGGTTCCCAGATTCACTCATTCATGGATGCAGTCTTCTACAGAAAATATCTAAATATCCAGTGTGGTAGATCAATAATAAAATCTGTTTGTAGATTTATTGGCTGGATGGGGATGAATGTATGCAAATGTGCTCATTTTGCAATTTGTATATTATTTGGAATTTGCTTCTAAATTATGCAATTCAGTATTTTGTTACCACAAATGCTCTTAATTTACATACTTTGTTCTAAACTGTATTGCTGTAGAACCTGGACTTGTTTTTATGTGCTATAGCAGCAGGAGGCATTGGAAACAGGGTCAATAGAAGACACCATTGCAGAAAGTTATTGGAGGCAGTAGGGAGAGAGCTATGTAGTAAGAAGAGACAGGTGTGCTATTTGAATAACAGTGAACATTTGTCTGTGATGGTTGCATGTGTCTGCATCTATTTCTGCAACAGTGACAGTTAAAACCTTGGGTTAAAAATAAATGGAAGCTCTGATTAGTTATCCAAGGTTAGATTCTATGACAGATGTCAGATTCCTAAGTACAACTAACTGTACCTTTCAGATGTGCCCAGCTGCTACTGGAATATGGAGCTCTAGTCAACCAGAACACAAGAGACCGTCGCATTTCCCCACTGCATGTGGCTGCTAAGCATGGCCTGGATGACCATCTGAAGCTGTACCTTTGCTATGGAGCCAACATCGCCCACAGAAACCGAGAGGGGGAGACAGCTCTCAACACGGCTTGTGCCAGTACGGACAGGCCTGAGGATGCTGGCCGCTACTACCAGGTAGTGAAGCGGCTGTTGGAGGGTGGAGCTGATGTCCACATAGCTGGCCGGAAGAACCACACGCCTTTGCATAATGCCTGCAGCAACTGCCACATCCGTATTGTGGAGCTACTGCTGCAGCATGGGGCAGACGTCAATGTTAGTAACTGTGCTGGCTACACTCCTATGGATTGTGCTCTGCAAGCAGTGGAAGATTACCTGGATGGGGAGCCTGAGCGGGTTATAGCCACTCTGCTCAACCATGGTGCTGGACCTGTCAACCCCAAGGTAAGAGTGGGACCCTCAAGCTTGTGTGTTTTTCTGCCTCTTGGGCCATCATCTCTTGAAAGTGCTGGTCAGACTTTGATTAGATAAAAGATTTAAATATACCCCAGTAGGAAGGGGTGGGGATAATATTTGTGGAGAAGGTAGCTGAGCATGTGCAATGTTGAGGGTGGTGACTGGTTGTCACGGTCAGGATAAAACATACCATGTGCTTGGTATGTTTGCATGGTCAGCAAAAATAAGCAAACAAACCTCAGTAAAGGAAGACTGGCTGGCTTGGTGAATTAGTGTAGTTCTATCCTGGTAGAGGATGTCATCAGATGGGATATGTTTTTCTACTGCAGATAGTCTTTGCAGTCCCTTTTTTAAAAAAAACCCTTTTCTATCAGATTACATTTATTCCTAGGCACTGTGAAAATATGAGGGTTTTCACTGAAAGCATGCAAGGGATGTAGCAAATGATTAGGTACATTCCTAATGTCTTCTAAATTGCTCACTGTGTGATATATCTGTGCTCTCTCTTCTTCCCACTTGCTTTTGCCATTAGATGCTAAAGTTTTGTGCCTTGTCACCCCGGGCTATGGAAGTTGTTCTGAACTCATATGACCGTGTCCTGTCCTGTGACTCGTGGGTGGGATCTGTGCCTCCTGAAGTGTGGCAAGTAAGTTCTTCCAGTATAATTCCTCCCATCCTCCACATGGGCTCTCCTAAAATCAGCCAACTAATTTTCTACATGCAGGGACTTTTTGAGTCATTTGAAATTGTGTGGCATGCTGTAATAGGTTTAGTTCTCACTACAGTGGTCAGGATGGAAGGTTCTAATATGGGATAATAAGAAAGCTTCCTATCCATTGAAAATATGCATGTTAGGGAGAAAATTAAGCAAATTAAGCTACATTCCTTTCCTCTAGCACAGTGGCTTTTGATGTGGAGTGATTTTTAAAAGTGTGACTTCTGTGACTCTTACGTGGGGGGGAGAGCTTCTGTGCCAGCACAGAATTTTACTCAGAACATGCTAGAGCTGATGATTTAGCAGAAGCTGAAATCCTTCCCTCCCCACCATGCATGCTTAAGGCTGTGGTCCTGTCATGCCTGTTTGGCTTCTTTTTATTCACCAACATAGCATTAGGAACATTCTTTGGCTTTTAAGATAACTTTAAGTTTTTGGAGCTCATCCTTTCCTCTTTTTCTCTTTGTAGTATAACTTGCTTCTATTTTTGCTGCATTCTTCCCAACAGGTTTTCCTTGTGGTGTGTGCATGGGACTCAGCTCTGAATACAGTGGTACCTCGGCTCACAAATGCCTCAGTTCATGACCAAATCGGGTTGCGAACTAAAATGTCATAAAAATTTTTACTCAGGTCACGAACTACGAATTGTGTGGTGACCGCAATCATGGCCATCCCCACCACAAGTGGGGAGATGGCTGCGATCGTGCTGGGGTGGGGCCAGGGAGTTGGCCGAGATCGCACCCGTCTTTACTGCATGAGTGCACCTGTGATCACGCCCAGCTTTCCTGCATGAGTGCAACCGCGACCTTGGCCATCTCTCCCCCCAGCATGATCGCACCATCTCCCTCCCCCGAGCGCGCCCGTGTTCCTGCCCATCTCTCCCCCCTCCCAGTGCGCCCATGTTCTCGCCCGTCTTTCCCCCCATAGCGCGCCAGGATAATGGGTGCGTGCAGGGATGACAGGCGCGATCCCGGTCGTGCTGCCGGTGGCGGGGGGGGGGAGATGGCCGTGCTCCTGCTCGGGGTGTGGGGGGAGGAGATGGCCGCGATCTTTGTTGTTCTTTGTCACTTTGCTTCACATTTTCTGATTAACAAAATAGTTTCAGAACGGATTAACCTTATTTACATTGAATCTTATGGGGAAATTTTAACTTGGTTCAAGACCAATATGGGTCACAACCAGAGTCCTGGAATGGATTAAGTTCGCGAGCCAAGGTACCCCTGTGAATGGGAACTCTCCTGTCCTTCAGATATTGTTAGCATATAGCTCCCTTGATCTCTGACCATTGGCCATGCTGAATAGGGTTTGGATTTGCAGTCCAACAACATTTGGAGAGTTAGAGGTTCCCCATCCTTGGTTTAAAATGATCTGAAGTCCGTTTGATTACTTCAGCTGCTCGCTTCCTAACATCAGGCGTATTGGGCCTATGAGCATGTGCAAAGCTTACTTGAATTTTCTCTCTTGACAGGAGCACCAAACATTCTATGATTCAGCCCTTTCTCTGGTGAATCAGCCCCGCCCATTGCAACATCTGGCTCGCTGTGCTGTCCGAAAACAGCTAGGCGTGCAATGCCATTCGGGTATTGCCCAACTGAAACTCCCATCTTCTCTACAAGACTACTTGTATCTCCCACTGGAAGGCTATCTGAAATGAGAGGAGTGTGTGCCTGAGTGTCTAAAGAAAAGAGTGGTCAAACATTCAGAATACTATATATCCATTTTTACTGGCATCCTTCTGATAAAGGCCTCTTATGAAACTTTTTTTCAACTAAGATTGTGGTAAAGTAAAAGATATTTAATTGAGAAACACTGTACTGGTTTGCCATAATTTCTCTTACCTTGAATTTAATTGGTCTGGTATAACTCCAGAACTTGAGCCTCAGTTTCTGGAAGTTTGAACTGAAATTAAAATTAGTTTTAAGCATAAGATGTATATTTTAATTTTAATTTAACTTAGGATGGAACCACAGTGTATCCTTAAGCCTCCACTCCATAGTCCCATCCTATGATACATGCTGTGAACTGAACTAAATTACTATTAACTGGAATTCCTTTACTTAGTTGGTGTCTTTTTTAAAATCATATTATGAATCAAACTCCTTTACTGTAGTGTTTCACCACATCTTCTGCCTATAATACTATATCAAAGAGATACTGCTAATAACTTACTGTTTTCAACCTGCTTTTTTAAAAATGTAAGATCCTTACTTAAACAAAATAGGTGAAGAATGCCCATCAGGAGAGGGCATTTGTGTGCCAAACCTCATGCATTTCCTAAAGGCCACCTTGAGCATCATTAGGAGAAAGAATAGAAAAGGTATAGCTGGAAGATTCAGAAGAGAAAGGCTGACAGAAGGGTTCATTTTTATTTTTGGATAAGAGTAAACTAAAAAGCTGGGTTTGAAAAATGAGCTAAAAAATCAACAAATAGAGATTGATAGGTTTTAGAAGGATCTGAGGTAACAGGAAAACACCAGGAGGGAAAGACCTGAGGCACCCAAAAGAGTGGCCAGAAAAGAACTGGGGAAAATGGCAGGAGCTCCTCCTATATATACCCGGGGGGGGGGGGGGGGGGGGGTGAAGCTCCTGCCAAAATGAGCTTAGCTAGGGAACTCTTCCCAACAAAAGGTCCAGTGCTGGTGCAGACCCCATATGTGTGATGCACAGAGACCACAAAGAAGAATTTCGATATATTTCAAACAGTATAATACAGATGTCCCTTGATTAACGCTGTTAATTGATCACACAATATTGCTGCATATGTCAAAACCATGTTAATCAAATCTAATAATCAATGGTACAAATTACAATTCATCCATAATTGATTACTGTATTAACAATTCATCATGTGGTACTGCTTTATTCTCCGAGTTTTGAAAAGAGACTTGACTTCGATGTCAAGTGTGCTAATCAGAATTCTCTTTTGATTAAAATTTTCCAGCCAAGTAATTAACAAATCTTCCATTTCAATCGTTAATGCACTTCGGTTACATGTGCATTGCATACTTGCAGATGTAGATGCAACTTTACGTAGCTTGGAATACTCTTCAGCTTTGGTTAAAATTGTCTGTATTATTGACTCATTAAATCCAAATTTGCTTACAATCTTAGTTTTACTTTCACCACTTTTAAATCTTTTAATTATATCAAGTTTTGCATCTAAGGATATTACCTTCCTTTTTTTTATTGATAGTCTGGTGCTCTGATTCTTTGACATGGTAAATAGGTTCTAAAACTTATGACGAATAATTGGAGTTTGTAATACAAACACCCCTTTATGGATCACTGCCTTGCCGTGGCAAAGGGGCTTGTGTAGCACAATGGAGCTATGAGCCATTCCATGCAGGGGCACCCGAGATGGTCAGGTCAGAGCAGAGAGCTCTGAAAAAAGGTGATCCACTGGAGAAGGAAATGGCAACCCACTCCAGTATCTTTGCCATGAAAACCCCATGGACAGTACCAAGAGGCAAAAAGATATGACACCAAAAGATGAGCCCCTTAGATCGGAAGGTGTCCAATGTGCTACTGAGGAAGAGTAGAGGGCTAGTACTAGTAGCACCAGAAAGAATGAAGTGACTGGATCAAAGCCAAAAGGAAACTAAGTTGTGGAGGTATCTGGTAGTGATACTAGTACTGCTGTAAAGAACAATACTGCATAGGAACCTGGAATGTAAGATCTATGAATCAAAGTAAGCTGGATGTGGTCAAACATGAGATGACAAGACTGAATATTTTGGGAATAAGCCAACTAAAATGGACAGGAATGGGTGAATTTAATTCAGATGACCATCAGGTATACTACTGTGGGCAAAAATCCCTCAGAAGAAATGGAGTAGCCTTCATAATCAATAAAAGAGTAGGAAAAGCAGTACTGGGATACAATCTCCAAAATGACAGAAGGATCTCAGTTTGAATCCAAGGCAAACCATTCAACATCACAGTAGTTCAAGTCTATGCCCCAAGCACTGATGCTGAAGAGGCTGAATTGGACCAGTTCTATGAAGGCCTACAACACCTTATAGAAATAAACACCAAAAATGGTGTCCTTATCATCATAGGGAATAGGAATGCTAAAGTAGGAAGCCAAAAGATAATGGGAGTAACAGGCAAGTTTGGCCTTGGAGTAAAAAATGAAGCAGGGCAAAGGCTGGCAGAATTTTGTCAAGAGAACACACTGGTCATAGCAAACACTCTTTTCCAACAACCCAAGAGACGACTCTACACATGGACATCACCCGATGGTCAACACAGAAATCAGATTGACTATGTGCTCTGCAGCCAAAGATGGACAAGCTCTATACAACCCTGACTGCTCTTTAGAAGGCCAGATACTGAAGATGAAACTCAAATACTTTGGCCACCTAATGAAAAGGAAGGACCCACTAGAGAAGACCCTGATGTTGGCAACAGTTGACGGCAAAAGAAGAAGGGGATGGCAGAGGATGAGTTGGCTAGATGGAATTACTGAAGCAGTCGGTGTGAGGTTAGGTGAACTCTGGGGGATGGTGGAGGACAGGAGAGCCTGGAGGAATGTTGTTCATGGGGTTGTGATGGATCAGGCATGACTTCATAACTAACATAACATAATCCAAACACCACTGACATCAGCCTTGCAGGAGCCCTGAGATCATGGTTGGGTGGGAGGAATGACTTCATCATGCCCATGACTGTTCATGGAAAAGTTAAAAAGGCACATTAATTAAAACTCTGCCACATATATCAAGTGATTATCACAATTAATTTTACCATGTTAAGCAAAACGCACATTAATCAAAACAGTGCTAAGCATTAATCAAAACAGTGCTAAGCAATTCAAAAACTGAATAAAAATAGCAGTAGTAAAAACACATTTCAGAAGTCAGCACCCAAAGAGAAGTTTTAGTGTCAACTTGGAAGGCATGCAGGAATAGGTTTGCTTGCTCCTCTGTAAAATATTACAAATGTGTACTTCTATGTGTATACAGATGTGTAGTATCACAATATTATAATTTAAAACAATACATTGGTTCAGCACTGACACAGAAAATGGAGACTTTGCTTATGTAAATTCATTTGCTGGTGTTCTAGAGAGTGACCCAGAAGACTGGGATGCTCCAACCCACATCCAATAGAAAGCAGGTTCTTTTGGCTCTAGCCTGCACTTGGTGGCACCTGTGATTTTCACTCTAGAGCCCAGTCCCACTAACCAAGAAATAAGAATGAAACAGCCACACTTAACCCAATTCAATCAGGAGTTTTATTGCATACTTTCATTTATTTACATTAATGTTGCATCCTGCCTTACCTCTAAAGAGTGCCAGGCAGCATATGACAAGCAAACTATGTAACAATAATGCTGCAATAAAACATTTAAGTTGCATCCTATGCATGTTTAGAACCTGCAAGCCATCCTTATTTCCAAGAATGCTTTCCATGAGACATGAGCCTCAGAGGCATTCCTAAGAAATAAAAACTGGCTGTGGCCCAGGCTTTGAAGTTTGCCAAGTTCCTGAGAATAAAAAAAAAAAAAAAAAAAGATGGCAGTGCAGGGATAGAGCAACAGGTGTTCCCTGTGATGTTTGAGTGTGCTTTGGGAGATGTTTTGGTGTAATAAGTTTTGGCTGTGTTTCTCTGGGCAACAGCAGGTTGCATTCTTTAAATGAGTATGCTGTGCTTTGTGAGGACAAATATGTGTTTTGGCATCAGGAACTCAGATCCAACCTCTGTTCTATATTTATCATGCAGTTTATTTACCAACCTATTTGTCTCTGAGCCTCTTCAATTTTTGTTCTGTACAATGGGTGTTCAAAAGATGGTTTTGTGACATGGAGCTCAGATTCTACATTTACTTTGGACTTAAGTACTTGAGCAAATCACTTTTTTAGTGAGCCTTCAGAGAAATAGCCACGTTGTGTAGCCATTGTAGCCATTTTGTGAATGGGCAAGACCTCCTTGAGAACTACTTTGTGAAAGTAGTAGTACTACCAAAAATCCAAATGTGGACATTGGTACAAAAAGTTTGAGGACTCTTGGTATAGGTGCAGCTGAATGTAACATGAACTCATGTTAGCACTGGGGCAATTTATGAATGGAATGAGTATTGGACTTTCTCTGCACTTTCTTCATTTTGTTGGTTAGCAGTTTTCAAGTTTTATGCCTTCAAGAAACATTTTTCCATCTCTGTGTGTGATGATCTCAGGTACAGAGAGTTTTGGATGATATTCTAGCATGCATAACCATTTTGTAAATTGAGCGCCAACACAGCAAACTTGGGTATTATTTTGTTTGGAAAACTTCATTCTTAAAGGCAGAAGATAAGGAAGGTCAGATATGAGATGGACTGATTCCATAAAGAAAGCCACAACGTGGTTTACAAAACACGACATTGTGGAGGGCATTCATTGATAGAGTTGCCATAAGTCAGAGACAAGAAAAGAAAATTATCCGTTTGGGGGTGAGCTGCGCCTGGGAAAGAGTGGTTTAAGGCGACTTTGCCATGGAACTCATCTGTATTGTTCTTATTTTACTTTAAGAGATGGCACCTGGTTTGGATTTCTAGGAAAAAATATCCCCGTACAAAGCCCCCTGCTTGCAGTTTGTTATACAGAAACCGCTTCTTGATTTGTCGCGTTTAAGGTTTTAACAATCCAAATTAGATGGCATCTAAATAGAAACTCGCTTGAAAAGGCACCCATTACTGCCGCTGATGCTGCCAACTCACACTCGCGCTGAAACGGCGGGCTGCTCCGCCTGTCCCCACCGAGCCCCCCGCTCCCATGAAAGAAGACCCTCCGGCAGGAGCCCGGAAAACAGGCCAAGACCAGGTCCGGATTTTACACACAGGTCGTCCCATGGCATGAGGGCAATGTAGTTGGCTTTATATAACAGGGAAACAAAACGAGCTCTCTGTATAAGTTTCCTACCTTACAAGCAGAAATAAAATCTATTTTAAGTAAGTAAAATTGGGAGTGGGGGGGAGGAAGCTTCGACGCACAGTGTTAACGCCACTGACCGGTTACGTAGCCGCCGCTATGGCAACAGGCCTTCTAACAGGGCAGTTCCGCGCGCGCCGAAGTGACGCGCCGCAGGTCGTTAGTGACGTCCACCTTCAGCATGAGGGGGAAAAGGGACTTTGGGGAATGGCAGGTGAGTGGCAGGTCTTTGTGCGCGCCTCGCCCCGCCGCATTTCCGCCCCTCCTGCACCCCCTCCTTAGCAATATTCCGTCTGCCCCCTCTGCTCCCCCCCATGGAGCCTCTGCTGCAAACTTGCCCAGGGCCCCTTCTTGGGACCTCCCCTCCCTTTGTTTGGTCCCCCCGCCCCCCGTATAAGCCTTTAAAGCCCCTTTTGGCTCCATCGGACACCTTTTCCCCTACTGGTCACTTTCTTTTTGTATATGATTGACCCTGCCTGCTTTCTGCTACCTCGCAATGCCCTTAGCCATCCTCTTGCGCCGCCGCCCCCCAGGGCCCGCCCGGGGTGCGGAGACCACCAGCTCTGCCTCCTGCACACGCTGTAGGGCGTCTTAAAAAAACGGCATGGGGTGGCAGGACCGTCTGAGCGCACGGAAGGGCAGGAGCAACGCTCGTGGAAGTCAGTGTCGGGGAGGTATATTTCACTGGAACTGGGTCTAATAGACGGGGAATGCGGAACATCAAGGCATACCAGAGGAACTGGGGAATAGGATATATGACACGTTTGCTGCAGTGCCTATCGTAAGGCCAGGACAAGGCGAAGCAAACTCGAGGCAGTTTCAGAAAAAGCAGAATTTGGCTAATGCAGACAAAAATACTTTCTTTGTTGGGCTTCAGATATCTGCTTAGTTTTGAATGCTGCTGGAAAGATCACACAGAGACACTAGATAACTTGTCAAAAGGGAGGAACACATGGTCAAACTAGTTGCTGTTTTCATTCTAAGGTGCATGTCCCTCACTATTTCCCTTTTCAAGGGTTGGCAAAATATGAACTCCAACTTTCAGTTTGCTTCAGTGACCTCCTAGCAGCCTGTTTTTTTGTATGCTTCATGTACATACAAAATTGTGGGGGAGCAGTGGCCCAGCAGTTGTTGTTGAATTCCAGCTCCCATTGTCCCTGACCATTGGCCATGCTAGCTGGAGTGGATGAAAGAGCATCTGGAGGGCAATAGGTTCTTCATCATTGGTTTATGAGCCTGCAGGTTTTCTCAGCTATGCACAAGAGGATGTTCTGGGGCAATTTTAGAAATCCCAGCAGGATGCAGGTATGTACAGCTACTTATTTTTCTGGCCGTGCACCTTTAAAATCAGTCTGATAAACAGGAAGTATACTCCTTTTCCTGGCTTAGAAATAAGTGGTGGGAACAACTAGATTTGATCAATTTATACATGTTGGATTGCTATTCAAGGCACAGGAGTAAGATCAGTAACAAAGGTGGCAAGTAGGAAGGAACGGCTTTCTATCATAGCTCTCTGGTTTTCAAGTTCAGTGTTCTACCCACCACCCACACTACTGAGCTCTAGCAATTTAAAATATTATAGATCAAAATTAGCACCTTGAATAGGACTGAAACATAGTTTAAAAACCCATTTCAAAACAGTAGCACAACATGTTTCTGGCAAATGAAAAAAAATCTGCTACAAACTTAAATTTAGAGGCAATTGTATTATTATTGTTTTATTTTAATTGTTTTTTGGACAGGAAGACTAACATGGCAAGAGGACACAATGTACCTTAGGTGAATCTGTACCTGTTAAAGTCTAGTGGTGAAAGCAAAACGTCATTCCATAAATTTTGACTCCAGATCCACTGCTACAAATATTAGATCTAGCTCTTTATTGGTAAGTTAAAAAAAAACACCACTATTACTAGTGAATGCATGGCTTTGCATGGGTTCAGGTAGCCTTTAGTGGGATCCAATCTTCAGGCAAAGTCACACCTGACTCTGTCTGACAAAGTTTGACATAGTGTGCCTGCCTATTTGAGTGCGCTGTTCCTGCTGGCACCTCTAGGCATGGCCTCTGCTTTGGTGCACTGCCCCCATGGGGGTCTGTCCACTCTATTCTCCTGCGCAGAGAAGGGCTTCCCTACAACAGGGGAGGGGCAACTATGTAACATTGTCCCTCAGACTGCTCATGGCTTCACATTTATTGACTACGGGATAACTAGTCTTCCACCTAGTGACTGAAGGTTTCAAACACAGAGACATATTAAAGTTAACATTAAGTAATGTGTTTAACATTCCAAATAAGATTGTTCACTGTATTGGAGCTGTGGTGCAGACAGACTCCGCTTTCCTTACTATAGATTAATAATTCCATGAAATTATTTTAAAACATTTTATTCATTACTCTATTTCTGCTTTCAATACTGTGTTGAAAAAGATCACTGCCGTTCCTCTTTAAGAGTTGTAGTAACAGACTGAGATATCAACTGCCCAAGCCTCATTGAGTGCATTACTGAATAACCCCGGTCTAAGTCAAGACCCACCTGTTGGACTCCTCTGACTCTGATGTCTGTCATTTAATTTTAAGGAAGGAAAGGTATCATGTTGCATTAATTATTGCATACCCCCCAGAGTTATTGGGTATGAAAATAACATCAATAGAAATGGGTTCCTGTCCCTAAGAATAACAGGTCTCCCTATCATGGGCAAAGAACCCAGTGTGCACACATTTTCCTCCTGATTTAAATGCAGTGAGATGTGCAGCTGCAGTCCTAAGTGGATTCCCTCTATATTTACTGAGGGAGAACTGAGTTTCCATCCTTCTTTTTCCTTCTTCTTTTAGCTGAAACCAAGAGATGGAGCCCCCTGAAGTGACCATCATTGAAGGTGTAGGGGATGAGGTGACCATAGTGGTTGGTATTGTGGTCCTTATTATGGCCTTGGTCCTGGCCTGGCTTTCCACATATGTTGCAGATGGCAGTAGCACTCTTCTGGAAACTGTTGTGGCCCCTGGAGATTCATCAGTGATCCACCTGAGTCCCATTGAACGCTATGTGGGGAATTCTGTGTCAGAACAATCTGAGCCTCAGGTTGCTGCAGAAGGTCTTGAAGAGAAAGCAGATGAAGATCCTGCTTCTGACTCTGGCTCTTCAGTTGAGCAAGGAGATAGCAGTGGTTCAGATGCTGCGTTAGATAGTCTATTGGATATTCAGGGTCTTCCTCAAAGGACCTTTGCTGTTGAGGCTGTATCCCAGCAGAACCAGAGAACTTCACAAATGGTACCAGTCATGGAGGAGAGTGAGCCAAACTCAGGGTTTATTAAGGTGCGCCTTAAATTCCTAAATGACACAGAAGAGGTGGCCATTGTGAAGCCAGAAGACACCATTGGTGTTCTCAAGAGGTGAGTGTCATAGGACATGAATGGACATACACAGACCTGATTTTTTTCTTTTTCTGAAGAACACTTCTCTGTAGTTGGTTTTTGCAAAGATCATCAAATCCAATATAGAAATGAAGGAAGCAGGAAAAATCTGAGTTGGAATGCCACACCCACTGCAGTGGCTTGCTTTACATTTAAAGCAAGTAATTCAATGTTATGTGCTTTGACTATAAATAAGCCTTAACAACAGTACTAAGTTATCAGTGCGAAAATAAAAGCCAAGAGCAGTTCTTGCACAGGTATTACTCAAACCATGACAAAAACATAATTTGATAAATGGGATGCAGGATAGCAAACTAGTTGCAGTTAAAAGAATCCATCACATACAGTAAAAATCCTTGAGCAAAAACCTCCTCCTTTGAGAACAAAAAGCCACTGCAAGTGCTCTCACATTGTTAGATGTCATCTTAACAAAATTTCAGAATTATAGAGCAGTTTAGAATATATGCAGCACTTGATAGAAATAATGTTGATAATCTGTATGATGACATGAAAGATGGGCCACGTGGACTTGCAGGTAGTAGCTTGGCTACCAGCTCATGGCCAATGTGAGCTTTGAACTAGGAAGCTGCAGGCTCACAGTTCATACTCCTCATCATGAGGTTGCTTCACCAGCTGCTGTTTCTTATACATCTTGCCCAGTATATGGATACAATGGGCTTAGGGGGATAAGAACTCCCAGTGCCTGAAAGCCTTAAAAACTGTAGTATTTGGTAAACCCTATGTAGAGTTTGCATGCAAAAAAATAATTGATCTTGTCTCCTGAAAAATACTAGGCACCAGCATCAACTGTGAACTATTTGTCTAGCCCTGCTTGGGTGATTTGAACATAGCAATTTTCATAGGAATAACAACCCAAACTGGCACTCCTTTGCATCTTGGCTAATACAGTGATGGATCTCACTCATCGTGGCATTTGTGTCTTGAACTCTTGGAGCATTCACAGATGTAGGTATGAGAAAAGGGAAGATTATTTCATGGACATTGCATAATCAATAGTTAATTGGACATGTAACTTATCCTTGCATCTGGTAATATTTAAGAGGTGGGTCATTCTCACCAATTTCATCTGATAATTGTGGAATGTGTTACCAATATAAAAGATCCCTCAGTGTGTTACCAATATAAAAGATCCCTCCCTTGTGAGTTTGTAGTCGGAAAGCCAGGGCAAAATAGAAAAAGGGAAAGAATAGGAACATGCAAATAAATGTTTGTCTCTTAAGTAAATGGGGTACCTCTCTTTGTTTTTGTCTCATTGTTTTTCCTAAGTGTTCCTCCGTACTGAAAAGTGACTGGCAGAGCATAAAAATAAGTTAAAATGTTGCCTTTTTCTTCCTTGTATGTATAAAAAGGATTGGTCAAATGCAGGCTAGTAGAAGGGCCTTTATTCTTTTGCATTCTATTGGCTAAAAAATGGCTGACTGCTGGCAGAATGTAGGAGAAGTGCAATTGTCATTGTTTGCGTGGTTCAAGTGTAGATGTTTCTGTAATGTTTGGTACAGATGTGAATTTTGTGAATCAGGAAATTTTCTGGAAGAATTAGGTTCATCTGCATAGGAAAATATTTGTACTGGAAAATAACCTGGTGCCTTTGAACCACCTTCTCCAACTTGGTGCCTTTCAGATGTTTGGAATACAACTGCAAATATTTCTGCCTGTTGACCATGCTGCCTGGGGCTGGTGGGATTTAAAGGTCAGCACAGCTGGAGGGCACTGGGTTGGTCCCTCTAGAGCATGGGTCCTCAAACTACGGCCTGCGGGCTGGATCTGGCCTGCCATGCCCATTGAACCAGCCCGCCATAGCTCGCCAGGCGCGCGCGCGCATGCGTGTGACAAGGTGCCGGCTTGCTTGCAAGAAGATCGTTTTGGACTCGTTGGGAGAAAATGATCTCTGCGCATGCATGCCCCTGCCTTTCTGCGTGCACTCTGCCCGGCCTGCGCCCCCTGCCCACACCGCCTTGGCGGCCCACACCCATCCCTGGCACCTTTCAACTGGCCCCCTATTCAAAAAGTTTGAGGACCCCTACTCTAGAGTGATCAAATTTAGTATGTTTTTAACCTGAATTCAATAAAGGACAAAGCTAAAATTGTACTCCAAGTTATTTTTTGTCCCAATAATCCACAAGTGCTTGACTTTAAATTTTGAGTGAAAAAGCACATTTAATATGATATAAATGTTATGTAGATTATTTATTGGAATATTTCTCAAACCTTAAAGATAAACCCTCCCTTACATTGTTTAAGACACATGTGCTGAAAACCTGACACACTAATAAATTTAGTAAACCAAAGATTTGCTGGTAACTACTCAGCTGCAACTTTGAAGCTGCCAAGTGTGTCTAGCATTTTATTTTCAGTTGGCATCCATCCAGCATTATGACTGAAATGGAAACTTTTCTGTAGGAAATAAAAGTCTTCCCGCTCCTAATGCGTCCACCCCATGAACATGTCTGCCCCATAGCACTGCTGTTTGAAAGGAATCATGGCAGAGGTTGCTGATAATATCTAGCCACTTTCAGTAGCAAGAGACTTGGTGCACAGTATTAAACAGCACTGATGGAAGGAGGCAAGGCTATAGGCCTTGAATTTTCTGGGATTTTTCCTGTTTCATGCACCTCACATTCCTCTCTGCATCCACATGGAAATTGCTACTTACAGATATTGAACTGCTTTGTTACTTAAAGCTTTATAAAGGGGTGGGAATGGCAAGGAAAGGGGCTTTTTCTGTTATTGTGGCTTGCCTTTGGAATGCTGTTGCTCAGCAGCTCTGATTGGCCCCCATCACTGCTCAGTTTCTTTCACCAGGTAACAATGTTTTTTATTCTACACTTTAGTATAGCGTCTGGTTTTATTACGTTATTTTTACTGCCTGTTTTTATTGTTCTGTGCATTTGTTCTCCACTTGATATTTTTTGGATTTTAGGATGTACTTGATTTACTAGTTTAATCTTACGGTTTTATGCTTTATGTTGCTGCTTGTTTTTGTGAGTTGGCCAGACAGCCCTTAGGCTATGGGGTGGCATACAAATGTAACAGATATGTCAAGATGTTCTTTGTCTGATCTGCATGTTTACATCTTGTCGTTTCCTTTTATAGCAAATACTTCCCTGGCCAGGAATGTCAGATGAAATTTATCTACCAGGGCCAGGTTCTCCAGGACCAGACTAGGAGTCTCCGCTCCCTCAACATCCTGGATAACTGTGTAATCCACTGCCATCTCTCTCAGGCCACTGTTTCCGCCACGCCCAATACTGTGGCTGCACCACCAGAAGACGGGGGTATATCTTTGAGCGTGGCTGACTTGATGCTTCCCTTTTTTATGTTTATGCTGGCAGTCATCTGGTTTTTTCGCATCAATAACCGGCAGTTATTCACTGCCCCCGCTACCATTTCCTTAGTTGGGGTGACTGTATGTTTTAGTTTCCTTGTATTTGGAATGTATGGACGATGAGCAGCAACAGGAGAGGGAGGAGTCTCAGTTGTCCCTTAAACCAAATCCTCTTTGTCCTGTAATTCCACTTGCTGATAACTCGTAACTAACAAGGAAAGCACTTATCCAAAATTCTTTCTGATGAGACAAAAAGCCTCCACAGACCACCTTTAGGTTTTTCCCCCTTTCTGCATTGCCTTTAGTTACAACGTTGGGTGTACTTTTGTTTTTTTCCACTGTTGGTATTTGAAAATGGGATAAGTGTAGAAGAGCAAGGCAATATAGATCACTTTGCTTTCCTGCTACCTGTGCAAACAACTGAGATCTTAGCCATTAAGATGTTAGTCTCATGTCTTCTTGATTCTGTGATTTGAGGAAAATATGTGAAGAAAAACATGATTATATAGACACAACGAGGATGTGGAACTTGCTAATGATGGCCTTTATAGAGCCTGATTGAAGTCAAGCTCTTGTCCTTTAGGCGCAGGCTTCCTTGAGTTCTGCAATAGAAGAAAGGGGCTTCTAGCGTGATTATTCGCTTAATTAGTTGCTGTTGCACTAGGAAGCATGAAAAGATGACCTTGGCATGTATTTCTGCCCACTCAATGGTAATCAATTGCACTGTAGATATGAGATGACCTAGTGTGCTCTCTACAAATGTCAGTGCATCTACTCATATCTACAACTGCTTTCACTTTTGGTGCAGTTGAAAAAATGGAATACCTGCCTTCTGCCCTCCGCCCTTCCATGCACAATACATATGTACCTTCAAACCATGGATTAGTTAGCTGTGTACCAAAGACTCCTGGACACACTTTAGGTGGACAGAATTCAGATTAGCAATGGCCTCACATGTCTGCTATTGGAAAGACCATATGCCTATACATACTTGCAGAAGTTGTAGTGGGGATGCAGTTAGTCTTACTTTGGCCACAAGAGAGGCATATCCCAGGCTGTGCTTGAGACCTCATGTCCAGTTTTGGTTGTGCATCTTTTGTATGGGTACATGCTAGTATAAGTGCCACCCATTAGTCTGGAGGTAATTCTGGCTTGGGTCACTTACAGTTGCTACAAGTATTAAAGCCAAAAGTATTCGCAACTAATCTAATCTAATAGAAGCCAGACACTTTTGTGAACTGGATTTTCCATCTTCTGAGAGAAACAATACTTAACCATTGAAGACACAAAGACTGGAATTAGGTGAGCTAAAATCCATGCACCAAGCTCTCTCTAAGCTTATAAAAGTGTTTTAATTCTCACATGCTTTGAAGTGGGTTGGGTTATTACATTTCTAGACCTCGTTCTTGCAGAGATATACTTGAATAACAACTGTATCAGAAAATGTTTGAAGCTTATGAGTGCCAAGTAAATGATCCACGACTGCTCAGAACCAGTCTCTATTTTTACTGTTGCTTTTGTTTTAAAATCAAGACATTTTATTAAAATGGCTGCCAGAAATTAGGCTTTAAGTAAACCTATGCTTGACATCTGTCACCTGAAATGTATTCTTGTAAAACTCATGCATATTTTTAGGAAGCTGTTTCTGTAGTCTGTCCAAATTTCAATTTGGGCAACAGTGACGTAAAAGCAAGCTTGTAAATAACCACTACCACAGTCACCTGGTGCAAATATGAATGCCTTCTAAGTGACTTGATAAGCTTTTGTAAATGGGAAGGGAGGTGGGGTGTATTTTTCTCTTTTTTCATACTAAGTAGGCAAGTTAAATGCTTCTGGTTATATTAACATTGTGGACTTACTTGGAAGACTGATGTAGAGGCTGAGAGCATCAGCGTTTAGTATAGCCAAATGTATCTGTAAGAGTACTTACATAAAGAAATGGGCTTTTCATACCATTGAACTTGGCAAATACAGCTTAAAAAACATGGTTTAGAAGGCTGTTGTTCTTCAGTAATTACTTGCACAAATGCTCCATATTCTACTTATATCTAAATTCTGTACCAAGCTGCATAACTTAACTGAGCTAAGTAAATACAAGCTTAGTCCAGGAGCTTTGCCAGTTACTGCAGCCACTTGCTGTCCAACCCACATGAAGCTGTTGCTCTCTGGCTTCCAAGATATCAGCAAGCATTCTCTTTTCAAGCCTCCTTTTCTACTTTTGCATGTACACAGATACAGTATTTTCAAGGTACCTATGTGGATACATTCATATTGTACTTCAGTGTTACAACGTCTTTGCATTGAAAATAGAATCTAAACGAGGAGACTTGACTAACATTAAACTTTTGGAAAGAAAACTATCTTGACAATTTCTTAAATATCTTTAGGTCAACCGCCTATCATTATTCAGTATTTCAGACAAGATTCAAATTGTTAGGGTTTGCGTCTTTTCTTAAAACCAAAGACCAGGATTCACTGGTACCTTTGCAATATGTAGTTACTCACTGCAATCTAAGCTAGGCATAAAGCAAGCAATCCAAACAACACTACTTTAAAACTAATAAGCAGTTACCATCTTTGGCAACCCAGCAAATCCAAGAAAAACTTGAAGACATACCAAGCAGTTGCAGTTTATTTACACAGGCATTTCACAATGCATGGATGGGAAGAAATATTACAGATCTGACAGTTTATTTAAAAAAAATCTACCTACCTGTACAGGCTGAGATACACAAAACAAAACATTTTTTTAAAAAATCAGATCACAGTACAGTACTTACTCCAATGATTTCTGCACATGTTCAAAAAAGTCACAGGTGCAGTTTGTACATTATCAACAAATTAAAAACCTCTCATCAATCCACTCATGATAGAATACAGTTGTTTTTTCTTCAAGTGAAACAGGCCTACCTTTAAAAAAAAGGGGGTGCAAGTGCAGATAGAGCCATATATAAAAAGATCTGTGTCATCCTCCCCATTGCTAAATTAATACTCAAAATTCCCCAGATGCTATACTAACAAAGCTGCCTGCAACATGATCCCAATGGTTTCAGTTGCAACCATGGAGGCTGAGCCTCTTATCCTCCCCCTCACTCTGGCTACTTTTGCATTACTGTGGTACTTAAGCTAAGGTGGCAAACTTTTTCAGGAGCGCATAATTTATACCTTGGTAGCTACTGGCTGTTGGAGAAGGTTAACTGATCTTAGTTAGGAACAAGTGTACCTCTCTCCCTTTGACAAGATTAGATTCAAAAAATTCAGTTAAAAGCAGTGCTGGGCAGATTTTTCCCCCTGAGCCATGCTCATATAACTGTAATATTTTCATAAATATTTACTAAAAGCACAGCATGAAGTCTAGGTTCTAAACAATGCAGGATTGCTGTTTTGCTGACTGCAGTAATGAAAAATGGAATCATACTTTTGGAAGCTGATTTGCTTGCTTTGCTTTGTATCCCTCCTTGGGTTTAGGCTTTCTGTCTCCACCTTCCTGAACAACCATCAGGAAGCGCTGATTTAGTCCCTGAGTACACCCTCTCTGCATATTACATAAGTCTTTACGCAGGCAAAGAAAGTGCAGCGGGAAGGAGGAGGAAAAAACAGCTGTATCATAGTAGTGTTAATTCGTTGGATAGAGCATTCCAGGCTTCATAGACCTGATAACAGCTTGGGCCATCATCAGTCACATGACTGTTCTGTTTGATGGTTATAGGTGCAATAGATTCAGCAGTAAGGAAATACAGCTAACAGGATTTGGGTTCCCACAGCCTCTAAGAGCACCAGAGAAAGGTGTGAGGCACTAGGGGAGGAGACTGAAACATAACAGGTCCTTCAAGACTTTCCATAAAAACACATGGTGAAAATACTCCATTTCAAGGGTGTAGGTGGTAGTCACCTACAGAGCTTCTCACTAGATAATTAAGCTCATGGATCTTAGAAGTGGCAAGGGCAGACCTTCACCAGTACCAAACAAGCTTTTTCAGTTTTAAGAGAAATGGGGAAAGGGGGGTGGGGGGGAAGAGTAGAACTTCAGTTAAGAATAGGTAGCCCCATCCAAAGAGCCAGCACAAGCAGCAGACTTCAGTATGGCCTTGGTGCCTAATGCACAAGTTACTGCATCACTAAAACCGGCCTGTTGTCTTACCTGAAGTAGGCTTGTGCACAGCCACAACAGCACGGCTGCAGGAGAAAAACCCTTTTTCACATGTAAATTGAAACAATTTTCTAAAACGAGACGACTATGCAAGAAATTCCCTTCTGTATGTTCAGAAAAAGTTGTGTGGCTTCTGGACAGTCTGTTGGGAAGCAGGTGTCTTCCACCATTCTCAACCTTGTTTTTTTTTTTTTTTTTAAGGAAAAGAGCTATGCTGCAGCTCTGGTGGTAGTTCTGCCATTTCAAGACTCCACACAATATAGGACCATGATTTATTGAACTAGATTAAAACTGCAGGTGTTTGTATAGGGAATAAAACTGGGGCCAGGAATGAGGTGGAGAGGAGAGTCTATACAGGCAGGCAGGCAGGCAGGCAAAAGACAATATGATTACTCACCTAAAGTATACATTTGCCATCCCCACCTACCACCACCTGTGCCTGCCAAGCTTGGCTCCAGTACTCTAACATGGTTTGTTTAGATTCATTGACCCAGACTGGCTAAGTCTATCCACCACACATACTGCGATAGGGAAGAATTAAAGACTAACAGCTGACAGACCACAAAAAATGGCTCTCCTGCCTGGCCTCCATGAGCTTCTGTGGAATGTTAAATAGAGCTATTTAAAGTTCACCAAATATTCCAATGTACACCCAGTTTTCAGGGATGTATGAAGATTCATACTTACATACAAGATGTGTATAAACCAATGCAAGTCTTAGTACTGGCTCGTCAAGATTGGGCAAATGAAGATTTGTGCCCAATGCACGAGTTAGGAAGCCAATCGCTGCACCAACTTCCTGACATGCATATACTGGGAAATATTGCCCATTTTTATCACAGCCATTCTTAATGTTTCTTTGTACAAAAACTTAGAAATGCTACTAGTGAGGAAGAAGACATGGTTGAAAGGGAGCAATAGTGACCATAACAAAATCAGGTCCAACCTCTCTGCCCCATCCCAATTTACTCAGGTTGTGCAGATGCCTGAGGATTGCCATAGCGATAAGAGCATTACTCCTGCTAGTGGACCAGCAGCAACACAACCAGCCTTTTAAACAACTGAGCACTGCAAAGGCTCAGAGAGAAAGAGGCTGACTCAGGGCATTGAGCCACTTCTCACAACAAAAAGGAGGCCACTGGAGCAGACACTTTCGAGACAGAAGGGCAGGCACTGAAAGGCCACAGTTGCTCTCCATTCCTCCTTGGGCCCTTCCAAACCAGGACAAAAGGCTGACGGCAGAAATACACACCCGCCTACTCTGCCCAGTCAGTCTCCAGTGTTGCTAAGCAATAGAATGCCACCGTATATATAGTCATGATTGGACATCCACAAACATCACAATAAATAGATGTGTTGAAACAGGGAGAAAGAATGGACTGATGGAGGCAATGTCCATCTTCAAGGCCCTGCCTCAAAACCACCCCCTTTCCCCAGAAGTGGTGGGTGCCACTGCACCGAAACCAGTCCAGTCCGTTCATTCCTCATCCGCTGGACACAAAAGGCTGTGCAATGTGTATTGGAGGCATGAGAAGAGAGAGAAGGGGAGGCATGCAGCCATCTCTCTTTAGTTTCTAGAAAAAGTGTGTATGAGAGAGTGCACAAGAAGATGCAGTTCAGCTCCTTTCCTATGAACTGGGTCTGAAGGGTACCGGGGCACATTCCCCCCTTCCATTTTCTCATCCCAGTGTTCAGTTGATGTCATCATAGAGACTGGGAGTGGGAGGTGCAAGCGGTTTAGGCTTCAGTTTCTTCTTACTGGAGCTCATTCCTGGAGCACCTCCTACCAGGCTCATATGTGGTTTCTTCTTTTTGGTTTTTCGGGACTCTGAGTTGTTGGTACCTGGGGTGGCAAGAAAAGAAATGCACATAACCTTCTGTACAGACTCCAGCTTCTTTCCAGATCAAAGTCCTCCTTTCCAAGATTCTTGTTCCTGTCCTCCACTGTGTGCCTGTATACATCCACGTATACATACATGCAAAAAAATGAAACTGAAAATGCATCTCATTGCCTGATTATTTTTAGGCCAAGTGTATGACCTACCTCAACCGAGAAGCACCAGGTTTGAAGGGACAAGTTCTAGCTGTGTTCATAAATCTGTGATGGCCAATTCTTATCCAAGTCATCAAGATATGAACATGCATCCCAGTATTATTCAAGAGACTTAGACAAATATGAACTGTATCCATGTAGAACTGCTGCATCTTGCCTATTTATGTGATGTGCATATCATGTCACTATTCGGCCTGGAGCGCCTTCTTCATTTTCTCAGTCTTCCATGTGCTCACTCCATATACTATTAGTGCTTCCCATGTTTGTTTTTCTTTGTGTTTTCTGCTATCCCATGTTCTATACCCAGAATAGTTGATTTTTTTAGCCTTCTATACACAGGGGAAATTGCCCACCTTGGTTTAATCTGCCAGGCAGTCTTTGTGTCTGCTCTAAATCCATGAAGATGTTAAAGGATTCTGGGCTGAATTTTTTATACACAGGGTACTAGTAAGGTTTGGTGGATGCAGCCATCACTCTGCACTTCAGGAGAAGAACAGCAGCAAAAGCCAACCTCTCTTTCAGAGCAATCAGGGGAGCTTCCCCAGTTCCTTCTCAAGGGGCAAGGCTATATGAATTCAATGGTCACACTGAAAGTATGAAAATTAGTTTTATGGAATCCTATAAATCTAGTCAAATAAAAAAAAAAACACGTCTTTTAAAGCCCTTTGAGGTTCAAAAAACTTTTGGACCTTAAAGGGCTGACCACTGGGCTAAAAATGTTACCACTGACCACCCTAAAAATGTAATGGATAAGCAACAAAGACAGGCTAGAGAGAGCGTGAAGTGGACCAATACAGGCAAAAGTTGAAAAGCTGGTTGTGGGCAGGTATGAATGACAGGGCAAGTAAGAATTTCCAATGGCCAGTATTCCAGTGTTGTGGCTGCTCTGATTTAAACGAAGTAAGAAAAATATGCAAATACACTATTCAGCACACAGAGAGTACATGATTATATGACTTAAGACTATCTTGGGGCAGACTTCTTCATGCACAAAGCACTCCAGCTGTTCATATGATTCCCCCATATTCTTACTTGCTTTTGATGAAGCTGAATCAGAGGGAGAGATGTCTGAAGATCCATCCCACTGCAGTCTACTCATAAGGGCTTGACTTTCTGTCACATCAAAACTATCATTTTCCACATTTCCTTCAGACTCAGGAAGTGAGCTAGGAAAACCAGATGTATGAGAAGGATAGAAGTAAGATCATCATCCTAACTGTTGCAAAGGTTCTTGACCAAAGTTTTAAACTGTGTCTATTGCAAAAGCCAACCAGATATTGACACAAAACAAATTGCCCCCCTCCTCCACCCTTCCTCCTCATCCAATTGGGCTACTTTATCCAAACAGGAAATTTAGCACAGCACTCACTATTTCAAGCCACATACTCAAGATCACTTTGAAGGTTAGTTACTCCCAATATTAATACATCCAATCATTTGCTCTGGACAGAAAATATTTTCCACATAACAGTTATGGGGGAAAGTACAAGAAGGTACAGGAATGGATATTGGCTTAGATTTTGTTTATAGTATTAGACAAATCAATGGTCTTATAAATGGACCTTTAAAGTAGAAGAGCAGTACAGTTTCAGAATACAAGATATTCTGGGGACAAAATATATTCACTCTCACTTGGCCACTTCTGAACAAAATGCTGAACTGGACAAACACTGGCTGTTCTGCTATTCCTAGCCATCAATACTCTTTCACTAAGATTTCCTACCCAAGATCAGGGCTGCCAAGATTGATTTCTATCCTTGTCTTCATGAATAAAACAGAACCCTGGATACTCACTGTGAAGGTTCCTTTCTGTTCAAAGTAAAGGAGGTATCCACCTTGTTTCCTGCCTCTCTCATCACCCAGGGCAAGGCAGGGGCCAGGTTTTTGACTAGGCCCTCTGACCTGGCACCTCCTCTCCAGTCCATTCATTCCCAAGATACAGGCAGATAACCCCAAGAACCATGAAAAAATGAAATGAATAAACAGTAATTAGATATGTCAGCAGCCCCTAGCAAAGAGTGGAAGGCCAAGGCCAGATGTGCAGAAAGTCCATACATGGGCAAGCATCCAATGTACTACTCCCCGTTCAAGCAAGGAGGCATTAATGTTGGGAAATGCACAGGCAGTCGATAGTAGATAAGAGGGCTAAGAGGGGCACTGGCTGCTGCAGCCCTCTCTGCCCAAAAGCGGCTTCCACTAAGTCACAGGCAGAAAATTTGTAGTGTTTTCCTAAGTTTGAGCTGAGCCAAGCAGCTGCTCTAGAAATTTCTATCGGGGTAACAATTGTGCTGAAAGTGGCAGAGGCGCAGACTGCCCTGGTGGAATATTCAGTGACATTGCTGGACTTTGGAATGTGCCAAAACGACATTAGACTCTTTTTTCACCCATAGCTGTTGGTTGAAAGAAAACGAATAGAGAATATACTTCTTGCTCCCTGCCCGATTACACATTTTTACAGTTCTACAGACATCAAGCCCACTCAGAAAGGTGGGAAGGATAGACACACAAGGAATTCTTGAGAATGGTGAACAGTGGTGCTAACTTTGGAAATGAAAGATGTATCAGGTTGCAGTAAGACACTATCCGTAAGGGGTGAGGAAGGGCCAAGAAGGCTGACATTCTGGCTTCTTCTAAAGCTACCAAGGAAACAACATTTAGGATAGTATACAAAGTGAAAGAGACCAGGGAATTCAAAAAGAGGCCAGGGGAAAGCAGCTAAGACTCTGTGCTGATCCCTTTCAGGGAACTGATGAATTACTGGCTGACCAGGAGTCACATGTTCCACAAAGGAAACACTGGAGGTGTGTATGCAGTTTCAAAGGTACTTGACCCTGGTGTGGGAGGAGAGAATTTAAGGCTGACACTGACCTGCACAGGGAGTTGCCAGCAAAGGAGTTCCTGTTTGCTTGTACTTTACCCCTTTCCATCTGTACAAGCACAAGAAGGCCCGTTACATGGATACCGCAGCATGGCTTGTGGATAAATGCCTAGATGAAAGCAGAGTGCTAGTTTCCTCATCAGTGTACCTTTGAGTATGTCCTCCTCTCAGATTCCACACAGGTCTCTGGCACAGAAGGTGTGGAGTGAATAGAAGAAACCAGGAGTTATTGCATGCCAGTTGTAACATTGCTGAAAATAGGATGCCTCTAGTGATCTCTGCTTTTTCCTGACTGGCTGTTTGTAGCTCTCTTGCTTTGTGTGATGGGAAAACAAGCACAAAGTCTTTCGTTTGGCCAGGGAAAGGGTGAAGTATCCTGAGCTCCTGTTATTGACAGTAGGATCCTTGTGAAATTCCTGGGAAGCTTATGATTGTGGGAGGACATCTAGGCCACTTGTATTGTTGGAATGAAAAGCCCCATTCCATACATCAATCCTTGCCTTACGTACTTACATCCCTTAGTTACACTATGCCTGAATGGATGTGTTCAGTCACACAGTTGGAACAGTGTTGCTGGATTCAAGCTGTGTTTTACCACTAGGCGTACTGTCCTCAGCTCTAGCTTGGGCAGGCCAGACCTTTTAACAATATCCATGAGAGTGGGTGCCCTGACCCTCCAGCTTGGCATCGTTCTTACTGGGGCCCTTGAAGGATCCTGGAATAGAATGTCCCTCTGCAAGTAGGGAGGTTTTCCCAACACAGCAGCGATGCCTTATTTGGGGAGGATGCAGTAATGACATTTGTGAGCAATACTATCATGATATGGCAGCAAGAACCACTGTAGTGGCCATGAGTGTAATCTGTCTCATGGAAGGATTTCCAGGCAAGAGAACACGAGCTTTAACAGATGTGCTTCAGACATGAGATCTGCACCTTTTGCTTTTAGACAAGCTGGGAGGGAGGAACAGATGGCCCTGAAATGTGCCACCAAGTACAGAACATGATTCAGAAGCCAGGGCTGGTCAAGCATGTACTAGTTGAGCTTCATCTGCCTAAGCCTGCTGATGGGAAGATGAGCATATAAACAGGCCATCTCGGTAAGGGTCTATGTGCACAGCATGCAGTCTTTAGTGGGCTACCACTGAAAGCATTGCTATGGAGTAACCTCTTGGAGGTGAGGCCAGCCTGAGGGCATTGCCTTTAACTGAAAATGTTCTAGACTGGTGAACTGGGGCATTTCCAGTGGGCCTGGTTATGAGGCTGAGAAGGCAAGTGTCACTGCGTTCTCCTGAAGCCATAAAATTGTGGGTCTTTTCTGAAGGATTTACCAAACCCATGGATCTACTTCAGGTCCAGTCTCTCTCTTCTGAGGGGTCAACAAACAAGACTGCATATACACCAGAGAATTATTACAGTGTTGCTTCTGTCTCTCAGTGATTCCTGTTGTCAGAAGGATTCTGGCCTCAGGCTTGGAATCTGGATCTAGACCGAAATGATCTGAAGATTTTAAAATTGTAGGAGCAAAAGGAGGGTTGAAAGGAAAGCACGTTAGAACGAGAAGAAAAAGACTTTCTCTGATGAAGTTGGCATTCCTTTGTTTCAGCTATTATGTCCTTCAAGGCCTCCTCTCCGGAGTGCATTCCTTTAAAAGTAGGAGTGCCAAATTCCCACAGGAGTGTGTGTCCACCTTTCAATTAGACCACCATAGCAAGCACTTAACTACTACAATGATTCAGGCAACTGTGCCAAGTAAAATCACAGCACCCTAGACTGCATCTCCTCATAAATGTATATTATTTTTACAACTTCAGTTCACAGCAAAAAACTTATCTAGCCAAAGTCCTGTTATCCATGAGAGCTTCTATTCATGCAAGTGAAGCCACCAGAAAGGAGAACGTGAGTTGAGGACCTGGCCACAAGACAGGCTGTTTTATGAGTCCTTTCTAAAGCAGCTTCTGAATGCCTTTTCCCTGGACCCCTAATGGGAACCTCCATTTCTGGAGGCCACACGACCTGACAAGAGCACAGCACTGATGCATCTAAGAGAGGCACTTCTGTTTGTGACTTGCTTTGGCAGTGTATAAAACGTGTGATGCTCATGGTTGTGGACTTCCTACCATGTGAGGAGCCATGCACCCTCCTTGAAGTAAAATTTGAAAGGAACATGGGCATGGTACTGCCTTGTTGGTAGCTTTTCATTCCAGAAAAAAGAATCATCCTTTGAAAGCTGGCTTGCTAGGATCTTGCAATATTGGTTGCAAGTCCAAGATGGTCATCGCTTTCAATAACAGAAGAAATGCATCAGAATTAAAGGTAGGCTAGTAAAAAAACCCCTCTTCAGCTGGCCCAGAAACTAACCACTCTTCTTCTCTCAGACCATATTGTGAACTGTGAGGGAGATTTCGGGGAGTCAGAATCAGGCTGGCATGCCCTTGCTTTTTCACGTGCCTGTTTCTTAGTTTTTTCCCTGATAGCGGGCCTAGGGTCTGGGGAATCACTACCAGATTCTCGGGAGGACAGCAAAAAGGGCCTCCAAAACCTAGCAGTGCATCGTCTTTCCTATTTGGAGGAGAAATTCAGGAACAATCAGATGAGTAATGTGTCACCTAACCCTGGAGAAGACTAAATAGCTGGTGGTTTCTACGTGGCTTGAGTGGGCTGGCTGGACAGCATTGATAAAATATGCTCTTCTTTTTAAGTACAAAATATTTCTGTTTCTTGGGAGAATTGTGAGGAAGAAGGACTGAAATCAAGTAGGAATTCTTCAGATTCCTGAATATTATCAGTACAGATCTCCCAAAGACTCAGGCAGGGGATGGTAGCACTGGGGAGGGGCAGTTTCCCTCATGGACAGAAAAGTGCAGGAAGGGGCAAGATTCTACAGGGAAATATTCAAAAAAGAAAAAAAGCTGAGGTAGAAGGATGAAAATTCTTCAATAGGTCTAAGAAGTTGAAAGAACAAATGAAACAAGCTCTATCCTGAGCAAAGGTGGGAAACTGACTGGAGAGGAAAAGCCAGGATGGTGGAAATAGACCAAAGCTTGGTCACATGCTCCTTGCCTTGCCTTGGGCATTGGGAGGGGCGCAACTCAAGGTGGATGCATGGTTGCTCTACAGCAAATGGAGATTTTAAGTTGCATTCAAGTTGGGAGGAACTCCAGTAACTAATTACGCCACACAGAGTATCATAGTCATGGCATTGCGTAAGTGGTAAGAGTATTTTCTTTAAACAGTAAAATCATAATCTGTAGGCCTTTGTGACTGAAAGGTAAGCTGAGCAGAAAGTGCCAAGGGAAATCATGGATGCTAAACAGGACAACTTCAGAACAGCAAAGCCTGATTATGTAGCTCTTTTTTCTTCCATCTGTAGCAAGCAAAATCGAAATTATGCTCCAAAGATGTATATAAGTGCTTGTCATATGAATGATCTATCCAGTGCTTGAATTCATTCAATGAAGAATTTGCACCAAGGCAGAGGATATGATGGATAAAGAGACATCATGTTTGTGACAGCTGCTCCTACCAGGGTTTGAATCCAGATTTACACTGGATCATCTGTGCTGGCAGAAGTGGTCTTCCCATGGCAGCCCCACTAGCCCCCTGGAAAAGGCTATATAGCCAGGAGAACCTGCTAACTCGAGCAAGTTCTGTTGCAGAGGGAGGCAACACCTTCCAAAAGTGAGGCCCTTCTTGTCACAGAAGGGCTTGCAGAAGCTGGGTCCTGGACGCAATCGCAGGTTGGCCTCCATCCCTGCAACAACTCCCAGGCAGGGCTGTTTGTATTCTGCAGGTATTCCATGGGAAACTATGAAATGGTACCGAGTCCTGGTTTCCCTGCGATCATCTGCTTTTTTAAAGAGAGAGAGAAAAACTGCATGTTTCTATACTTGAAAAGCATGCAATCGATTAGTTGAGCCCAACGTAGGCACAGAGCTGATGGTAGACTTCCCCTCCTTCTCTTCTATTTCCATGGCAGCCCTCCAGCTCCCAAAAAAGCTGGAAAAGGTTGGGGTGTTTTCTATAAGTAAAGCCCTTCTGTCCACAGAAGACAGATCCTGGACCAAACTCATCCTGGACTCATCCTCATGAGTCACAGAAACTAGGAGGGTAGCAGAGTAAGATTTCCAATGGCTGAAGCTGCATGATAGTTCTTTTGCTTCTCCCCACAGCTATAGAAATGTGAAAAATACTAAGATACAGAAAGTTTGCATAATCTATGCAGCTTGCAGAATTCCATACACAATACATACAAGATTTTCTAGAATCTTCCCAGTTGAAATTAAGTGTTAAATCACATATAGTGTGTGAGCATGCGTGCATGTCTGTCCCATAACATGTCTGTCCTGCCTCCAGCCCATCACACTTACGCAGAGGGTCCCAGGAGGTAGACCCTGACTGACCTCCGCTGTTCATCCGTGTGCTGGGGGCAACGCAGAGACCTGCAGGTGAAGAACAAAGTCCAAGATTGGGCCCTGACTGTGAAATACACGTTTCATAGACCCCAATTTCCCACCATGCTAAACCAATCAATGTTCCAGAACAGGAACCTCAAGAAAGCTGAAAAAAGTAAGGATGCATCTCGGGGCATCCCAGGGAAAGACAAGTACTTTACCCTTGTAACGAAGTCAGAGCAACAGTGCAAAACGTGAAAGCAGGTACACAACTGAATATTGCCAGAGGCTTTTAAAAGCAAGATGCTGCTCCCCTGGCTACAAGTGTGAGACTTGCAAGTGTAAGGAAAAAATTCTGGTCAAGGTGAAGATGCTCAGCAGGTTTCCACCCATCAGGGCAGAGAGGCCTTAGCGACCTCTCGGTGAAGTATAGTTAAGTCATACAAAATACAGAGCACTGAGCTTAATTTGCATAATATATACAAACAGCAAGATTAGCTTTTTCTTCATATAGAATTTGGACCTTTTTTGAAGCACAGAATATATACAGGGCTGGGTAATCTGTCTTCAATCCAGTAAGTCATGCCTTTGGACTACAGAGTCCTACACATTCCCTGTGAAATGTATGGGTAGGTGGATGTACACATGCCTTTCACAATGCAGATTCCCCCTTTAAAGCATTAACCATGGTTTAGTATTTATTTATTTGTTTAAAACTTTTATATGCTGTCCCTTATGCGTAGCATCTCAGGATGGCTTACAATCATTAAGTATTACATCGCCACCAACATTAACCAGGGTTTCCAAACCAATTTGTGTTAACTGTGGTTGCACTAGTGCAAATGTAGCCCTGCCAAGATGGTTAAGGCTGACAAGGGAGGGAGGACAGAACTTTCCCATAAGAGGAGAGACAGAAGAACATCCTGTGGTCAACTCCCAGTCTCTAAGTCATGGTCAAAACACTGGAAGCATCACACCTGTACTTGTTTATAGCCTCAGCATTGCTTAAACAGTCAACCATGAATGTAACTTAATCAAATGGGAAGAAAACAGTAGGCAGGCTAAAGCCAACTATGAGATGTTTGAAAACTAAGCACATGGCACCTGCAAGCTAGAAAGGAAGCTAGTCTTTCCCCCAACTAGTGTCCTCCCCGCCCCCATCAGTGAAGCCCAGCACTAGAGCATTCCCACAGCCATTCAGAAATTTAGGGAAAGAGTTCCCTGCTTACAGGGTTTATGCAGAAAGCTTTTAAACTGTTTGTGCACAGCTCTAGGCTGTATGAATCTGCCATAAGGGAATAGTTAGAGCAGGTTTGTAAGCAGTCACTTGCTTGGACATTGCAGAAAGTTAAGGCTCTCTTCTGAGTAAATAGGTGAGAAAACTTTGAAAATGCAAAAGGAGCTGGTTCTCTTTCAAGAGAAATCACAGACAATGCAAGTGTACATTGTCACAGGCAAAGGATCAAAATAATGTTGCGAAACTAGTTCAAAGGATTAAGATCAGAAACCCCTTTCCCACTTCCATATTCAACATACTTCTGCAACCACACTCTGGTTAACAGTGGAGGGGTTTCACTTGGATGACAGGCATTCTGTGAGTTTATCCTATCAGAAATTTACTTCACTCCCTTTCAGCATTTCTGCACTGAACTTTGATTCTTTTTTGAGTCGACGGTAGGGAAAAGATCAAAGGGTTATGTTGCTTCCAATCCATTATAATCAGGCTGCATTCCCACCCAGTCATCATAATCAGGGTGATTTTGTGAGTACCTCCTTGTGACCAGGAAATTGTTGCATTGGCAGGGGAACTGAAAGAGGTTACAGGGCTCAAAGAAGTGGAAGGGAGGACTGTTCTCACCGTGTACACATCTTCTTGGTGTGTTCAGAGATCACCCCACATTGCTAAAGAAAGAGGAACATACAGCATGAATAAATTAAAAAGGGAAGACCATCAAGGGTTCAAGTGTGACACAGGTGCACTAACCCTGCTCAGCCAGGCATTCAAACTCTATGGCATGAGAGGACTGCAGAAATACCACCAGAAATGCCACCAGACAAGTAGAAGTATTCCCCCACCCCTTTTCACAAGTCATTAGTCCGCCTTGCCTTCTCCCAGTCAAGAGTTGTACTCCAAAATGTGACTCATGCAGAAACATAGGTCGGGTGGGGTGCATAGGTTGGTGAGCGCCTACATGCCTGTACTCTCTTCCACACCTCCAGGATCATTAGCTACTGCAATCCCCATGATGCAAGTCATAGCATTTGCCCCACTCTTCATATGCTTTGAAACCTAATTCAACAAAGCCTTCTCTGTGCTACTTGTTTTCTTGTTCTGCTTAGTAACTTTCCTCACCTGTATGCCCTCTGAGCAGCAGCAACCTGGTGAGCTCCAGGACCCACAATCAATCCTGCTACTCAAATCCACCACTGGAGGCCCCTAAAGATACTTACTAGTTGGGGGAAGTTTGTGTCCCTACTTTGGTACTCTGGAGAGGAGTGTTTACTCTGCTGTCTTTGGAGGAATTTCTGCAGCCTAACCTTTGCACAATCATGATAGAAAATGGCGGGAAAACAGCCTAGGAGTGAGGGCCCTTGTTTGACCCCTAAAATGATTGCTTCACCTACCCCTGCTACTCCAGAATACTCACTGGAGGATGTTATGGTCCTTATGCAATCCCTGTCCACCAACATGGCCTTCGTAAAATCAGCTGTAGCTTAGCTGCAAAAATCTGTACAGCAGCTGCAAAAGAGTCTGACCTAGTCAGTCCGCCTTTGAACAAGGAAATTTGACCTGGAGGTGCAAGAACAAGTCACTGCTGCAAGTTGGTTGAGCAGTTTAAGAGTGTTTCTAATGGAAGGCTATTAACAGGCAACTATTGCTGCTTATGGCATGTGATGGTATCAACAGCAGTAGATGGCAGGAAACTGATACTCACTGTGGTGAGCAACGTACGGAGTTCCTCAGGGCCCAGTGTTTCATAGTTGATTCCAGCAGAGTTGTTATACTATGGAGCAGACCACAAACAAAGGTATTTTTACAGATATGAAAATAATCTATAAAAACTATGAAAATAATCAAGTTTGAGCACTTCCTGATCTAGGCACAGTGATGGTCAAAAACAAAGGAAAGGAATGAGTGGGAGGCCCTCCTGGTTAAACCAGGCACAGGAAAGGGAGGGGCTCTCACCCAATTGAACACTTAGCTACAGAATCTTCCCAATAACAGGTTCCACACAGGCACAGAGCCCATACACATGATGCACAGAGAGCATGAGAACTTCTTCCCTCTTGAGGATTCTCCAAAAAGCTACAACAGGTTGAGAGCCATAATGCAGAGAAACTCACCTTGAATGGGTCTGGGTTACCACTCAGCTCCCCTAGAAAAGGGAAAAAGAGAATGTGCCTAAGTCAGGAAATATGTAGACAGCCATTGTGGTGTTATGATTAAGAGTTTTGTACTCAAGAGATCTGGGTTCTAGTCCCTACTAAACTAGCAGTCCACTAGGTGGCTTTGGGCCAGTCACTGCTTCTTAGTCTAACTTATCTCACAAGGTAAATGGAGAGGAGGAGAACTTCATAAGCTGCCTTGAGTTCCTCACAAATGGAGGAAAGGCAATGGAAGCAGCCACAGCAACTGCCCACCTCCACTCTACCACTGAACTCATGAACAGACAGGCCAGGGAACTTGAATTTGTTTTTAAATGAGAGCCCAAATGAATTTGTTTTTAAATGAGTGCCCAAATGAGAGCCCAAATGCCATATTAACCTGGAGGTAGGACCATCTCCAAATATAATACAAGAGAAATGCAAACTTTCCAGGTGCCACAAAGAAAGCACAGGTAGTTACATCCAAAGCAGGCTGAAAGCATGCTTTACTCCAGCTGAGGGTTTATTAGAACAGAAAGTAGGAGTACATGAGGAAAATATTTTTAAATGTAGAAGTTTTTAAATGCCCTAACAAAAAGATTTTTAATTTGACAGTGAAAAGAAAAAAAAAAGTTGGCACCAACTGTATCTCTTTCAGAAGGGCATCCAAAACTTGGGATGCCACCAGAGAAGGTTCTCTCCTTTGTAAATACATCATTTACTTTTTCTACTGATGATATCCAAAAAAGGGCCTCCCGTGAAGAATGTATAAATAGGCAAAATATTATGAGAGGTTAAAGTCATGTAGGACTTTGGACTCCAAGCTATGTAGGGCTTTAAATCTAAGAACCAGCACCTTGAGCTGAGCTTGGAAGTGAATAGGGAGTTTTTACAAATCATTTGGATTGGTGCAATATCCAAGCTGAATATTGAAAAAGTTAAAATTCTCACTGCTGAATTTTGCACAAACAGAACCATCTGAACCATTTCCCAGGGTAGCCCAAGTTTAATAAATTACAGCAATCTGTTACCAAAGCATGAATGAAGGTAAGGCTATTCCTGCCTAAGAAAGAATGCAGTTGATAATACTGTCAAAGCAGGTAAAAGCTACTTCAAAGTTAATGAGGCCACCTAGATCTCTCGTGATATCGTTGGATCAAGAATCACCCACAAACTGCACACCTGCTCCATCAGGGGGAGTCTACACCAATGCAGAGCAGAACCCACCAACCAACAGGGACTTGTTGGGATTCAGTTTATTGGCTCTCATTCAGAAAGAGTTCAGGAAGCGGTTCAGCACCACCACAGCCTTACCGGATTCAGATTACACTCAGAAATAGAGCTGGGTGTCATCAGCATATTCCAAATTCCTGACTGACTTCATCCAGTAGCTGCATACGTATGTTAAAGAGCATGGTGGACAGGATGGAAGGACCCCTTGCTCAAACGCCATGGGGACAAGCAAAAACCCTACCAGTACTGCCTTTGGAAATCAACCGTAGAAGTAATGGCAGAACCATGGTTTCATTGTGGCACCCACTTCCAATATGCAGATTGAGTTCTGAAAGATCCCATATCAAAATCAACAGGGTCATTCTTCCCCTATATTTTGATTCAACAGAAGTCACCCAAAGCTGCTTCAGTACCAAACTGCAGGATAAGCCTGGACTGAAATGGATATAGATAATCCAAAAGAGCCTGGGGCTGAACCATCACCAACCTCTTGATTCCCCTGCCCCAAAAGGAGATATTTGCAATTCAGCCCTAAAAAGTAGCCTAACAGTGAAATCTCTCCTTTTCTTAATGAAGCATTAATGACCTCCTGGGCCCACTTGATCGGTTCCCTTTAGTTTCATGTAAGGAATCAAGATGGGTAAGGAGCAACAGTGCAGATGTTAGATGAACTTCTTGAAGCATTCTGCCGACAGCCTCAGACCACAACAATTGAAACTGATCCCACAAACCAGAGCAAGTTTTGGACATATTCTGCGGAATATTATGCTTTTACCTTCTTAAATGAGGGATAGCAATTTTTTTGCCCTAGAGGACTGCATGTGGCATTGGGCAGGAGACCTCAGACCAGCAGTGGACATGGTCAGACCTGGAGATGGATCAGTTCTGGGATCCCCTCCCACCTCTCCTACACACACACACAGCGTGTGTGCGCGCATGCACCTGCCTGCCTGCCTTTCTCTTTCCTTCCCTCCCTCCCTCCCTCCCTCCCTCCCTCATACACACACTCTCCCTTACCTTCCCACTCCCTGATGGGGAGGCTCATACTCTTAAGGTGATAAGAGTTACATCTTTCCTCTCCCTGTAACTCCTCTGCTCAGAGGAAAGATGCAACTGCTGCAGGATACCGTACACCATTTTTTTTCTTTCTCAGAAATAAGATTCTTAAGGAGTGAGCACAAAGGACTAGAATATCTTTTGTCAGTCTAGCTTGCTTATATTATTATTATTATTATTATTATTATTATATTATTATTATTATTATTATTATTATTATTATTATTATTACCACCCTGCCTTTCTTCCTTTTGCAAAGAACCCAGAGGGGCTTATAATGTTCTCCTCCTCTCCATTTTATCCACACAACAACTATGTCAGGTAGGTTGGGCTAAGGGCCTGTGACGGGCCCAAGGTCACCCATTGAGTATCATGGCTGTGTGGGGACTAGAGCCCAGATTTCCCAAGTACAAGTCCAACACTCTAATCACTATACCACACTGACTTTTCTATGCCATGCTGGCTTATTCCATAGCTCTCTCTGAAAAATATTATTTATGGTAGTAACCACTGATTAAGGCAGCCTAAAGTGGCAAAAGAGGCCATTTTGCAGATGTACAGTGAGCAAGGAGAGGAAAGTGGGGCAGTGGCTAAAGCCCCACTTGGCTGCAGGCAAAAGTTTTCGCTGACCACAACAAAACCTGCAATACACAGGGAGCTGGATGTCCTCATGACCCTTAAGCAAAGCTGAGATTCTCAGCGGACTGTGAAAAACATAAATTGCATAGACAACTTGAGATGGTCTTTGTGTTCTGCTTTCACCATGTACCTTCTTAAGGCAATAATTCTCAAAGGCAATGACTGTTCTCAGGCACTACAGTGGCATGTGCTCCTGAAGTCTGGTGACCTCAAGATGGGTAGGGAATACTCCATGCAGTACACTCACCATTTTTATGTTTCAAGGACTTAGATCTTCGGGGTGAATTGGGATTCTGAAGCCAAGATGGAAAGAGAAAAGAATTTGTTTCAAAAAATAATCAGATTTTCAACTCTCACGACCAACTTTAAAAAGTGTCACAGCCAGCACTCCTTATTAAAGATAAAGCATTTCTGGAAACTGAAGTCATAATGGGAGACTCTGGGAGTTTTTCTGGCAGAAAAAACCTGAAATTTCGTGGGGAAAACTGCAACAGTTATTTTTCTAGCATTCTTTACAGCTTTAACATTCCTTTATTACTTTAGGAACTTAAAATGTGTTATCTGTAAGTTACTTTGCCATTACATTTTCATTAAACCTAAAAACATCTGTAAGTCAACTCCATAAATTGGTTATTAGTGTGTGAGTAAACTATATTTTTATTACACCAAATATGGTAACTTTTAGGAAACCAATTAATACACAATATATTTTAAGTTTCTGTCTGATGAGAAGCAACACCAGCAAGTAGCCCTTAAAATATCTGAACCATCCCAGAAGCCAGAAGAAGCACAACAAGCTGAAGGCAAAGAAGACTGGCCCACAGCATGTGAGGAACTAGTTGCGGCTGAGTTTACAGACCTTTGGTCTGAAGGGAAAGCTACTGAGAGCTTATTTGCTCAGGAATGGTAACCAAACATATGTATAGGCAATTCTCAACCTGTTGTAAGAACATTTTATTCCCTTTCATAACTATTTTCTCTTAATAAACATCTTAGTCTTAGTTTAGTGAAGGTGTCAGTCTCATGCCAAGACACTGGACCCATGCCACCAAGTTTCTTTTCGATAGAGAGGGCTTATTTTGATGGCAGCAGTTAAAGATTTTATAGCTCTTGCAGCATTGCCAAATGGTGAGCTCTAACTGGGACCTTTACTAAGAACTGTGGCAAAGAGTGCCATTGACACAAGCCTTGAGTAATGTTTGCTTCCGAAAATAAATGAAGTGGAACGGCCCACACTTTTTTCCTTTGTGTGCAGTGATATTAGAGGGATTTCTCTCACATGTGTGCTTTGGAGCTACAAGCACTGACAGCTACAGCAACTGATCAGACCAAACCCAAATACAGCTGTCTATCGAGAACAAAATACAAACTGCCAAAAATGTCAATTTTCTTCACATATTGGGAAACTGAGCATCCTTTGGATCACCCCTAAGGGACTATCAGTGAAAGAAACATTAGATCACTTAGGGCATAATCTGATGCAGTTTCTGTCAAAGCACGCACAGAATTGTCCCTTCACTTGGATAAGGAATGGAAGAAATAAAATATGCTACATGTCTCACAGAGAGGATTTTAAAAAGCTATTTCTCCTATGGCATCAAAGTTTCCAGAAATATTTTATCTCTAGTTTTACATAAAAGTCTTCCTATTACATAGAAATATTTTTGCACTAGAAAATACCAGGTACCCTAGACTTAAACACTGTATTCATCATTCGAAGAAGAATAAAACATAATTGAAAAACAGTCTTTACATCTCTAGTACTCACAACAGCACGGTGTGGCCAAGTGTTGTAGCTAACAGTTGGAGGAGGAGGAAGGGCCCATCTATATGAAAGGGTCTCTCTGCAACAAAACTGCAGGCAAAATATTCCTGCCAGAGGGCTCCTTGAGGAGGATTATATCCAAAACACATGGGTTTCCATAAATATCCTTGCACTTGTGGAGGCTCTCCCCCTTCTTTTCTTGTATTTGGTGCCTTCCCCCTTTTTCTTTTTCTGTGCTGCAGAGCAAATAGCTCCTGATCACTCAAGTGAGTCAAGCTCCAGAAACACTATGAAAATGGATTGCAGTGAGTAACTGGGGAGCTTTCCTAAAGAGCCAACAAGGGTAAGTAAAACAGTAAACTTGCATTCAGACCCCAAAAGGGTCAGTACAATCAGTATGATGTCATCCCAAAGTATCCCACCTTTTCTGCTAACAGCCTCATGCAGCTTTCCAAGGGGCAAGCCAAGTTCCACAAGTAGCATAATATCACAGAGGTTGGAAGAAATTGCAAGTTTATTCACATGTACAAGGAGGCTGATTGTTCATTGTTAGAAATGCATACCTTGACCAATCAAGTCTAAACTAATAAGAATTATCTTACCTTATCCGATTTCCTCTTCTTTGCTGAGAAGAAAAAAGGAAGCTATTTTAGCATCCCACCGCCAGGACAAACCAAAGTCTCTGCCATCTTAAGGACTTAATTCTGACAAAAATTTCTGCTAAATCTGTCTGCATAGAATCTAGCACACTGTATCAAACCAGTTTCAGATAATTCTATGTGATACTCCCAACCATTCAGATTTTTTTAAAGATTGCCTAACCAGCTGCCGAACAGCAAAAAAACAGGGCTGGCTCTCTACCATTCCTGCACTGTTTTTTCTTTTCTTTTTTTTAATGCCGAACACCTCAAGCAACTCAACACTTTTTGTGTTGGGCCCACACCCTGATAGTTCCACCAAACTCACCAAGCTCTGCCGAAAGACCTGCTCTAACTTCTAGATACAGGTTCTAATTAGTTAACAAAATTATTTTCACCTAAGTAAACCACATTCAGCACAGGATATTATTGTAGTTTGTGAATGCTATTATTAACAGTCATTCCTATGACCCTTTCCATGACTGCATGTGCAAATGTCAATTTCTCTCCCTTTGCAGTCCAGAAACCTTAACTAGCCTTGACTTACCTTTCTTCTCAGATCCATAGGACCAGTCATTATCATTTATATCATCATTGTCCTCTTGGTCACTCTCGGATTTGTTCATATTGTTACTACTTGCTATCCTATAGGCAAAGAGAACAGGAAGAGAGGAAAGTTACGCTGAATAGCTTTCTTTAGGGTGTGTGGGAGGGAAGGTTGTAATTAGAGCAGTGATCTATAATGCCAAACAATTTTCTCTGAAAGACAGCTTTCCACCACAAACATCTTCCTCAGTAAAGTGCAGTAGCAAAGAAGCAGAGGGAAGGGAGGTGTTCTATAGGAGATCCTAGTTTCCAGAGTGATGAGGCTGAAACAAGATTGGCAAGCACCCTAAGGTGAACTGAATATGTATCCTACGATAAGGGTGGTTAGGACTCAGATCTGCTGTGATTGTTAAACAATTAAGAATCATAAAGTTTTGCTGATCCACAGCAAATTCTCCAGAGATAAACCTTCTGTCCACTCCTGTCCTAGAACATTTTCACAATTCCTCTTCACAATTCCACAATATGCTGGCATTCCTTCCAAGAAAAGGAAGTACAGAATGGATTTCCCTGAAGGCAATATGTTGGGAAATACCTGTATAAGAATTAAGTGTAATACAACAAATAGAGTCAAATATGAATCAAATATGGTCTTGCATGCCATGTGCAGTCTCTTAATATTCCTAAGCATTTATAGGACTTTTTTGAGCAGAGTAACAGTTATGAAACCTCTCAGTAACCCTTTCAATAATCCTATAAAGCAGGTTCCTAAAATAATACCCATACTGCAAATTCAAGGGGGATGTAGAGGAAAGTAGGAGATAAGACAGAGAGAAGTAGCTTGCTGAAGGCCATTTGGATTTGGCAAAGTCATGGCAGAAGCAAGTTCTGAAACTTCTGGTTTGCAGCTTGGCCTCTTAGTCATGATGTCACAGCGCACCAGATCAGTTCAAGAGATCATACATGTTGATCTGGACTGTGTGTCTCTTCGTCAGACCAGATAACAATGGAATTTGGTTTGCTTTCAACCTTTTGCATCTGAATGATCACCATGTGTTGCTTTGCACAACTGAAAAGACCTTAGATCATAAAGCTGCAAGATGGATCTTGAAGATGTGTATGACATCCCTGGTCAACTTTCAGCAACTGTGAGGGTGATGGCAGTGGCATGGAAGAAGATGCCTCACATGTATGTGGGGGCTCCTATTTTATGGAGGGGAAGACTCTACTGCCTTTCACAACAACACAGCTTTCCCCATGACCAACAGAGTAATCTTCTTAGTGGTGCAGAATTTAGGCTAGCATAGCAAATATTTAAACATTCTTTAAGTATAGCATATAAACTTGTCAAGACTGGAATTTTAGGAACCAAAAGGCTGTCTATTTTTCACACTCATTCTGGCTTAATGAAATCCAGTCCCATACCTCTTCCACACCCCACACACAAACACACATATATACACTGAAAGCTTCCCTTTTAAAAGCATCTTCCATTCCCAAATCATCATTCTGAAGACCTCACCTCCGATTGGCAATGCGGCTGCTGTTCCGGCCCATACCAAGGCACTTCTCCAAGTGTGGGGCAAAGCGAGAGGCGGCGATACTTCGGCTGCAATTTGGGCACACACATTCTTTGTTCTTCCATTGGTTATAGACCTGGCCAAAAATATCCAGCCCTGGCTGATCCACAATCTCTGTAGTCATGAAGGGAAAAGAGATGGTCTTTTAGCAAGAGCAGAAGACATGAAAAGAGAAGGCGTAGGAGGCACAAAAGGATTTGCAAATGCAAACAGCTCAAGCAAGTCACTGCTAGATATTATTTTGGACTGGCTGCATGTACACAGATTTCAGTTTGCCATTCTTTTGAGATGAACAGCAATAGGTGACCTGAGCTCTACAGAGCAATCACCATCAATGCCAGCAAACCAGGTCTAGCTCCTACATACAGATTTTTCAACCACAGAGGAAGGAGAGGATACCACCGGAACATGGAATGGCTCTGGTCCACAAGGTGTGGAATACAAAAGGAAAATTGCATGCTACTCATTAAGCCATACATCGTTGCCAAAACTTTCCTTCCTGCTCTCTCCCTCCATCCTGCAAATGATCTCTGGTTACTTCCCAGACTCCGACTGGGGAGACCAAGGCCAGGCCAATCACACACCAACAAGCAACCTACATCCATCCATTTTGTCACAGGATTATAAATAGCCACTTGCCTTGCCACTAGTGACAAGTAAAATATAACCCCAGGGAAGTTTGTATAAACTGGAAGTGACTTGGATCTTCTGTTCTTTCAAGCTATCCATGTGGCACAAATGACCAACACAGGTATAAATGGACAGATTTACTAGTAAAAGTTTGTGGACAATTGACTTTTGTGGTTTTATGGCCTTTGAATGTAAGATTCTTTCAGGGCAGAGTAAATGCCACTTGTGTGACCCGCAAACTGCCATTAAAGTAAACATTACAGAGTAGTACGAACCACCTAATACTGTTCTGTAAGTGCAGTACTATTCTAGAGGATTCCACATGTATGTAAGTATGAAAACCCCCACCCTAATGAATATAACTTCTTCAGGCTTAGGTTTTCAACTCTCTCATTCCATTTGTGTAACAAACATGTAGCCCCTTTCTTTAAATCCCGGTAGCCACTCCTGACTCAGGTAGTATCCCTCTCAGTTCCTTCCATGTTCAGAGTTGAAGAAGAGCCACTGCCCTCTTATTCTTAAATGTGTATGCCATCCCTCCTCCTTTAAGGCACCATTATTCAGCTAGCTATTCTCCCAGTTTCTCTTTATAACAAACACCAAAGTATGTTATTTGGATACAGTGGGAATGTGAGTTGCTATTCTCATTTCAACATAACTGGTGTAATATATGAAAGTAAACATGTGGTGAGATGAATAAAAACATGAGGCAGGTTTGTAGTTGACACTATATCCAAAGCTGAAAATTTACTTTCCTCTCTGCACCCTACTGAAGCAAGAGTTTTTCCTCCCTTTAGAGTACAAAAGTTAGCTTGTCCAGTGGGATAAAATGGAGTTATTCTACAGCACACTTGCTCTTTGAATGTACCACATTTGGTAATCTGGTAAATTTAAGCACTTCTTTCCAAATAACTAATTCTGCAGACCACCAGTATGGTCTGGCTGTTGAAAGAACTCGCTTTGTAAATACTGAATGTAAAGGGCTGCTAGAACATGGAATCACTTTGGTAAAAACGCACTTACCAAAGTCCTTCATACTTTCAGGATCTGTGTCATCCAGAAAGAAGTACCCACATTTGACAGCACGGTGCACCTCGAAGCACAAGCCCAGGCAAGCATCCTCAATCAAGTCTGTATAAATATCATGAGCCACAGCCTAGAAAACAAGAATACGCAAAATTAGCCGCACAGAAACTGAGCACCAGCAAGACTTTTAGGATGTAAGATCAAAGCCTAACCAGGAGCAGCATAAATTTTCATTATTCAAGTGCCAGAATCAAATTTTGCCCATGGCTTGACATCCTACCAAGATCACAAGTCATGTTTTCCCTGAAAATTCTGATTATCAGGAACAAAGAATGCATCAACAATCAAGAAGCCTTCAGTCCCTTTAGGCTGTTGTTTAAACAATTCTGAATGTTCCAGTACAAACCAAAGGCTGTTTTGGACATAACAGCAAGAAAGGGCAGCCAAGAAGTACAACTGGCTGGTGCTTCCCTGGACCTCCTGTTTTCAACTCTCTTTCAAACTCATAGGCAAAAGATCAATTTCAGATGACATGGTGAGAAAAGGGGGCAGTGGAAAGCAGGCAGAGAACAGGATTCATGAACTGCACAGGCAAGTAGTAGCCTCAAGGCTCAAGTGGTAGCTTTGAGGCTCACCAGTAGCCTCAAGACTGTGATTTATACTTCAGAATTACAGATATGTGTATTATTTATTACATTTAGTCCACCATCCTTCCATATTATATCTTTTATGTAAGCTGCCAAGGGACTTTTTTAAAGTAATTGGTAGCATAGAAATGGAAATAAATTAAATGCAATACAATATATAATAAAATACAATATAAATATTTTATAATTTTAAAAGAGCAGGCCAAGTTACACCTTCAAATTCCACTCATTAGGGTTTTTTTTGAAAATCACATTTGTGATCCACAACACTCTCAGCTAGATCTAAGCCCTGACAAATAAGGCCAGTACAGGTACTCCAGAAAGGGTTTCTTAAAAACTCATCTCTTTTAGCATGGTTTCATGGTAACAGCTTATTCAAAACCTTTGCAAGAAACCTTTACCTCAAAGAAGACGACTTACCTCCAGTTTGCTGTTATCCAGGCCCGACAAAGTCATGTCCTCCATTTTCATTTGCAAAAGCTACCAGAGAAGATGCAGAGAACACAACATCTCAGAGGCCAGGCTGAAATAGGAAGGGATCCCTCTGTATGAGGACAGACAGAAGGATTTAGTGATCATCTTGGAAACTTGCTTTCAAACTGGAGGATGAGCCTATTGGTAGGAAACCAGACAGTGGTGTATGTTTTAATAGGATTAAACTGATAAAGTCTGCAACAACAATAGCTCAGAAGAAAAAGCTTTTACTTTAGTTATTAGCCGATGTAACAGGAAACAGGCACTATCCTAGAAGTACTGATTCCATTCTGTGCAAAAGAGTACTGAGCATGTTTCTTAAAAGAGGGCACCTGCCTCCTACAGTTTCTGCAAAACACTTTTATTAATTAAAAATACTGATTTTCCACAGTTTAATTGAGGGCACCTTGAAACTGACTGAAGTATTTTTAATCAATCAATTAATGAGATCAGCAACACAATGTTACAACGCTGGTGCAACACTTAAACAATTTCCTAACAAAACAGATTGTAAAGTTCCTGATTTTACTTGTTCTGGCTATCACCTGTGAGCATCAAACCTCATCTGCATGTAGTCAGGGCACAAACGCACTGGAACAGCAGTTAGGCTCTTCAGATTTGAACGAAACGGAGGAACTGTGAGAATGTCAATCATACTTTCATATCTTTCTGCAGCAAGATCATCCTGTAACCCCCAGCAGTGTGTCACTAACAACAAAATTATTCCCTCCTGCTCAGGGCTCCATTCCAGAGGTCATACCATATAAGAATAAAACACATGATGCTGAGAGCTGGTGCCTGTGAGCATCATGGATCCCTGCCTATAACCCCCTTATGGCTCCCTGGAAGCAGTGGCTGCCTTAAGCTATGCAGAGCAATCTCTTAATTGGCATATAGCCTTTCTGCCACTCTTTTTGGATGGAGTGTTCTCTGCATATCAGTCAATTCCCCCCCCCCCTCGCCACCATTTGTGTGGAAATATATTATTTAGATTTCTAGCCCAATTTAAGTAGTAATACTTTTTTCTGACCCGCTTTGTTAGTTCCTCCCTGCTGCCCCTTTTGCAGAGCCTGCCTGATGCCTACAGGACCCAAAGTCTCTAAACCTCCCCTACTTGCACAGCTATTCGAGCTACTTGTATGGCTTCAGGAAGGATATCTGGTGTATCACACCCACATTCTTCCACTCAGCAACCAGACACACAGGATAGGTGTGGCCGTGGCTCAGTGGTAGAAAACATGCTTTGCATACAGAAGATCCCAAGGGCAATCCCAGCATCTCCAGGTTGGGTTGGATAAATCCTTGCCTGAAACCAGGAGAGTCACATCTAGTCCATGTCAACAATACTAAGCTGGACAAACCTATGTCCTATGTTCCTACCACAGTATGGAATCATCCGCTTAAAGGGAGTGTGCCCATGTGTACATGCATCTCTCCCCTTCTCTTTGAGAGTGAGCCACACTTGCTAAACCTTCTATATTAGATGGGCTGTTTATAGCCCCAGGCACTTTGTTTCCTTTCCTATTTCTTTCCCACAAATAAATAACTAAATAAATAGCACTTACAGAGTGCTTTCAAACGTTCAAAGCTCTTCACAGATACTATCTTGTAATCCTTACAATGAGCCTTTAAAATAAATTGACATTGTCTTCCCCATATTCCTAATGGCAAGATGCAGCTGAGAGAGAAGGGCAGCTTCCAAAATTAGATGTGAAGTTTGAACCAGGGCACTCCTTGTTTGTAGCTCAGACTTAGCTATTCTGCTACAACAGCTCTTAGTAACTAGCTTCCATCTGCTGGCATTTTCATAGCTCAGTTGCCCAATCCTGGTATATACATCTGACAAAATGGACTCTGACTAGCAACAATATATGGCATAAATTAATAATTTTGCCTCAATAATTTTGTTTGTCTACCCAACACACAGTTATCCATTTGGAATTGAAAGTTCTGTTCAATCTCTCTTCTGGCATCTTATGATTTTGCCAGACAGTAACCATACATTTTCAAACTTATTTTTACAGCCATAAGTGCTAGAAATGGTTAAGATGATATGAAAAGTTCAGATTTTCAAGGTGTCGAGTTCTGCAGGTAGCATCAAATTTCACGCTTCCTTGTCCCATCACAGAACATGAATGGGAAATGCATGAAGATCTAGCAACAGTTCAAAGAATTAACTGAAATAGGTTAAGAGCAGAGCTTTGTATATGCTATGAGCCCTTGGGAGCACCATAAGATCTCCATTTTGCATTTTAAAAACTCCCATCAACACAAATTCAAAGCTCCCTGAAAATGTGTTTGAAAATAATAATGCACATTGAAGTTTCAAAAGCCTGAGAATTTAAAAAATAAAAAATCAGCCATTGGTGATAGGGTTTTGGTGTCCATGACTAGCAAAATCAGAGTAAATTGTGCAAAACATCAAGAATTAGAGAACAGTAAGTAAAGGAAATTTATATATTCTAAAGGCCACAGAATCCATCTTTTCTTGATGCAAAATATGTTATTTTAGCACTGAGTACTCACACCAGCTAACTACTAGTCACGATGGCTACATGTTACATTTTGTAACAGAAGTTGTATGCCTCTGTTGGGGAACACAAATTGGGAGGGTCCTTTTGCCCCTTGACCTGTTTGAGGGCTTCTCAGAGGCATCTGGTTGGCCACTGTAGGAATCCTGGGCTAGACAGAGCTATGGTCTGATTTAGCACTGTGCTTCTTATGAATCATGATAGATCACCATAACATAACAGGTCACCGTAACAGGTCACCACCAACTCTTTCCTCCAAAAATGCTTGGCCTAAGTGGGAGCAAAACCCACTAAATTTCATCTACAAAAGCTTTAAGGGGAATTACCAAACCTTGTACAGTATTTATGAACATATCGGCAATCAATGCAAAGTCTTTAAAATAGGTGATATGTGGGTCTCCCATAATGTCCCAGAGACCAGCCTGACTGCCATATTTTTTACTGGTTGCAATTTTCCTAGTATGCACAAGGGAAGCCCTATACAGAGTGCATTGCAGAAATCAAGCCTAGAAGTTACCAATGCATGCACTACTGTTTTCAAGTCATTCTCCTCCAGAAAGGGACATAGTTCGTAAATCAGCCACAGCTGACAGCACACAGTCTTGATCACAGCTTCTATCTGAGCTGACATCTGAAGGGCTGGGTCAAGTAGCACCCCCAACACAAACATGGTCTTTTAGGAGAAGCGTGATCCTGTTTAGAACTGGTTGACAAACCTCTAATTCTGGATTTGGACCCTTAACACCAAGCATCTCCATTTTGTCTGGATTCAACTTCAATTTTTTTTTCTTATCCAGCCCATTACAAGTTGCAGGCAGTCATTCAGAGAGGAGATGCTGCCTCTAGAAGAAGCAGCAGATGATGGTAAGAAGATCTGGGTGTCATCAGCATACTGATAACATCCATTGTCATTTCTCCAGAGAACTCTGCCAGTAGTTTCATGTAGATGTTAAACAACACTGGAGACAGAATGGAGCCCTGTGGGACTTCACAAGTCAGCTCCTTCTTAGCATCTCAAAGCATCAGTATCTGGAACCAACCTGAGACTAGGAACAGAACCACTGCAAAGCAGAGTGTCTCCAGTTCCCAGCTCCCTTAGATGATCCAGAAGGATAGTATGGCCAATAATACTGAAGGCCACTGAGAGATCCAACACAACAGGAACACACTCCCCCTGTCAATTCAGAGTCATAAATCATCAACTCCTTGTCCTGCTCTGAAGCTAGTTTGAAATGGATCCAGAAAATCAGTATCACTCAGGACCACCTGGAGCTGGAGAGATACCACTTTATCAATAACCTTGCAAAGAGATTGTATATTTGAGACTAGTCTAAAGATGTTAAGGACCAGAGGTTCAAATTATATTGTACATCTTTTACATATACAAATATTCTCATGAGAAAAACCGAAAAGGTAAGGAAAACTGCCAAATACAGGAAAGATCAGGCAGCAGGAAAAACATAAATATGAAAACAGAATTTGAACCAATTTTTGGATCACTGCCTGCACAACCACCATTGCTGAGGTTCTCTGCTTGGTTTTCCATAAAAACCAGAACCACAAAGGAGAAACAGTTCATTAAAAAGGAGGAAAGAAGTGGTCCCCCTCACAGCCAGCAACAATCCACCCAAATTTGCAGCAACTCTTAATTCGTAATGGGCCCAAAAAGATGTAGCTTATTTGCTTTCAGTATCCAGACATTTCTGCTGACTCACTCTGTCTTGTTGAGAAAGTCCAAGCCCTAAAGGAAAGCTGCAGCCCTATGTCAATACAAATGGATGAAGGGATGCAGCAATGGAAAAAAAGGAGGAGGAGGATGCTTTGCAAGACTAGCCTGTCACAGTGCTGGCTTTGGCTAAAAGGAAGCTCTCAGGCAGATCCTAGCATATCTACATTTCGATGGAGGATGTGGAGTGGGGGATGGGAGGCTCCATATATAAATAAGTCATGGTCCAATTTTTAAAGAGAGAAGGGCATGAAGAAAACTGTGTTGAAATTTTAGTCCAGTTGAACAGCCACAAGCTTAGCTGCCCAAACCTCAGACTAGCTAGTGGATGTGGGTGGGTGGTGGGTGGGAGAGAGAGGGAGAGGGAGAGGGAGAGAGAGAGAGAATCATACACAATATAGAAATACACAGGAGAAAGCGCTATAAATTTACAAACCTGAAGAACAGATTAATTCATCTCAGAAATCTGATCCCTGTACTTTACAGACTATCTGGTGCAAATAAAGGATCCCTTTCAGCTTGTATTGTTCATGTATTCAGACTGATGTTTTCTTATATGTACTATTTACAGTTAATTTTTGAAAGCCAAATGTTGTTATATCCCCAGTTGCACCAGAGCTTTAGATTTTGCTCCTTTGCAAGGCTGCCATAATGGGAACCTGGTTTCTAAAATTTTAGTTTCTTTTCAAACTGGTGAAAAATAGAGAAACAGAGAAAACAAACATTGCAAATGCTGCATGCACATGTAATACACATATAACCGCACACCCCATTTCTGTGACCATGTCTAATCCCTTCCCCATGCTAAGGGACTCACCATTTGAAAAAGGGGGAGGGGAAGAGAGATAGAAACAGACAAGTAGTTTGCTACAATTTGGGGTTTTACAATCAATTATTCTATCCATTGTCTTCCCCACACATGCCATGTTCAAGGACAGATATCCTTTTGGATCAGGGAATAACTATTGCAGCCACAACCAAAAGGAAACACACTTATGGAAGGCAATCTTTTTAACACAGTGGGGGAGGGAGGGAGAAAAGCTAGCTTACAAAGAATGGACCAGCTTGTAAGGGCTGCCAATAATTTGGGGCTTTCCCTGACTCCCTATTGTTGGGAGAAGGGTTTCTTTAACACCAGGCCCAGCCTTCATTAGCCTAACAAAGAACAAACAAAGCCCAGACACTACTGGACCCCCAAACATCCAATGCCTCCCTGCGGCCAGCCATCTGGAATCAGACTGATACCCTCATGTCTTTACCTATTTGTCCACTTGCAAAAAGAAGAGCTGGTCCCAACTTGAACATAGATACCTCCTTATTAAGGGATCCTCCTCCCATCTGTCCCGAGGAAACAGTGCTACAGGATGATCAGAGATCCTTCACTCTGTGGGTCACAGCCTATTTTGGCCACTCAGAATCCTTATCACACGGATTGCAAATGAAGGAGGGTTTATTGGGTTATAGTTGGCTATTTTGTACATGCTTTCAATATATTGTAGCCTACTCCAAATCTTAGCTCCAAGGCTACCTAGTCTATTTTTCTACTGCATCCCTTCATACCAATGCCTATTTTTCACTACACCACAGAATTTCCTTCTCCACCATGCTGCTTTACCATCTCCAAGCCTCAACCCATTCCTTAAGCTTTCCTCTGGTTCACAACCCCCACCGCATCCCCCAAAGCTCCTATTCTCATACTATCAACACCCATCTTCTTGCTTCTCTGCTCTTTCAACCATATACTTCCCTCCTCCCCTATCCATCCTCACAGACCTCTGTATCAACCAAAACACTAATCAGCCCCTTATCTAGAATACACTATCACTGAAAAGGAGAATTAATGCATCCTGTGACCTGCTTGAAACATCTTGCTTCAAGTCATCAAATCAATTTTGATCCTCAGAAGCTAAATCTTGACCAGGTGTTAAACTAAGTAGGGGTTTCACCAGGAGACTGCCCCTCTTTCCTTTCCCTCTACTCTTCCTGAAGGTCAGAGAATCTAATCCAGGGCTCATTCCCAGAATCTCTGCAGTGGTGCACAGGGGTTGGGATGCATGTTTCTGCTAAACAAAAGTAACTCTCATCTGGATGCCCTAATCCTCAATGTGGGTTGTGTGACTACTTAACAGCAAAATAAATGCACTCTGGACCTGTTCCAAAGTACGCTTACCTTCATGATTACTCTCACAAATGCCAAGGTGAGGCACTGGCATTGGAAACAGATTCTGGGGCTGAGCCCTGGTTCAGAGTACACCCAGAAATATGGCAGGGAGACTGGGAGGCCATTTTCCAAGAGAAACACCCACCTTTTAAAAGCACCTGGTGGACATTTAACTCATTTGAATAGCTTGAAGACAATAGCAATTGCAATTAACTGTAGATTGGAATGCTCAGACTTGAAGACCTATCCTCTGAGATGCCAACCTAGTGCTCCTTAGATGTGTTGGAGCACTAGGCCATGCAATCAGGGGATAATAAGAGCTGTGGTCCAACATGTCTTGGGGGCACATTAGGCTGGGCAAGGTTGCATCGATAAATGTAACCAAATGTATCACACCCTCCTGCCTCTTCTTTTCACCTATGAGAAACTTTCTACCAGCCCGCCCTCAATTTTGTTCTCACAATAGCCTTTCCCAGGCTTCCTCCAACACAGCCAGCCCCCGTTAACTTTGTCAGCCTATCTTCAGCTCCTTTACTAAGTTCCAGCACTTGCCAAGGAATGCATCATCTTTGCTCACTTCTCTTGCTTCATCCATAATGTCAGCCTCACAGCTTCAAGTTTGGTCCACCATGCCTTCATTAACTGTTGCTTACTCATCACTTTCCTCCCCTCTTCCAGACCTCTCCATGTATTTATTTGTTAATCCCTTCCTTTAGATTTGTATCTATTTCCAAATATTCTCTTTGTCTGCTTCTTCCCCTAAGCATCACCCCAACTTACTTCTCCCCTCACACACACTTCAAAAATATCCCACTTCACAGTTCCATTTGCCAGTCACTCTCCACCCTTAATTCAATTTTTTTCCTGCTCATCTGGGAAGCCTATCCCCCACTTTATTACCCTGTACCCCTTACTTAACAGCTGTCTTTTCAAATCCAACTCTCTCAAAGCCAGCTATAGAGATTACAACAATAGCCAGGCAGTAGCTATTATTCAGTTGCTTCTGAACATGCAAGGTTCAAATCAAACCATACAGGTTAATGCAGTTACAAGACTATATCCCACACTTCTTCCAGGAACTGGAGTAGTATACTTGGTCCTTGTTCTGCTAGTTTACCTTCACCACAACCCAATGAGGTAGGTCAGGCTGAGAGGGAGCTTGCCCAAAGTACCTAATAAGCATCACAGTTTTACGTGGGGATTAAAAACTGGGCCGACCCAGCCCTAGGCTGGCATTCTAACCTGTGCTTGTTTTCAATAGAACTGTAATCCTTTATAGGAGCAGGAAAGAGGTCCCTGAATGGATTGGGCTAAAGGTCTAACTTGTCCAGCCCTCTGTATTTGACAGACGTCAACCAGGTGCTTCTGGGGCACCTACAAGCAGAACGCGAGTGCAGCAGCCCTCTCTAACGCTTTGTCTCCAGCATCCCTTCTTGAGGGGTATTCTGCTCCTGAGCATGGAAACCCTATTGAGATGCCATGGTTAACAACCATGCCTCCAAAATTTAGTCTCATCAGTTTCTAAGCCCGTTTAAACTAATCCCCATAGCTCTCTCCAGTCTCCTTGGAATTTCCCTTCCTCAATCCCTAGCCCTCAGCAATCACTGCCTCCCTCCTGCCCCCACTTCCTTGCCCTCTCCAACTTCCCCCAACACCTACCTCACCCTACCCTTTCTTATTTGCCTGCCCGACCCCTCCCCCAGAAACCTCCACACATACTTCAGCCCCTCCCCCAATTGATTACTTCCCCACCCGATTTACTTACACACGCAGGCAGGCGAGACCACTCACGGCCGGGGACCCCCGCCTCGATGGCCCGTGCCTGTCGGGCCCCAGGCGGCCTGCCGGGCCCCAGGCGAAGCAGCCATGCCCCCTCCCTGCCGGGCCCCAGCTCAGCGCAAGGCCCCCGGCGGGAGGAAGGGGGCAGGGAGACTGGCGGAATGGGCAGGGCAATCCGGCCTAGAACGTCCTCCTCCTTCGCAGTCGCCGCCGCCGCAGCACCACTAACATTGGCGGTGGCAGCAATAGGGAAGGGAAAGTAGGGGTGTGTGGAGGGGGGAGAGGGAGGGAGGGAGAGACCTTTTGCAATAGGAGCGCAACTGAACTTGCTGGCTCCGGCAAGGAGGTGGGAGTTGGCGGAGGACGGGCGAGCGCCCAATTGCAGAGCCCAGAGGAAAGAAAGCGACCAATCGCCGCAACTTTTTCTCCGCCTACTTTCGCTGTCATTCAAGGTTGTGCGAAAGGAGCTACATTGTTGCACTTGGTGCAGAACGTCAGAAAAGCGGGGAAAGGCGCACGTTTTTTGTGTGTGCCCTGTGGAAAGTCGCACGCGTCCTAATCTTTGTGCCCTGGACTTACTCAAGGAACTCAGTTCCGGTCACTGTTTTCAATGGCGAAGACTCTGAACCCTGGAAAACTTAAGATAAAGATACCCTGAGCGCATGCAGAGAAGTGTTCCCTTTCCGCTGAATAACTAACTGCAGGGTTCAGCCCCAGCCGCTGTTTTCATACCTGGACATTGAACTCTAGGACCTATGAAGTAAGAATAAATAGGAAAGTGTGCCCCTGAGCAACTAACTAGAGGAGAACAGGCGGTGGATATGGATCTCGAAAACATCTAGAGGGCACCAGGTTGGAGAACGTGAAGCATTTCAAATCTGAGGCTAGCAGTTCCAGTTTTGAGCATTGCTTTCCTGCCTGCCCCTAACACATCTTGGGCCACTCCCCAGGTTCCAAATGCAGCAAGGTGTATTTGGAGTGGGCCAATTCAGGGGTGACATCCAGGTTCAACTTGTCTTTAAAATTTCATTTCTATAAAATGGAGGGGTAATATCCACACTAATAATAACTTGTCAGAAATCAGGTTCAGTGGAACATGGTTTTTGTCATCTTGAGGAATTTTAGGAAACAAATATTTCAAGATATAAGTGCACTAAGCCTGACAACTGGATCACTTTCCTTTAAACATGAGCACGTTTGTCACCACAGCAGAAATGGGCTTGTTTAAATTATATTAAGTTTAAAAGAACCACAACTAAAATGTACTTTATTCATAAAGTAACACTGTTATGAGTTGCTTCCTTGAAACATTACCAACATAATGTATAACTTAAACACATTTTTAAATTCAATTTTACAGTGGAACCTTTTCCTTTATTTATAATTTTATGAATTATAGCACCCAATAGCAATGCTTTCTGGGCAGTTCAAAAAAATTACAAAACAGAATATAAAACAATCAACATACAAATAATTTAATAGCTAAAACAGCTGCAGTTAAATACCTGGACCTGATAAAACAAACAAAAAAAAAACATTAAAATAAGCCTTGGAGCAGAGGCTTTAACGTGCTGCCAAGAAGGTTGATGCCAGGCATCTGATAATGTGGTCCTGAGCCATGTAAGGCTTTATCAGTCAAAACCAGCATCTCAAATCAGATTCAGAAATGTACAGGAGCCCATGCAAGTGGGTGAGAATTAGTGTTACATGTTTAGACTTTCTGGTCCACATTATTAATCTTCTGGATCAGATAGGGTTGTGATAGTACTTGTGGGTTCTGTGGGACATAACCTCCAAGAAGTTTGAGTTTTGCTCATCACCAAAGGAGATTGGTGGGGACTAGTGGGGACACGGTGATGAAAAGTAGATGAGCCTGAATAGGATTGTGACAATGACCCAGAAATCAGTGTTGGAGAGAGGAGGCAAGCAAGCAGGACTATTGTGGACATGACACCCAGCATGCATTGGACTTGGGAAGTCTCTGGTGTTTGTGCAGGGGCAACCTCTGGAGTTGTGGTGGTTCTGATCAAGCTCAAGGCAGTAATACCTTGTAGGACATGTCATGTAGGACACAGAAGTCATGTAGGACACAGAATAATCAGCTCAAATTGCAACAAACAAGATTTAGGCTAGATAGCAGAAAAAGTTTCCCAACTGTCAGAGCAATAAAACAGTGGAAACATTTGCTTAGAAAGGTTATGGTATCTCCAACACTAGAGACATTCAAAAAGAAACTGGACAGTCATCTGAGTGGGATGGTGTAAATTGATGACCTGAAACAGCAGGGGGTTGGACCCAATGCCCTTCATGGCCTCTTCCAACTCTGCTATTCTATGATTCTTCCCATTAATGCAGAATATAGGATACACAGGAGACGATTTCAATAACTATGAAGGGTACTTGAGGATGGGGTGTCCAGGAGCCCATCATCAATATATAGAAAGATGAATAGTTCATAGATGTTGTTCATGGGTGGCTCATGGCTCCTGACAGAATGTATAGTGACTAAAACTGCTGTGTATTTTGTAAATACCTGTGGTGCCATGAAATGGCTAAAGGTAAAGGCTGTGAACTGGTATAATTGGCCAAGGAGATACATGTAGAAGAATTGATGATGTGAAGAGCAAATGATGATATGGAAATAAGCAACTTCTAGGTTGATGATTGCAAGCCAGTCCTCCCAGTATTTGGAATAAGGTGACCATCCACAATTTCCTGGGACAAATAAAGGACTTCTCATTCCATATCCCTGATGAATATGCAGTAGAGGTGACAAATAGATTTAATGAATTAGATCTGATAGACAGAGTGCCTGAAGAACTATGGATGGAGGTTCGCAACATTGTACAAGAGGTAGCAACTAAAACCATCCCAAAGAAAAAGGAATGCAAGAAAGCAAAATGGCTGTCTGAGGAAGCTTTACAAATAGCTAAGGAAAGAAGGGAAGCGAAAGGCAAGGGAGAAAGAGAAAGATACACCCAATTGAATGCAGAATTCCAGAGAATAGCTAGAAGAGATAAGAATGCCTTCTTAAATGAACAGTGCAAAGAAATAGAAGAAAACAACAGAATAGGGAGGACCAGAGATCTCTTCAAGAAAATTGGAGATATGAAGGGAACATTTCATGCAAAGATGGGCATGATAAAGGACCAAAATGATAGGGACCTAACAGAGACAGAAGAGATTAAGAAGAGGTGGCAAGATTACACAGAAGAACTATACAAGAAAGAGCTTAATGTCCCTGATAACCACGATGGGGTGGTCACTGACCTCGAGCCAGACATCCTGGAATGTGAAGTCAAATGGGCCTTAGGAAGTCTGAGCAACAACAGAGCGAGTGGAGGTGACAGTGTTCCAGCTGAGCTATTCAAAATCTTAAAAGACGATGCAGTAAAAGTGCCACACTCAATATACCAGCAAACTTGAAAAACTCAGCAGTGGCCACAGGATTAGAAAAGGTCAGTTTACATTCCGATCCCAAAGAAGGGCAGTTCCAAAGAATGTTCAAACTACCGCACCATTGCACTCATTTCACATGCTAGCAAAGTTATGCTCAAAATCCTACAAGCTAGGCTCCAGCAGTATGTGGACCAAGAACTACCAGAAGTACAGGCAGGGTTTCAAAGAGGGAGAGGAACTAGAGATCAGATTGCCAACATACGCTGGATCATGGAGAAAGCTAGGGAGTTCCAGAAAAACATCTACTTCTGCTTCATTGACTATGCTAAAGCCTTTGATTGTGTGGATCACAACAAATTGTGGAAAGTTCTTAAACAGATGAGAGTACCAGACCATCTTATTTTTCTCTTGAGAAACCTATGTGTGGGTCAAGAAGCAGCAGTGAGAACTGGGCACGGAACCACTGATTGGTTCAAAATTGAGAAAGGAGTTCGGCAAGGCTGTATACTGTTGCCCTGCCTATTTAACTTATATGCAGAGCACATCATGAGAAAGGCGGGCCTAGATGAATCTCCAGTTGGAATTAAGATTGCTGGGAGAAATATCAACAACCTCAGATATGCAGATGATACCACTCTCATGGCAGAAAGTGAAGAGGAACTAAAGAGCCTCTTGATGCGGGTGAAGTAGGAGAGTGCAAAAGTTGGCTTGAAACTCAACATTAAGAAAACTAAGATCATGGCATCCTGTTCTCTCACTTCCTGGCAAATAGATGGGGAAGAAATGGAGGTAGTGACAGATTTTATTTTCCTGGGCTCCAAGATCACCGCAGATGGGGACTGAGGCCAAGAAATTAAAAGATGCTTGCTCCTGGGGAGGAAAGCTATGGCAAATCTAGTCAGCATACTAAAAAGCAGAGACATCACCCTGCCAACAAAAGTGTGTATAGTCAAGGCTATGGTTTTCCCAGTTGCAATGTATGGCTGTGAAAGCTTGGACCATAAGGAAGGCTGAGCACTGAAGAATTGAGGATGAATTGAAGATGAAACTCAAATACTTTGGCCACCTAATGAGAAGGAAGGACTCCCTGGAGAAGAGCCTAATGCTGGGAACAATAGATGGCAAAAGAAGAAGGGGATGGCAGAGGATGAGGTGGCTAGATGGAGTCACTGAAGCAGTTGGTGTGAGCTTAAGTGGACTGCGGGGGATGGTGGAGGACAGGAAGGCCTGGAGGAATGTTGTCCATGGGGTCGCGATGGGTCGGATACAACTTCGCAACTAACAACAGCAAGGTTACATTTAGGAATGGTGACCTATTTGAAGTCAATGTGCCCTTGTGTTGGAGGTGTTAGGAGCCTTCTCACAAGTGTTAGGCTAACACTTAGGCAATAAAGGAGGATTTAGGCTGGGTCTAAGACCAATGCTGAAAATGAAGGCCTTCAGTGGCTGATTGCTGGAGGAGGAACAGGACCAATGTTGTGGACAACAGGCAGTTTTTTTTGTGGAAGTGGGATAGTGATACCCACTTTATGGGTTGTGGTGCAAAGATCACGTGGCCCCTGTTCAGAAAGTAATGTGTACTGGTAAGTTCTTCTCCATCAAAAGGGAGGTTGTTGACCCAAAAACAGACCTGCTTAAAGAGGCCAAAACATCATAGCCAGATGTAGCATCTCAGAGCTATGGCATCTGCTATGGTTTTAGAATTGCTCTTGATGGCATAGTATGCTATGTTAATATGCTGGAAAGCAAGTTTATATGCCTCATTTTGAAAATGTAGGCAAGTTTTTCTTGTCCTCTGGAAGGTGCTTGAAGAAGGAACCAGTTTTCTTTCATAGCAAATTTT